AGATAATGTTGGGCACCCTGGGTGGCACTGAAAAGTGTATTTTGGACCAGTGGCTCAAGGACTGGTATCGTCACTCGTGCCACATGCCGGATGTCCGTGTTCCTCCCGCGTTTCGGTGACGGTGTGTGTTGTGTGTTATCGTGTTGTGGGAGCAGGCTTTGAAGAGAGCCGTATGTTCCGGAACATTATGCCAGAGGTCGTGCGGGCCATGGCTGAGGAACCCATCTCGGCGAATGTGCACTACAAGAGCCTCTCGGTCAAGGTCGGTGCCACGATCGGGACACTGCAGTAATATGAAGTTGTGCATTACGAGATGGGGAAGGATTGCTGCGTGGAGAAGGTTGGCAGACAGAGGTTGACGAGAAAGGTATGAACAGGGAGATGGAATAGCACCTTGCTCTATCCGCTCCGCACGTCAAACCGGTATTGCGTGACCTCTGGCACCGGTGTACCAAAATAAACAAGTCAAAATATGAAGGGCTGTTGGCCAGTAGTTGCCATCCAGAGGTCCAGAGAGTGGATGCTTAGATGCAGAGGCCACTAGGCCACAGAGCTGTATCTCAGTCTGTTAGCAGGAAGGCCCAAGTCGGCAACAAAATCAACGCAACGACCTGACTACGGTGAACTTGCGTGGATCGTGTTTTACAGAACTTCACTGCGAATGAGAAGTTGCGGAACTTCTACTGGGTTCTGTCAACCAACGTGGACGAGAAAGGCCTGCAGTTCATCTCCACCATGGAGGGTGAGTGTGGGCTGGCGTCCGTTGCGCTCACTGCTACGAGCGCGACGGCTCAATGCACGGCGAGCACCAGAGGACAGCGGCCTCTTTAAATCTGCGACATTTCAACTGCTTTAGCATTTTCGGTAAAAAATAAGACTTTATGATGCTATGATAAGTAGACCGATTAGAGTCGGTGAAGGTTCCTCCAAATGTCTCCCTTTGTTTTACTGCCTTTGGCATCTCCCCGGATGAACTGCACAGTGGGAGAAGATTGTATGTGGTAAATAATTGGTATGCATAATTACATATTGATATATGTTTATGAAATAGTATTGAAATATATAAACTGCCTCGAGAGAATTGATTTATTCACGCTGGTGGGGCTCTAGTAATCACAACTCGAATACCTCCAAGGACAGATGCATTTTGAAAAGCATTACAGAATCCAAGCATATGCACAGTTTACCTTCCTCGTTTTCTTAGACTGAGATGGGGAGAGGGTGCGTTGTCTGGTTGCACTGCTTGTTGCTTGGTTCCACATTACTGCTCACGCTGTGAGAGCCTTTTTCGCACAGTATCAACCAGACCCACGTGTCAGAGCTAATGAGCACGACCGCGAACACCTACGCAGACATGCAGACAACGAGAGCGGGCATGTGTGGGGAGCGGTAGTCTAGTGGTTGAAGCACTGCACTACGAACCTGGCGACCCAAGTTCAAGTCCCGCCCATGGCCAACACCAGCGACGATTATCTGAACCGGTCCTGGGGCTTCCTTCAATCGACTCTGCCTCAAATGAATACCTGGTACTGTATGTAAACATCACCACCGCGGAGACTAAGGTGGCCGGGCGTTGTACTGGCCACCCCACTCCCTCGTGTACCGTGCCGTCCTTCATATGCACTCGCTAACAGCACTTGTCCAAAAGGTTTGTTAATGCTATATGCGGTGGGGTCTTTGTTTTTGTGCGCCTGTGGCAGCGTACGAATACCCGTTCTACGGGGTGCAGTGGCACCCGGAGAAGAACCAGTTTGAGTGGAAGCGAGGAAAGTCCTTCCCACACTCGCGCTCCGCCGTGCATGTGGCGTTCCACCTCGCCGACTTCTTCGTGACAGAAGGTAGCACCGCTGCGCCTAGTGCGGAGGAGGAGCCGAGTGATTTGCCGGGCGGAGGTGGCTACACACGGCTGTAATCCACCACGCAAATACCATGAAGCTCCGCATTGGCGTCGAAGTCGCCATACCCTAGCTTACCGGGAGAAGGTGGTACAGCAATTGGATTACCCTACATCTGTTTCCATCTGTACGGAGATAGTGTTGGTCCCCCCCCTCATATGCGTGGGTATTCTCTGGGTCCTCCTGTTTTCTCCCACATATTAATTGGTTGAAAACATTTTAACTTGTACTACTGTTGGTAGCGCCAACCGTTGGTAGCACCGGCTCCACACCGCGTGGCTGCTGTTGCTGCTTCTCCCGCTCGTTTGCGGTTCCTCCTCCTGGCGCCTCCGAGCCGTGCTGTCTCTTTGGGCGCGAGCGAACACTGCACGCGTTCCAAGTCTAAACTACTTTAATCGTTCATCGTCATGCCAACGTTATGATGCGCTTGACCAAATGTGTGCGTGTGTGCACACGTGCGTCCCTCAGCTCGTAAGAACTTGCACGCGTTCGCGAACGAGGCGGAAGAGAATGCCGCCCTCATCTACCACCACGCCGCCGTGTACACCAGCGAGGAGTCGTCGTTCGAGCAGGCGTACTTCTTCAGCTGAGCGCGACATTGGAACCACGCAGCCTACGCCCTCCAGCCTGCCTGGACACTCACCCTCACCACCTGCCACTCACCCCTACACATACACTCCAGCATTTGGCTTGTAATGACTCCCGCACCCCCTAATAATGTACTGTACATCTACACACACCAAAAACTCAATACTCACCGTCACTTCCTCGCACAATATAAGCCTGGACATCGACACTCACCATCCCCCACTGAACCACAACTATCCACTCCGTTATGAAGCTGGACGCTCCAACACACCACTAATCACTGGCTACGGACCACTGACCACAACGAAGAACGCACTCTCTCCTCCCTTTGCTTGGGAGAAACCCAGACTGATAGCCTTGGGGGCCGTCCATAAAGGACGCTACGCACCTGGGGGGGGGGGTGTCAGACATTTGTGACAATGTGACGAGGGGGGGGGGGGGTTGAGAAATGTGACGTCACTAAAAATGCACAACTTTAAATAAATATAGACAACACGTTCTACTTAATTAAAGACTTAAATAAATGTTTTCTCCTACATCAGAGTGCAGCGCCACATTAAATACGCACTACAATGACAATAGTTTAAAGCGATTTGAAGCATGTTTTATTTTATTGGTGGGGGGGGGGGGGGCAGAGCTTTGTGATGTCATATTTGAGGGGGGGTCTGACTTTTTGTGACGCCGTGTGACAAGGGGGGTGGGGGTAAAAAATCGTCCAAAATCGCGTGACGTCATTTATGGACGGCCCCTTGGCTCCCACCACTCGCTCACACCGCTGGCACACACCGCTCTCTCGCACCACTGGCTCGCACCACTTGCTCCCACCGTTCGTTCACTCGCACTGCTCACACGCTCTGCACCTGTGCAGTCCCTGTACTGTCTACGTGTACTAAACGACTGAATCCGACCAGAACAAATCCTGTCCCCACCCAGTGTTATGGGCCCATTCCACCCTCGCCCATCCTTACTCAGCAACTCTCCCTATACAACAACAGCAGCAGCCGCCATCCGCTACTAAGTGGCAGTGAAATCACTACCGCACGATAGAAAAACCACAGAGTCAGCCCCTCCCATCCGTTCCTGCTGATAAGAGGCATGCGTTTGTGTGGCGCATTGTGCAGATGGGGCCCAATGAGCAGTGGATCAATCAGATTGTACATTCAGGCCGACTTGGCCGTATTTATGAATTATTTAATTGGAGTTCGTTATCGCTCAAGTTGGCATGCCGTGATATAATAAGGACGCGGTGCCGGGTGAATGTACATCGTCCTATGGGTCACATGACACGCGCAGCCGGGAGTCGCAACCTTTCAGTCACACAGGGATCTTTGGGCGCCCGGCCCTGCTGTGAATTTAAACCCGTGAATTGGCACCATGGGGCCAAGGTGTATGTACAGTATTTATAAAACATTGCACTTGCTGTGTAGTAGCATAGGGCCACCTGCAACCAGTGTTGATGAAGTCAACAATGAACCTTTTAGTCTTGGGCTCGTCGATGGCAACCAGTATAATTAGTCTGTGGATTTAAAATGAAAAATGTGGACCAAATGAAAGCCACATAACTAAAACTTGACCAAAATTCCACAGGTCGTCGACGAGACTAAAATGCTGACTAAACGTCGCGGTGGTCGCCGTGTGGTCTCCGTGTGGTCGCGTGCTCGAGGAGGTCGCATTCTCGCCGAGGCCGCGTGGTCGTGCTTGTGCTGTGGTAATGAAGTGCATAGCTGTGATGAGTGTAGTTGTGTTTGTGCTTAGGCTGAGCAGTTCCAGTTGACCAAGCTCTGAGCTCCGTCAAAGCTTGGCTCCGCATTCAGCTTTTAATGTCCGTTCGTCCGTTCCGTGGTTTGTCCTGAACATTGAAATGCAAGTCTTTCCCAAAGCCTGAACAATGGGACTCCTCGGGCATAGCATAGTGATCGTTATGAAGGAGCCAGGGGACTTGGGGTTCGCATTCACGATGTTATATATATAACTTATTGCTGCTTCTGCGATGCTCGTGAATAAAAAAGAACCCCAGTGAATGACTTTTTCTGTTGTGGTGTTGCACCTGTGCGTGCTTGCTGAAGGTGAAAGAGAAGTGCCTGTCTGGGCACGTTTGTTAAATCCTCACCCCCACCACGCTTCTGCCCAGCAGGATAAATTATTTCGCCACGGTTCATCGGCAAGTCGCGTGTGGGTACTGCCTCCTCTTCCAAGATGCCTGGCCGTTGTGGAACGGTGGGTCAGACACCTCGAGGGGCTTTCTACGGCTCCCTGTAGCGGAGGCCCTCGGCCAGCAGTTGCGTGAGCCAGCAATTGCAGGGCCGCACCGTTACAAATTACCGATGTTTAACCGAGTCATTACTGCAAGACGATTCTTGATCAACTTTAATTATATATTCTCTCGTGAGCTTAACATTTTATGATTCACGCATTGGCTTGAATACTGCATTATAATGAAGACGATAATATTGGCAGGTAAATGTTGCAAAAGAGCACGTGGCAGTGGCTACATATTGCAGTGCTGGTGGTTACGGCAGCGGAGACCCCGTCAGATTGTCGTCCCGGTTCTTATTCGCCCAGAAGGCCAAGCCACTTCATAACCCAAATGACACTGAGCCTCCATCCCAGTCCCTGTAACCCCCTTGGGGTCTGCCTCTCTTGAAAACCAATATTTTCTATTCATAGTCAAATTTAAGTCACTTGGCACCGCATGCAACCTGATTGGTTTATAATCACAGAGATGCCATGCTTTAAAGCAGTCTTTCTCAATTCCATTGCTTGGGGTGCCACGGTACTGCTGTAAGGTATGGAAATGAGAAAGACTGCTTTAAACCGTAGTCAAACTTCAGACAGAGGAGGCGCAAGCCCTACCGCTGAGACTCCAGCCGAGTTCAATGACTTAGTTGGTTTACAAAGTCAGCTTTAGCCGTCATCGCGATTAAGAGCCAGGCCAAACAAGGATCCAACTTAAGCCCTCCGAGCTGCCCTGGGGGCCAGGAGCTACAGCCACCCGTCAGCCTCAAAGTCAGCCCTCAGGGCTGCCTCCTCGTGCGGCTCCAGCGGCTGGAGCGGCGAGCGACAGGGGCCCCCGTAGAAGCCAAACCACTCCAAAGAGCGCTTCAGGCCGGCCACACCAAAGCGCTTGGTCACCTGTGTGGGCGGCAGGGGAGACAACGCCGCGCCGACTCGGTGATGCGAATCAACTCTTACGCCCGTGGGACATGCGTCTCATCATATGCAACAGTTTGAGTCCGATGAGTTTCCGAGTTTTACCGCGTGTTGTTGGCACTGCTGCCTGTGGGGATGGGCACTTTTTCAACTCTTTTTGAGCCGGTTGGCCCAAACAACGAAGCAGCCCCATACGTTCAGCTCTATCGAGCTGGTGCCTTAGGCAAGGCTAAGAGCGTTGTACGTGCAGTGTGGTAGTTATATGACATAAATGCAAGGCGTCGTGGGAGTCGCGCCTTCCCGCCGTTTGTGCGCAGCACACCTCGGTGTATCGTTAAACCGACGTGGCCGGAGTGCGGATCAGCCGAAGAAAGTTCTTCGGAGAGGAGCACGTGGGAGTGGAGACAGATCAGGGAAGAAGAGGTGCAGAACGGAACTCTTGGAGGCAGCAGCGACACGTCGAGGCAACGAGAGCAGGAGCAGAAGACCCAGTGACCCAAGTTCAAAAAGAAGACGACGTTATCTCCACGACGCCCAGGACTCGCGCGGCCTCACCAGCGGCGTTGGGCCGAATGAGACGCAGCTGCAGCTCCCGCGCCTCCTCGTGTCGACCCTCCCTGGAGAGGTGCGCCAGCTCGCACACCTCAGTGCCCAGCACGTTCGCCAGCGCGCACACCCCGCCCACCGCCCCTGTCGGCGGCACACGCAGAGGGTTTAGAACAAGGCCGTAATTATAATATATATTGGGGGGGGGGGGAAATATTTTAGGCAGGAAATGTCAGGAAATAGTTTTCAAAATTTGATTATTTTTTCTGGGGGGGGGGGGACCCTCAGACCCCCTGGAAGATTTGGTCCCTCCATGGCTACGGCCTTGGTTTATAACGCTCGCCCACCCGTGAGTAGACACCCGGGTTCGGCACACCCAGGGCATACCAGACACACCCAGGCTACACCACACATACCCAGAGCTCACCACGCCCACCACGATTCCTGCCAACTTGCACAGGTTCAGGGCACGTGCACTAACTTTACCGGCTACTCTTTGTTCAAGCAGGATAAGATGACAAACATACTTAATCTTAACGCAGTGTTTTACAACTTCGAGGATATTGTGCGTTCTCTGGCTGCATGATAAAAATGTTCACGTGCGTTTTGCATATTTCTGACAATCTGAACGGATTATTTTAGTAATGCTGTTGGCATTATTTAATTATCGAATGCCAACAACTACTGTGGCATTGGTAAGTGCTAAATTCCCCATGCTGGTGAGGCCCCGTGATGTTGAGGCCCGGTGTTGGTGAGGCCTGGAACCCTGTGATGGTGAGACTGAAACCCTGTGATGGTGAGGCCCCGTGCTGGTCAGGCTGAAACCCTGTGATGGTGAGGCCCAGTGCTGGTGAGGCCTGGAACCCTGTGATGGTGAGGCCCCGTGCTGGTGAGGCCTGGAACCCTGTGATGGTGAGGCCCCGTGCTGGTCAGGCTGAAACCCTGTGATGGTGAGACCCAGTGCTGGTGAGGCCTGGAACCCTGTGATGGTGAGGCCCAGTGCTGGTGAGGCTGAAACCCTGTGATGGTGAGGCCCAGTGCTGGTGAGGTTGAAACCCTGTGATTGTGAGGCCCCGTGCTGGTGAGGCTGAAACCCTGTGATGGTGAGGCCTCGTGCTGGTGAGGCCTAGAACCCTGTAATGGTGAGGCCCAGTGCTGGTCAGGCTGAAACCCTGTGGTGTTAAGGCCCGGTGCTGGTGAGGCTAAAACCCTGTGATGGTGAGGCCCGGTGCTGGTGAGGCTGAAACCCTGTGATGGTGAGGCCCGGTGCTGGTGAGGCTGTACCACTTGCGATGGCTGGGTAGAGGAAGCTCGCGGACCGGGCCATCACCTGGAAGGCCTGCCCACCCGTCAGGTGCATGATCTGCCCCACCAGCCACTGTGGCATTGGTAAGTGCTAAATGCCCCATGCTTGGGAGTTTCTGTGATAGTGAGGCCCCGTGATGTTGAAGCCCCATGCTGGTCAGGCCGCGTGATGTTGAGGCTGCGTAATCGTGAGGCCCCGTGCTGGTGAAGCCCTGTGCTGGTCAGGCCCCGTGATGGTGAGTCCCTGTGATGGTGAGGCCCCGAGCTGGTGAAGCCCTGTGCTGGTGAGGTTGTACCGCTGGCGATGGCTGGGTAGAGAAAGCTCGCAGACCCGGCCAGCACCTGGAAGTCTTGCCCACGCGTCAGGTGCACAATCTGCGCCATCTTGGTGACCTGGAGAACAGCGTTAATATAATAATATATGTACAGCCCTGCTATTGCTTGCTCAAGCCCCTGTTGGTGGAAGGGCCAGTACTGAAGGAAGTTCTACAGAGTCCTTTGAGGGAATTTTGGCTTACTCGACCATGCTGGCCAGACGTCTCAGAAGACGTGGAAGTACCCACCCCATCATACGGGACCTGCCAATCAACTCGCTGTGCTGTACCCATTTACCCTGCTGGGTGGACAGAGGCAGACAATTTAGGAAATGTATGTATGTTGAAATTATTTCGCACTGTATGTACTCAACCGTGATAATCGGAGGTGCGTGGGAAGGACAACAGAATTAACACAACAAGCAGTTCTTGTATCCATTGTTTGAACTGCCATGCAGGGAGGTGGAAGAGAAACCGGTGACATCTGGATTGCAGGCATAGAGTAATGCTAAGCCTCACACCACGGCAGCGTTCATTTAGTCAGCATTTTGTAAATTATTATATTAGTCATTCTCTTTAGTCAAGTCCCCAAAAGCAGTCAGCCATTTAGTGAAACACTCTTAGTGTGTGAGTGGCGCGTATCTTCCCCCCCACACCAAACATCATCAGGGCAGTTTGATCAGCGATGTCGGGAGATGCTTTATATATAACGTACTCCACATATAGGTGTTTGGCGCAGTCTCTGATAGCGATGCTAAATTCGTCTGCGTTGCTCATCTTGTCGTCGCCAGCCACGCTCAGGGGTTTGGTGCTGAGGACTCGTCACTGTCACGCTCTCCGATACCGAAGAGGGTTTTGCCCGAACTACGTACGGCGTGGCCATATCAACTCATCAGAGCATCGGCGAATAACTCGTTCGCGTACATCCATCACCGAACCACCAACCACCGGGAACCATTAGCAAGCAGAGCACCTTAAACTTCCACAGTGTGGCGATCGTCGGATTAGTTTGAATAAGTCATAAATCGCGGCTCGATATGAAATTTCGAATCACTTCCCATTCTTCTGCCGCGATGGTGCCACGTGGCATCGAGCGACGTCACCATCGTGAACCCGAAGGCACAGGGAAATTACATTTAAAACTCATCCCTATTCCCCACGGGAGGTCCATTGTCCGCCAAGAGAGGGATGTCCCTCCCCAGGTAGCATCCCAGTGCCCCCCCCTGTATCCTGGTGTCTCTTGTTGTCCTCCCATTGTCTCCCTAGTATCCCCCAGTATCTCCCCGTTCTTCCACCGGTGTCTCCCGGTGTCCCCCCGGTACCCCCTGGTACCTCCCGGCGTCCCCTGGCGTCCCCCGGCACTCACGTCGCCGCCGCTGTCCTTGACACCGATGACGTTGGGGTGCTGCGACAGCGCCACGATGCTGTCGAGGGGCAGGTCAAGGCCCGTGTTTCCCGGGACGCTGTAGAGCACCACGGGCACCGGGGAGCCGTCAGCCACCTGCGTCCAGCACCAGCAGTGTGTGCGGTGGAACATCGCCATGGCAGTTGTGGCTACCTTACCCGCGAGTTCCAGGTTAAGGCGTTGCCTAATTGTGACTACGGGGAAAGTGAGATCTGCCACTCACGTTACGTGATATCATATTGATTGGATCTATATGCAAGTGTAAGAGTCTCTGTGTAAATCGATGGATCTCTGCGAGTCTATGGTTCTTTGTGCAAGTCTATGGTTCTTTGTGCAAGACTATAGTTCTCTGTGCGAGTCTGTGGTGCTATATTTCAGTCTGCAACGTCGCTTTGTGACAAAGTGCTTATGATGAAGCCACTGCCAGCATATTCCTCTTTCTCAACTAATCCAACAGCTTGTCTTCCACGAGACAAGTAAATCCCAGGATGGAGTTTTGTCGGCTCCTCAACGTTGAGTCACGAGGAGCCGCCACCGCCCCCCGGGTCCCCCCTTGTCCCCCTCGTCACCCCGCGGGCCGCACCTGGGTGTAGTGGTGGACGAGCGCGGGGCCTGTCATGCGTCCACGGTAGAAGCAGGGAGTGACCACAAGCACCGCATCTGCGCCCGCGTCCGCCATGCGGCGGGTCAGCTCCAGCGTCTCGTACGTGCCTAGCAGCCGTGGGCAGTCACGCACCGTCACAAAGACAAAGATCCCAACAGACTTTTGGTGCAAGTGCTGTTAGGGAGCACCTCTGAAGGCCGACACGGCACACGAGATGGCCAGCACCATGCCCGGCCGATTTTGTCTCCCCAGTGGCGATTTTTACATGCTACACCAGGTACTCATTTGTGGCTGAGTCGACCTAGGGGAAGCCCAGGACCGATTCATATATTCGTCACTGATGTTGGCCGAAGGGCAGCATCCTAACCACTGCGCTACCGTTCCCCACGCACCGTCACAAAGGCAAAGACACGCATAGTCACATACAGTCACATATTTACACGCGGCCATGCACAGGCAGCCACAGTCATGCATCGGCAGTCATACACAATCACAGTCATGGACTTTCACGCACGGAAAGTTTTGAATATGCAGTCATGGCCACGTACATTGACCCGCAGTCACGCACGGGTAGTCAGTCATGCGCAGCCATGGTCATGTTGATTTGAAGTTTTCGTGATTGCAGGAATCCATACTCTTTGGTTCTTTCGGTAAAGTCACGTAGGTAAAATAAATATTATTTTATATAAAATAATATTTTATATAAAATAATATTTTTAAATAATGTTTTTATAATATATTTTTAAATAATATTTTTATATAAAATAAAATTCTATTAAAATTAAATAATATTTTATTTTATACCTACATGACTTTACCGAAAGAACCAAAGAGTATGGTCATATTTTTCGATTTAAAGCTTTCGTGACTGCAGGGATTCATCTTCTTGGTTCTTTCGGTAAAGTCACGGAGAAGGGAAGTAATAAAATAATAAAAATAAAACATTATAAAATAAAATAATTCTCACGACGTTTCGGCTACAACGCAAGCAGCCGTCTTCAGGTGAAGAATGAGACACTGCCAAGCTAAGAGCTTATATATAAACTGAGCGTACATGCGAAGTGTGTAGATGAGCGGGCAGGTGAGTGTGCAGGGAAGTGCACTCGTGACCGCGTGTCACGGTATATAAGCTCCTAGCTTGGCAGTGTCTCATTCTTCACCTGAAGACGGCTGCTTGCGTTGTAGCCGAAACGTCGTGAGAATTATTTTATTTTATGTTTTATTTTTATTATTTTATTACTTCCCTTCTATGTGACTTTACCGAAAGAACCAAGAGTATAGTCATGTTCCCTCGCCACGTAGAACCACAGTGTTACACGAGCGCCCTCGTGTGGCGGCGCAGGGTAGCAGGGAGCTCTGCCGCTCGTGTGGAGTTCGTGCACGAGGGTCCTGAAGTCTCTCCCGGAATGGCCTCGAGGGTGGCGCATTTGCCGCTTGTTGCAGAGTATCACGGTTAGAGTAGAGCGGCCGCCCTGGATAATTTTGCGCTGGGTGTATTACCCCTGAATATGTGCACCGTCTGCTTCAGAGTGGACGTTAAATATTCCGTGGAGTCAATCGCAAGAGTATCGTGTGCGGCGTCATGGTCCAAATTTGTCAAATAAAAAAAAATGACACTGAAAATTATTCGATTGGAATCTACATTGCAAACATCGCCCCCTACAACAAAAACACTTGGCAGTACTCTCCTGAAAATTAGTCTTGGGATTCATTGTAGGTTTCCTGTGTAAACAAGCATAACAAAACAAAACGGGTGGCCTGCTATTCAGTTAATTTTTGCTGGGGTCCCTACAGTGTGAGTGGCCGCAACTGTGGTACAGAACCCCGCTGGTGTGAGGTCCCCAAGAGGAGGGCCACTTTAGGACTGAGGGGTCCCTGGTTTACCCGGTGGGGTGAGGTTAAGAACCCCTCCGGGAAGGGGGTGGGATCTCAGTTACCCTCGCATCCAGAGCCCGCGAGGATGAGGCGGTCCCTGGGCACGCGCGCGCGCACCGTGGCGAGCACGCGCGTCCGCTCCTCGTGACGCAGCAACACCGGCTCACCGTTAGAGCCGTGAACCACCAACCCTGCGGGCAGGTGAGCGGGCAGGTGAACGAGCAGGTGAGAGGACTGGTGAGCGTACATGCGAAGTGTGTAGATGAGCGGGCAGGTGAGTGTGCAGGGAAGTGCACTCGTGACCGCGTGTCGAAATCTTCAGCAAGGTACTGACAAAAGGACGATGAGGCACGTACACTGCAGTTGCGATTGCTTCACGAAAGCCATGCAGCCACTAGGGGCACTACATCCCCCACATTAATAAGACAAATCAATCGATTTTTTGGAATCGTCAGAAGTACCCGTAAGGGGTCATCTATTTAGTAGGTACGCAAAAATCTGTCAAAACATGACCCCTCCACCCCTCCCTGTACGCACGCGTACTTTTTACACCCCCCCCCCCACCTGCGTACGTACGCCTGACGCACCCCCCCCCCCCCCCCCGAATCCTATAGAACGGCCGATATTTAATCCACGCAGATACGATCAATTATTAATAATATTAACGTGTTAAAGCAAACGGATAGTCCAGATGCATTATTATCGAGGCTTCACCCCCCCCCCCCCCGTTTCCTATGCGTACGTACATTGTCAGTAGACCCCCATGACCCCATACGCAAGCGTACGCATTTGGGTTAACCCCCCCCCCTCCATGCGTACGTACTAAATGGATGGCCCCAAATGGAATTTCAAGAAGGGCAAATCACCCAGACTGAATGACCGACATTTTCCACACCACAGGCCGGGGTGAGAAGGACCGCACGTTCTTATACCCACATTGTACCCCACCGTGGCGAGCCCACCCAATCTGTCGCCCGTGTTACCGCTGGAACGAGCCAAACGACCCGACCCCACCCGACCCTCAGGTTGAACCCAGACGCCGCACCTCGGAAGGGCTTCTGCAGCCACTTGTCCAGATTCTCGCCGAGGCGGCCGAGGTCCAGCTTCGCCTGGGAGTCGAAGGCGGCTGTGATCGGGGGGAAGACGCCGCTGAGATCGAGGGTACTCCCTCCATGCGCCCTCCCGTGGGCCGCACGCACAGCCGCCGCTCCATGGACCGCACGGGCCCCATGGGCCCGGCCAGCCTGGCCCACGACCCAGGAGGCCCGCATGGCGAGGTCCCTCCAAGACATTGGCACTGCGGTCGCTGCCGCTAAACGATAAATCGACTGCTCCCGAATTGTTCGTGTGACTGGACTTTAACCCGAAGAGACTTAACACCCCGGGATTTTTACGCCGATATTTCCCGTAGTCTAAAGCACGGGATATTTAAACGTCCAACTAACTTTACCCCGAGATGATTTCAAACCCCGTGACTGCGAACGATGCTTGGCGCTGGGCCGAGGAATGTGGAGTGTGCAGCAGAGAGCCCCCACTCGCCCCCGGCTGGCTGCTCGTGAGTGGCCGCGCTTAAGCCGAGATGTCAAACATTGACCACAGCGATTATGTTGACTCAGCCAGAAGCTTAGAAACAAAACAACAGCACTACTCTGCCAAGCAAGGCAACGTGTTAAAGTTCTTAAGACACATGCGCTCAAACGCGTTACGGTGCGTCTGCGCACAATGTGGACGTCACAGCACTCCGCAGTGGTCGTCCTTTGGAAGCGGCTGTAGGCTTCACTGCTATAAAGCCGCGCACACCAGAGGCTGCCCGGCGTGTGCTGCGGTATGATGCTATGAGAGGGCGAGGGCACACAAGTACTCTGAGAGTAAGTAGCGGTAGTCGGTATCACGAGCGCTGAGTACTCAGACAAAGAGCGGCCGAGTCCCCGCCCAGTGGGGGGGGGGGGGTGTAGCCGCTACGCCGCCTCTGATTGGCCCATGGGGTCTGTGGCTGCCACGTGGATCCTCCCACCCACGTTGCCAACTCTGTCAAACTGTTGGTGTCTGTAACGTCACCGTCGTGATCAGTCATTGTCTACCCACTGCTGGAAGAAGGCCTCCCCATCCCTCGCGGCCCAATGCCGCTGCCCACGAACTGATCTCATCATCGATCCATTTAAGCCGTGATTGTCCTCTTGGGGGCCGTCCATAAATGACGTCACGCGATTTTGGACGATTTTTGACCCCCCCCCCTATCGTCACACGGCGTCACAAAGAGTCAGACCCCCCCTCAAATATGACGTCAAAAAGATCTACCACCCCCCCAAAAAAATTAAACATGCTTCAAATCGCTTTAAACTACTGTATTGTCATTGTGGTGCGTATTTAATGTACCCGCTGCACTCTGATGTTGTAGGATAAAAAAAATTGTTAGTTTATTTAATTAATTAGAACGTGTTGTCTATATTTATTTAAAGTTGCGCATTTTGATGTGACGTCACTTTTCTCCCCCCCCTCGTCACACATCGTCACAAATGTCTGACCCCCCTCCCCCCTAGGTGCGTGACGTCATTTATGGACGGCCCCTCAATATTCGCAACCACATCACCCAGACTCATGACACGCACTGCCATCTGAAGCTGCCCAAATTGGGAATGTGTTCACAAACCTTTGCTCTTGCTGTGAAATCGTATAAACTAATTGGAACAAATTACGAGAAACTCCTCCGCGTAGAAAATTGCCTTTGTGACCAGACACGCGCCACACGCACCGTGCAGGTGACGGGATGGAGAGAAAGAAGATCATTTTAGAAGATCGCGCACGAAACCATAAACACTGCGGGCAACCAACGTTGTGGAATGGGGAGGGGGGCTTTCGGAGGGGTGAGGGCTTTGGGAGGGGGGGGGGCTTTGGGAGGGGGGGGTTTCGGAGGGGGGGGGGCTTTGGGAGTAGGTGAGGGCTTTGGGAGGGGGGGGGGGCTTTGGGAGGGGGGGGCTTTGGGAGGGGGGGGGGTTCGGACGGGGTGAGGGCTTTGGGAGTAGGTGAGGGCTTTGGGAGGGGGGGGGGGGCTTTGGGAGGGGAGAGGGCTTTGGGAGGGAGGGCTTTGGGAGGGGGGCTTTCGGAGGGGGTGAGGGCTTTGGGAGGGGGGGGGGCTTTGGGAGGGGGGGGGGTTTCGGAGGGGGGGGGGGGGGCTTTGGGAGTAGGTGAGGGCTTTGGGAGGGGGGGGGCTTTGGGAGGGGGGGGGGCTTTGGGAGGGGGGGGGTTTCGGAGGGGGGGGGGCTTTGGGAGTAGGTGAGGGCTTTGGGAGGGGGTGGGCTTTGGGAGGGGGGGGGGGCTTTGGGAGGGGGGGGTTTCGGACGGGGTGAGGGCTTTGGGAGTAGGTGAGGGCTTTGGGAGGGGGGGGCTTTGGGAGGGGAGAGGGCTTTGGGAGGGAGGGCTTTGGGAGGGGGGGCTTTGGGAGGGGGGGGGCTTTGGGAGGGGGGGCTTTGGGAGGGGGGGAGGGCTTTGAGAGGGGGGAGGGCTTCGGGAGGGAGGGCTTCGGGAGGGGGGGGCTTTGGGAGGGGGGGAGGGCTCTGGGAGGGAGGGCTTCGGGAGGGGGGGCTTCGGGAGGGGGGGCTTTGGGAGGGGGGGCTTTTGGAGAGGGGGGGGCTTTGGGAGGGTGGGGGCTTTGGAAGGGGGGGAGCTTTGGGAGGGGGGGGGCTTCGGAGGTTGTGGGCGGGACCGTACTACGCACTCGTGACGTCACGCACAGCTGATTTCTACCGACAGGAGGCGGAATTGCCCTGAAGGAGCCATGAGTCGGAATTATCGGGCCCCGTCGCGTCTCGGCCTCCCTCTCCTCACTCTCCTCCTCTTCTGCGTGCAGCACAGGCGAGGCCTCGGTAAGAGTAAGAGTGGAACGGCTCGACTCGCGGCCCCTGGCCGGTCGCCAGGGGATTCACCCAGATGGCGTCAATTGACGGTCACGACGGCCGTAGAAGGGGGCCTTTTCAGCGGTCAAGATGGGGTCTTGATGGGGGTCGAATCTTCCCTTCAGCGATCGCGCAGAGGTGCATGCATCGCTGATGGATCTATGTTGGGAGGCTCCGTTTCTTAACGCGGGCCCTGTTCGATGCTGTATGAATGTACACGACTTGATTGGGGAGGCATTCATCCAGTCCAGCAGTAGATTAATACGTCTGATGATAATGATGATTCATCCACATTTTTAAATCAAATTATTGGGTTGGGAGGGGGGTCAGTCCCGTTTGAGGGGACCTCATCTCGAGGCCATAATTTATTTCAGGTGCTGAGTTCGGGGCCCTTTCCCTTGGGAGACTTAGCCCATTTCTCTTGAGGGATCGAGTTGGGCGGTCTTACCTCCCCTAAACGCTGTATCTGAATTGAGGCCCCTCTGTCTTTGTGGGACCGTATTAGTATCCCCTTGTCTGTTGTCGGTCTAACTGGGGCCTCGGCATCTCTCGAGCGACCGATCTGGGCCCCAGCAGAGCACGTGCTTTCTGCCCTTTCCCAGGGCACACAGTCGGGGAGCACCTGTACTTCCAGGTGCTGAGCCCAGGTGAGATCCGATACCTGTTCCAGGTGCGGCCAGCCAAGGACTTCGGCGGTGTTTTTGTGAGTACCTGGTTCTGTCGCCAATGTAACCATGCATGTCACCATGCTATCAAAACAAGCCTAACACAGGACACGTTTTGTGAGACTGCGTTATCATTGCCCCCTATCGTCGCCTATTACAGTATTTTTTCATTGTAGAGCAGTGTCATTGATGAATGCGTTGAGTTTAAACTTTAAACAGAACACTGCTCGTTAGATCATGAGTACTTGGAAGTTAGCTGGTTGTGCAATGTTCATTAAGGACATTGTTAATCGTTCTCTGCTATTTTGATGATTTTGCCTTTTGTTTTGTTGCTGCTGCTATGCTCACGCACATGCCATAATACAGTCATCAGGCACTGATGTTGTGACACCCCCCCCCCCCACCCCCTCTGCATCCCCCTGCCCCCCACAAACTGCAGAACTCTCGCTTCGACAGCATCAACCTGGTGCCCAGCGAGCCCCCGGACGCGTGCAGCGACCTCGCTAACGGGGAGCTGCTGCGGGGTCAGATCGCGCTCGTCGAGCGAGGGTGACTCTCGCATTCCCCGTCCGTCGCTGCGCCCCTGCACAATGGGTTATCTGCACGGTCCTTTGTCGATCCACTGCTGGATGAAGGCCTCCTGCCACGCCGTGTCATGGGGCTTGTTGTATGATTCACCAAGCTGGTCGGAGATGAATGGGGGGGGTTTCCCAGGACTGGTTTCAGATATCGCTCACCCCTACTGATTGTTAGGCATGGCTGGAATGGGTTTGTAGCAAGATGTGCTTTCCTGCAACACTCAACAGTTATCAGAATGTGTAACACTCATGATTCACTCGGCTGTTTGACAGCATAAGAATCTAGATTAGAATTCAGCGTCATGAATGATCAGGCTACCCTTGATGGTGTAGATTAGAATTCGTCACTCTCGAAGGTATATGGCAACGCCAGAGCAACTGTCCCTGTTGTGCCACACCTGCAGGGACTGCTCTTTCCTGTCGAAGACGCGCACCGTCGAGCGATATGGCGCGCGTGCCATCATCATCGCTGACAATGCCTACGATGACATCACCTCGTTTGTGGACATGATTCAGGACGGCACTGAGCGTCATGCCTCCATCCCGGCGCTCTTCCTGCTCGGCAAAGACGGGTGGGTAAAGCACCACACATTGAGGAGGCTTTGGGGCTAGGCTATTGGTGCAGATATCAAGGGTGCAGGTGGTGCAACTGCACCAGGGCCTGAGCACTGGATTACAAAAAGGGAGGAAGGTGATAGGAGGCCCCATTTCATTGTATATTGAACTTATTTCGCACCGTACGGAGGTGCGGGGGAAGGACAACAAACTAAACACAAATAAGTTATAAAGAAATTAGTTTTCAATCTAGATTTAAAAGTGCATAGCTCCAGTGACTTCCTAATATTGGAAGGAAGAGCGTTCCAGACGGCCACAGAAGCACATCTGAAAGCACGCGATGCAGTGACCATCTTTGTTCTATGGTTGGCCAAAAGACGCTGCTGCAAGGATGACCGGAGTTGGCGTGGTGGTTTATGCTCTGTGACGAGATCACCAAACTTGCTTGCATGAGGGCCCTTGCCAAATATGCTCCGCCACTGGCCCTGACGTCACCATTTAAAACAATGATGAGTAATTTGAGTTATTTACCCAAGAAATACCTTCCGAGTCCAAAGTGCTGTATAGGCAGCTCCTATGTAGCAATTATTGGCCAAGTCTACAACATCTTGTATTCCCTGGCGGTCTCTCACATCCAAGTACTAACCAGACCACGCCGCTTAGCTTCTGAGGTCTTACGAAATCAGGCGCATTCAGGTTGAATTCATCAAAAGCATTTTTTTCAAAATGTCTACATGCAATATTTTTCTAAATACACCAGATGTTTATGATCATCAGGTGCCATTAGTCCATTAGGATGATCATGATAAACAATGTCAGTTAGTATTTAAATTCCCATTGTAGTCGTGGAATCTCGTATGATATTAAAGAAGCGAGCGGCCTTGTTTTCGACGCTTCGTGTCCTTGCCTGCCCACACAGGTACATGATCCGGAGGTCTCTGCTGCAGAACGGACTCGCCTCGGCACTCATCAACATCCCCGTGAACGTCACGTCCATGCACACTTACCAGCTGATGCAGCCACCTTGGACGTTCTGGTGAAGCCAGTCTTGCCACGGCGAGTTGCCTGGCCATCATCAGAATTTAAGCATTGCATTCCAACAATTGTACATTTCTGAGCAGTGGCTGCTTAGACTTTTTAATCACAGTCCCGTTACCTGAAGCTGAATAAGGTGTAACCAATTTGCATGTATTTAAGTGCAACTCAGAAGCACCCAAGCAAGCATGGCAATTAACCAGACCCATCACTTCTGTTTGATTTAATTTAAAAAAATCACTGTTGTTTTGGCGGGCCTGTCTCACTTACACTTGTGAGAGTGCTGGTGTGATTACAGTTATTAACCTATCATAGAACATGTCACAAGCATCTGGAAGCTGTGACGAGCCAGGTGATCATGAGTATTTTTTGTGAACAAGGCAGCTCGAAAACTTGAGTGAGACTCAGGCGTTCTTGACTGTCGTTCCACCGTACAGTATTCCGTCACCACACATCCATCCACTGCTGCCGACGTTCAGATTTGGTAGCTGAAGCATCACGAAATCCCTTGCTTACTCTGGCACACATCACACCTCAGGTGCATGAGAATGATTTGGAAGTTAGACGGTTAGGCCTCGGGGGGTGGGGGGCAGCTCCCATTTCATGTAATAAGGGTCCAAAGAATTGAATAATTGTGCTCGACTTCTACTGTCCCAAGTTTCAGGGTTGGTAGTTCTTCCCCTGTTTTCTCTTGACGTAGTGCAGTTGAGGCATCTGGACAATGAGCGAGTTTACTGCGTTTATTGATTCCATCCATGATAGGGGAATGTGCAGGGTATTTGAGGCATCCACAGATTGAGGCGGCTGGATCAGACATTTGTTATTGTGCACCAATGCGCACCGATCATGCATAGTAGGCTCTTTGGATATAACAAAGCTGTGTAAAGACTGTTGTAGAACTGGACTGGATTCACAGACCCATCCTGCGTGGTGCAGCATGAGGTTTGTAAAATACATTTTTATGCTCGGCAATACACACCAAATCCGGCACATGTAAAATGATGATCTACAATGTATTGAAATGTAATAATTGTGGCACTTATCACGACACTTTAACGAGGGAACGTGTTGGTGAATGCAGCAGAAACAATTATACAAATGAGATGTGACGAGACAATAAAACGAAACAAATGAGAAAAAAATCAATTCTAAGATCAAACCGAAACTTGATCAAATAACTGTGGAGTTAACCGATACAGGCGTTTTCATAACTCTGCACTGAGATTGAAGTAAATGTTTGTGTACTGTGGATGTAAATATTTGCATGAGTAATTTTGGTCGAAAGAAAATATCAATGGGAGAACTGGACTGGAACTAAGTGTTTGAATCAAAACATAATCTTCCACCGATGTATTTTTGTTGATGTCAGTTGTGATGATGATTGTAGATTCTAGATAATTATGTTTCTGTCTTTGTGTTTTGGAACAGCATGTACTTTGCGACAGTAGTTTTAAGTTACAAAAGTGTGAAGCCTGAATGGCTTTTTTTTGCGGCCTGCATCATTAAGCTGAACGTGTTGGTTAAAATGTTCGACCACGCTGTTTACACGCAACACAAGCACCAGCGGCTGGGTGGCCGTGATGGTCAGAACTCTCCGGTGCTTGAAGTGGTGATTGTGTTGGGTTGAGGTGCACTTAAGCCGCTCGTTAAAAAGCCCAATGGTTAGCGTGATCCTTGTTATGTTTTTTTTTACCTCAGGCGGGTCGATGTCATGAGCATTATTGTTTTATTGTGAGCAATCGCCTCTGAGCACAAGTGTGTGGCTCTGTGAGAGTGCGGCAGCGAACAACCATGAATAAAGTTTACAGTGAATTGAGAAGTGAGTGCGCGATGCTGTTGTCAGTCTGGCGGCAGATGGCTAAACCAGGTTCCCAAGACCTCGGCTAACTAAAGCTGTAGGGATCTAAACTTCTCAACCCTAGCCCTGAGTTACTGAAGTTATTTTTATGTTAATACTCTTATCAATATCAGGAAAGGCCATACAGCTCAATGGCTCGGTTGCAGTTAACATGGCTAAGTTATGGGTTTAAGAATCGGACGTGTTTGGAGGTGGCCAGTGGGATGAGTGGACAACACTTAAGCCTGCACCGGTGAGATCCTGGTTTTGCATTTGGGTTTCAGCCACCCGTGACTAAACCGGGTCTCAGGTTAACTGAATATTATAGCATATTAAACATTACTTTTGTCTCTATGCCGTGCAACACACGCGTCCCCTGTAGCAGAGCATGTGGGGAATCTGCGCCCCACGTGTGTGGACAGTAAAAGTGTTTTCAAGGGATCTCTAACAGTGATCGTATCTGCTTCAGCAGGTCATTCTCGGCATACAAGGAGGTGCACAGTTCACTATGGGAGTCCCAAATGGACACGGCGTCTTGGGACAGGTTAATTGGTGATACTGCGTTGGCAGTGGTGCACAAGCGCAAATAACAAAACGTTTTAACAAATACTTTTTTTCCTGGGAACATGAAGCTAGCCGATGGCACGGAATTCAATTTTTTGGACATATTTTCAAAATTACAAAAAATCAGACATGTTGATAACAACGCTTTTTGTGAATGGAGATTTTTCTATACAGTGTTCGTTAAATGTTGCGTCCCAGGAAAAGAGGCCAAACGTCAGAACAGTTCCCAAAATTGACTTGGACTCCACATCTTACAATTGAGGACGGCAGCTTGGCGGCCATATTGCCAAGGGAAGTAACCATCCACCTCCCTCCCTACTCAATATGGCCGCGGTCACGTATCAAAAACACGCGCTTGCGATTGGCCCACTGAGCGGGGCACGTGGTTGGGCAGGGGCCAATCGCGCGAGGGCCAAGAACACTGCTCTCCTTCCAGGCCGAAGCGAGAGTCCGCGATGTCCCGCGGGTCGAGCGCGGGCTTTGACCGCCACATCACTATCTTCTCGCCCGAGGGCCGCCTCTACCAAGTCGGTGCGTGTTGTCCTCCTTCCCCCCCTCAACGCAGGCCGGACGGGGAGCGAGGAGATCCCGAGCCGAGTTTCGCTGGACAGCGGGAACGGTCGCACCGGTTGCGGCCTAACGGGATAGGCTCGGTTGTAAACTGCTTCATTCACCCCGCGTGTAAACACTTAAACTATTCGAGTGTAGAGTAAGTGGATGGAATTAAGAGGGAATGACGATGCTTTCAGTAGAATTACCCGCGGTGTGAGTAGTTGTATGGGCGCGTGTGGCCCGCGGATTTGTATTGAGGCGGGCGCGGTGGGGGGCGGTGGAGAGCCCAGGCCGGGCCCTGCAAATTCAGCCGAGTCACGGGGGGGCCTTGAGCGGCCTTTGCCTGACCCAGCAGCCAGCACCCCTTCAAAGTCGGCGTTTGCATGGGGTTGGTCGCTCAATCCCCTCCTGATATCAACGTAACGCCCGATCTTTAAAGTTTCGTGGGATTTAGACTGGACAGTGCTTGGGTGGGTGACCGTGCACATTCGGTTTATGTGCTTCGTGTTGGACAGCAGAGGGCAGTGCAGATACATCCATTGTTACGTAGAAATGTTCTGAAGGCTTCCACTTTTCACCCTAATATTGTATCAGTTGAGGGAAATACAATTGGCTAGTATGTTAAATGCAACCAGCCGCTGGTCTGACAGGTCCCGTTCTTGTCGGTGTGGAGCCGTTGATTGTGATGTGCAAGAGCATTAACTGGAATCGCATGCGGTGACAACGTTTAATTGTAACTTTTCTACGTGACCAATAAAAGCGAATCTGTGATGGCCTATGACCAAATCGCCTAAAATTCGCCTGATATCGTCAGATCAAAGTAGACTAGCAGAAGAGCTTGGCTTTTCATGTTTTCTGTTCTAGTCTGGTTGTCTGCTGTCCGATTTCAGGAACTGCATGGACATTTTGACCCGTGTGATGTGCTGTAGGTGGCGCTGTGAACACTAAAGAAAGAGCAAAACATGACAGGGTTGCTGGCAGCGCCTGAAAACTGTGGGTTAGGTGTTGGTGCAGGGTTCAAGTGTAGGCTTAGGGATAGAGGGGCTGATGAGCTAGTTAGTGTTAGTATTGGGCTAGTATTTGTCTGATTATGATCTGTCAATAAACAGCGTGTTCCTTCTCTCAATTGCATCGTAGTTGTACACGTAATGCTAAATTAAAGCTCTCCTTTGTCAGTCCACTTGGATGAAAGCCAACAGTAGATTGACAATTCCTCCCCAGTGTATTTCCTTTAGTGATGGTTTGTCCTCACTTCACCACGCTGGTCAGTGAGTGCAGGGGATGCCGAGGACTGTTTCACATGTCACGCTCGTATTTCACTCATCAAGGTTGTTAGCCATAGCTGAGAATCGAAATCAAGTCTCGCTTGGTTGGTAGAGCAGTGTACTAACCATTGCACCACCACTTCACCACTCGGTGTATTTCTCACAGTCTTCATTTTTTAACGAAAACCACGTGGGGGAGTTACCCATCTTGCAGTAGATTGACAAAAGGGCATTGTACAGACAGGAAGCCCATAGAATGATGAACCAACATGTTATTTTATACTTTGTGTGCTCAGAGATCCCTGTCAGTGTATACATATAGTTTTGCTGATCTGTGCCTAATGCCTGACAATATACACGCTGTGTGTAACGCTGGGTAGGCTACTTGGATTTTCAAGCAATGTTATTTTTTTTTCATGATAGACAATTAAAATTGTAACGAACTCATTAGTTTGTAATTATTTATTAGTTTGTTACAATAATAATATTTTTTTTTCAAAAAATATACCAGTGCCACTTTTAATAAAAGACAAGTGCGCCCCTGTTTTTGTATTTCATCTTTTCGTTTTGCACACCATCACAAAATAATAATTAATTAATCTATTCCTTTCATTTGTGTTTGACAATAAAAAAAATTGGGACATCAAATAGAAATTGAAATAAAGAAGCAGAATCAATTTGATGACCTTTGCTCGCACTTATAGTGGAAATTTGTGAACATAGACCTCTCCCCTTCCGATCAATAATAAATAGTAGCTTTTTTTTAATTCACATCAATTCAGAATCCAGTAAGTTATTGTAACTGAGTCCAAACTTATTTTGGTAAAAGCGACCTGCTCACATTTTCGGTTTATAAATAGTTAATTTTTTTCACATCAATACAGAGTCCATTAAGTCGATACTTATAATAATTAAATTATTTCTATAACAATTGCACATTTGTAACAAACACGTGTTTATATTTTTTTATTCACTCTCACAGGTGAGGAAAAATGTAAAGTTTGGAAAACCCTATTTTTGTAGGAAACATTTATTTTACTTTCTTCCTGATAGAAAGGTAACTCAAACAGCTCTTATAACACTATGATGAAGGTGATTTAGAATTGTAATTCATTAGTTAGAAGTTTGTAATTAATTACTGTCAGAGTAGATTTTATTCAGTACATCACATTCCGTAATTTAGATTTCATTAAGATGAATCCAGAAAGTGTAGATGAAAGAAGACATCGATTCAACAGAGAAAGACAGCAGTGATGGCTTAATCGACAAAGTCAAGAAACACTGGATTGTTAACGTGCAATACCCATAATATGATGGGCATGATATTGGGATTAGTAAGGTCATGTGGACTGATGCCATGCATGATTGCTGTTTTCGCAGAGTATGCTTTCAAGGCCATTAACCAGGGTGGCCTCACGTCGGTGGGGCTGCGGGGCAAGGACTGCGCAGTGATGGTCACACAGAAGAAAGTGCCCGTGCGTCCCACTCACCCCCCCCCCCCACCCACACAGGGTCTGGGTGTTAAAATCTGGGCAGAGGTGGAGTGGCATTGATGTGGGACTTTTTGTTCACCTTGCTTTTACTGCTGCAATTTTAACAACTGATACACAGAGGATCATTTTTACACTTGTCAAAAGTGGAACTGCCAGTGGCTGTAGCGCATTAAGTTACATTTCCCGCTCGTGAATCGCGTTGGGTATATAAGTTCAGTGGGGGATGTAATCCTGGTGAGACTAAGTCATGTGGTTTTATTTTCATTTCTCAGGACAAGCTGCTCGATTCCAGCACGGTGACGCAGCTCTACAAAATCACAAACGGGATCGGCTGCATGATGACCGGCATGACGGGTATCCACGCACACCTTTACTTACCCTGTTTGGCAGCTCGTTGCTATGAGCAGCAGTGGGCATATTTGTGAAAGTAACCTTTCGCTGACATCAACGTGGGTTTTAATGACATCCAGCGTAATATTGGGAATGGCATGTATCCAGGAAAGCCTCACTAAGTCTCGAGACACGTCTTAGGAGAGTTCTAAAAAAAATTTAAGAGTGCTTTACACGTGAGAGAACTGGAGTACATGTCATAAACTCACACGAGCCGATCACTAACCGGACTGAACAGAAACATATTACGAGGTATGATCCTGATTTGCATGCGAATTACTTGCCACAAAGCAAAAAGTGCTACGGATTAGCTCATCCGCCATAGCACTAGATTGTAGGCAGTTGCCACCACACCCTGCTTAACAAGTTCACAGTGGTTCTCGTTGATTGTACTCTGTTTTCTCCCCTCTTGGTGGTGCCAGCGGACGGGCGCTCACAGGTGCAGCGTGCACGGTATGAGGCGGCCAACTGGAAGTACAAGTACGGTTACGAAATCCCCGTGGACATGTTGTGCAAGCGCATGGCGGACATCTCGCAGGTGTACACGCAGAACGCTGAGATGAGGCCGTTGGGCTGCTGTAAGTCCCCTACCCCCATCCACACTGATTCACTCCGTCGGTCACCTCATCACGCTGATGTTGTTACTATCATAGTTACTGTTGTACCCCTGGACTTCGATCATGGATTCCTCTCCCCATGTTGAGGAGTCTGTCAACCAGACTGACCTTTTCATCTCATTGATACTGTGTTGAACTGATTTTCACGAATGTTATCAAGTAGCATGATGAACTTTGTGGTAAAATGGGTTAAAATAGGTGCCTATTGCTGAAACTGGTATGGTTGCCAAGTATGCACTGCCTACACACTGTCTCAATGTGGTACCTACTGTAACTATGACAAGCCCAGTGAAGTGAACACTGATAACTGACAGCGCTGTTTTGTTAATCTCTGATAAGTTAATACATTTATTTGAAATGTTTAACCGATGAGGTCAGGCAAGAGGACTGGCAATTAAGAAATCTGAGGCCAGTCACAACTCTCCACCTGTTTTATTGCAACACTGTGAAATCACCAAACACTGCAACTGGATTACACAAGTAACATTTCTTGACAAAACCGAGCAAGAATGTTCACTTTCGATTTAAAGCTTTCGTGACTGCAGGGATTCATCTTCTTGGTTCTTTCGGTAAAGTCACGTAGAAGGGAAGTAATAAGTGAGAATTGTTTTATTATGTTTTATTTTTATTATTTTATTACTTCCCTTCTACGTGACTTTACCGAAAGAACCAAGAAAATGTTCACTTTATATACTTTGGGTGATGCTACGCCTCTGTTTCACACCAAGCATGATTTTTTTCAGTTATAGTTCTGGATCCATTCGGTTTATCCAGTTTTGGGAGCAGCCTTCTATTAGCTCTTTGCATTTGCCTGAATAACATAAATCACTGCTTTTATAACTTCTGTAAAGACTCCAATAATTTAGATGTACTTTGTCATGTAATATTTTTTCAATTGCTGTTTATTATTTAGCACATCTTCACTATGTCCTAAGCGCATGCTTTAATTAAATAATTCGCAGTGATGATTTCTTCACTTCGCTGGTGACATCTGTCGGCACTGCCGTTTCCCTCCCGCCCTGTGTGCCCCGATTCCACCTGGCCCCGATGATCGTCCTGCTAGGCATGATGCTGATCGGCATTGACGAGGAACTAGGCCCCCAGCTTTACAAGTGCGACCCGGCCGGGTACTTCTGTGGCTACAAAGCGACGAGTGCGGGTGTGAAGCAAACAGAGGCTAACAGCTTCCTGGAGAAGAAGCTCAAAAAGAAGCCGGAGTGGAGCTTCGAGCAGACTGTGGAGGTGCTTTCCAAGTGCTGCTTTGCCTTCGTGCCCAACATTATAACCGACACTCCTCATCCAAGTCTTGGTTTAAGTTAACATGACTCAGATTCCACATTGCTTGCCTAGTCATGATTCACTTGTGAGGCATGTGTGCCATTGCCAAGTTTGTGAGCAAAGTGATTAGTTATGTAATGTCAGAGATCTGCATCAACCAGGCCCCCTTGTGCTTCGTCATGACTCTGTTATGTATGCCACTTACAATTGCTGGCACATGCAGAGGAAGCTCCTCGTGCCACCGAGCTTCCGGGCATTGATGGGCCCGGTTACGGACCGTACCACTGGTGACCACGTGTGGTGTCGCGTTGTTCACAGACGGCGATCACATGCCTCTCCACCATTGTGTCGGCCGACTTTAAGCCCTCGGAGATCGAGGTGGGCATCGTCACGGTGGACAATCCCAAGTTCAGGTGAGGCTGAGCGTCACCCGGGGAAAAGCTGACCTCGCAGGAAGTCCACATCCGCTACCAGTGTCAAATACCAAAAATAAGGATGTGAAAAAATGTAACTGGTTCATGTTCTAGAATAATGTAGCTGTACTCTGCTGAACATTTCCATGACATTTATGAATGGCGCTTGCCTATAACACCAGTTAATGTTGACTTTTTTTGGCGACAAAAAATACCCTTAATTCATTGGCAATTACTTTATTCCATTGTTAATGCATAGGGATGTTTATTAACCCTGATACCGAGAAAACTACACGCAAGCAGTTGCGTGTGCCAAGCTTTTATTAAATAAGGTTTAAGTGTAAAATGAGTAAACAGGATGATGATGAAAAATCCCAGACCTATAGTGCTACGCATACAGCTATGCCCTCCGCATCCCTGGATCGCGATTAGGGGAGTTAATCTCAGTTTTTAGCATCATCAACAATAGTATGCATTAAGTAGATTACCGGTTTAACAACTGTGAGCCCGATAACTGGCATGATGTGGTGAAGTCTTAATCCAATATTGCACTGGCAAAGGGCTGTACGGTTATTCGTATACATTTTGTATGTGATGGGTTGCCCCATGGAAAATCACATTTTAAAGCAACGTGCAGTTTGAACGTTCATGCACAGCAATCGGTTGGATCATTAATATTGTAGTGAGTTCAACTGAGTTGTAGACTTGGAGGCAACACATTTAACAGAGCATAATATCCTTGACTTGTAATCGATATTGGAATCCGTGACACACATTTTTTTAAATCAACTCACAGCCCTTCCTACGTCCAGCGGCGAGCACGGAACCGCAGCCCACGTCGGTGGCCGCACGGGAAATTTATATGAGCGGCCCAAACCTTGAGCTGCTGCCCACACTCAACCACTGCTGCCCCCGTCCCCCGCTCCACAGGCTTCTCACCCAAAATAACGTCATGCGTGCCAGGCAGTCCCATTTACTACTGTAGCATTGGATTGTGCATTCCACTATTGGTTTGTGATTTTTGCTGGGGGTTTTTTCCGCTTGTACTTTTTAAAAATGTTTACAATATTAAAAAGCCCATACAAAGTATATTGCAAACTGGAAATATGTTAAATTGGTCTTGGTGGAAATAGCGGGGTTTTGTTAAGAAACAAATATACCGAGGCACCCCACCCCTGCATTAGCCCAGGATAGCGAGTGTATGCTGTGGCTATAGTTTATGGGGACAGTTGTGGGACATTTTTATGGATATCTTTGAAAAAAAACTTTATAGCTCATCGGATTCCTCAGGTGTAAATTAATATTATGATTCTGATATTCTGACATCCTAGAGTCCCATCTACGCCATCTGTCTATGCTCACATGGATTTTGTTTTTGCAGGGTCCTCTCGGAGGTGGAGATCGATACTCATCTTGTCGCCATTGCGGAGAAAGATTAGTTTTACCGTCAGCGCTGGTTTTTTTTTACAATAATTACCGTACTGTTGGGAATTGACAAAAGAAAAACGATTGTTTAGGCCCACGCAGGCATCCTTTGTGATCTGCGCCATTGAGCTTCATGTCAACAGGGCATCGGGAAATTCCATGCAGGTCTCTTACAGGGACTGTCGCCCTCCTTCGCCGGTTGTCGATTGTCCCAAAAGGCGCGGGCCGGTGGTGGGCAAGTCAGGTATCCATTGATAGTGGTGTACGGTGCGTGTCACTTGACAATAAAGTGGTTTCGACACTGCAGCAGTCGTTTCCTTGTTTCTGTGTTCCCCTTGGCGCCTCAAGTTGAGTCAATTTGCATATCGTATTTCCCCTCTGGAAATTCCCAGCTGTGGGTGCATGCGTGACACAGCTGTTTGTACGCTCTACCCTACCTGGGGTTTTTTTGTGATAGCCTGCGTGGGCTGTAAATGAAGGCAGGTTCTTGCCTGATGGGCTTTGACCTTTGTGTGGGATTGGCTTGCACTTTCCAACTTATGACTTTGAAATTGAATTGTTAAAAATATATGTTTATTTATAACATCCAAAAAAAAATATATACAATATGTTACAATACATTCGAATTGCATTGCAGTCATGGACACACACAATAGTATAAAAAAATATCAACTTTACATATACAGGCATTGTGTTGTAGTGTATATTTATTTCTGATCACAGTTCGTGAGCGTTATGTCGGTAGCACCATGAAGTCACTGTCCTGTTTCGGCAGTGTTGACGCTGCCGAATACAGGCCATTGAGCGGGGCTCGAGTGTTCAGGAGGGGGGCTGGCATGGGTTGGTAAGTTGGCTCCCGTCAGTGTAGCAGCTCCCCATCGATCCGAATGTCATCAAACTGCAGCATCGTCAGCACCTGGGAGGAGAAAGCATTGCAGCGGAGATGAGTGTGAGGTGCTAATGGCACGATACCGTTTGAATTCCTATAGCATCTCGATGCTAACACGTCAACATAGGGTGACATGACAGGCAGCAGTACCCCCATATTTTTATCCAAGGAATTTTCTCTAAAACCACAATGCTTCAGCCGACCTTTCGGCAGTTATCCTTCTGAAAACATTTGTGCACCTGATGAAAACAGGTGACGGCTGCTGTGTGTTGGCGTGGAGCTAATGTCTGGGAGTGTGGTTAGGGCATTAGAGGTGAGGCATGCATGTATCTGAGCTGGGTGTAAAATAGTAAAAGTAATAATTTCAGGTAAGATGTGCATGAGCGCCCAGCTAGTTGCCATGTGTGCACTAACACCAGTGCTTGGAGTAAAATTAACCGTTTTTGTGCAACTAAATTTAATGAGCCGTTAACACAAAATTATTCCCACCAAGTTCGCCATTTCACTTTTAAATATTTGTATCGAATCGGTTGTGATACCCATTTCAGTTGCGCACATTCGAGGCAACCATGCTCATGGAACGGACGTTAGTGACGACCCATGGGGGCCGTGGCAGCGCGGGGCCTCACCGAAGGGTTGTGGCGCGCCAGATCGAGCGGCGTTTCCCCCTCCAGGTTGCGGGCCTTCTGGTTGGCCCCGAGGCGAGAGAGCAGCGCGGCCAGTTTCCCGTGGCCCAGGCCGGCAGCCACGTGGAGCGGAGTGCACCCGTCCCAGGCGGCCGCGTTCGGGTTGGCTTTGTGCCACACCAGGGTCTCGCAGATCCCCTCGTCTTGCATCTCCACGGCAGCATGTAACACCGTGCGGCCGCTCCTGGGATCCTGTGGGCAACGGAGTCGGGGCGGGGGTCAGGAACGAAGACTGTGGAAACCCAGTGGGCCTCTGCTGTTGGTGCGCTTGCTCGTGTGTACAGGAAAAATGGGAAAGGAGGTTTGTGTAGATTAGTAGCTCACCTCGTCGTTTGCGTTGGCGCCGATTCTCAGCAGGTATTCAACCATTTCTTTGTCTCTCCTCAACACGGCGGTGTGGAGACACGTGAGCCCTGTGATGAGACAAGACGGCAAGCATTGATTAATGCCGGTTTCTTACCTGGGAAAGCCCTACTCAGCTGTTTGCTAAATTCCATTTATGAAGCGGAAACCGAAGAAGCCAGATAAATCCATTTGTGTGTATGAGAAGGAGACACCTCGCTGCCTCACCACTACAATGCCTGGTCAGCCCTGGTGGTCACCCATTCAGGCTCAGCCCTTCTAAGTATTATATGTGGCAAACTTAAATAGTTTTGGCTGAACTTTGACTCAGGTTTACAATTCGTAAATCACCCCCGCGCCGACTCCATTCGCCCACAGGACTGAATACAGAAGCCCCGGACCCCCTTCAAACATAACCCGCTGTAAGTGTGGGCACCACACCTTCATAGTTGGGGGTGCAGAGGGCACGGGTGAGGACCCGTGGATTCTGTGCCGACGTGACCACCCGCAGGCATCCGTGGGCGCCCAGGGTGCACGCCAGGTGCAGCGGAGAGTTCCCCGCCAGGTCCTGCGCCTCGATATCCGCACCGGCTGTCGCCAGGGCCGCTGCCAGCTCCTCCTGGTTCGTGACGATGGCCAGGTGCAGTGGAGTCTACAGGAGAAGGAATAGGGAAGGGGGTAGGGAGGGTTAGGTTACGATGCTGTGTATAATAATAATGGCCTAAATGTATTCAGGAAAACCTAGCCGAGTTTCAGGATGGCTCTGATGCACTGGGTTGTTTTAACGAAGCAGTGTTTGGCTTCTTGCAGGAAAATACCGGAGAAAACCCACCGTGCTCTACTACCAGCTGCTGGGCACCTCGCAGGCCAGCGAGGTTTTATAGTTTCACAAATGTCTTCACCTTGTACTTTTAAAGTGCTAGATCACAGGTGTCCTACGCCTATCGAACCCACATCCCGCGTAAGTGTGGGCTCATAGGAAGCAGTAGTGCATTAGCACACTGCACTACGAACCCGGCGACCCAAGTTCGATTTCCACTCACGGCCAACACCAGTGACGATTATCTGAACCGGTCCTTGGCCTCCTCGAGGTCGACTCAGCCTCAAATGAGTACCTGGTGTGGTTTGTAAAATCGCCCCTGGAGACAAAGGCGGCTGGGCGTGGTGCTGACTACCTACCCTGACATATGCCTTGCCGGCCTTCATAGGTGCTTGCTACCAGTACTTTCCCCAACAGTCTGCTAAGGGCTATACGGGGCATCTTTGCATCGTCGGCTCATAGCCCCCGAGTGGTTGTTGATGAGGGAGTGGAGAGGCCCCGGGAGGCTCACCTGCATGAGGTGGTTGGTGGCGTTGAGGAGGCGGCGCTGCAGGTCTCTCCTGAGCAGCTCGTGAGCCACGTGTGTGGCTTCGTGGATGATGGCGAGGTGCAGGAGGCTGTGGGAACACACGGTCACTCTGGGGTCAATGCCGTGCTTCAGCATACAGTTTGCAAGTACTGTCAGTGCACTGCGAAGTCGGCTCTTGGTGACGCCTGGAGGAAGAGGGTTATGGCACCTGGTAAAGTTAATATGACACAAACCTACTTTACCAGGTGTTGTATGGAACCTGCCCATTGGATGTGGGCAGGTCCCATAAAACGGCATCGACTGACAAAGGTCGCTTGTGCTAACTACGGCTTTTCTATTCATAGCTCGAAGTGGTTTCCACCAGCGTTATTTGCCCGACCGCCGGGGTAATTGCCCCAGCCCGGTAATTCCACTCGCTTGCGTCATCCCTGGCTTGGGGCGGGGAGGGGGAGAGGCCTTCATCCAGAAGTAGATTGATGACCATAGATGACGATGACGATGGTGGTGGTGACGATGTTGTAATTCACGCCGATATGATCGGTCGCTTGACTTCCGAGTGGAACAGCTCAGGCTGGGTAAATCCGCCGTGACGCGGTCACGTCTCGACACGACGAAGAAGGATTCATTCCAGAATTTGTCACGGGTGGGAATTTTTTTGTTGTACAAATCGTCTGTGATCCTTTACGTGCGTCGGTCGATCGGGGGGTTGTTTGGCCAAACTTCACTGCGCTGGTCAGTGCGTGTTGGCAAAAGTCGGGGGAGAGTATAGATGTGGGAACATCGAAGCACAGTACAACGGACTTGCCCTGCCCGCTGACGCGTCCCACGTAGCCCCGTTCGCAGCCGGTAACACGTTTGTATGAATTGTGGGTGCCCATGAAAGCAATGTCCAGGCTCAAAACGTTGCTTGGTTTCCCAATCTAACGAGATTTTTATCAAAATCAACACCCTACCCACATACAGACGGAACAGGTCGATCTCCGCGGCCTATGTTCTGCACTGCGTTCTCCTGGCGAGCCCAGGGTATAGCAACCTCGGCATCCACAGCAGTGAGTGTCTTCTGAATGCATAGTGTGTGTGTCTTCTGAACGCATGTGTACAGGTGTGTACGGTATTTGGTGTGTTACAAAACAGTGCTCGGCAGCATTGCTGTGTAGTGTTGATGAATGTGTGTGAATGGTTATAACTCTGAACCTGCCCTAGGTCAACGCAGCAAAGGCGGCCGGGCGTGACTACTGTATGCATGTTTGAACTTCTTTCGCACCGCACGTAGCCAACCGCGTAAATAAGTGGTTGGCCACACCGTCCCGTCATGCGCCTCGCCTGACATTAACAGTCGCTCGCGAATATCACTAGTTCCACATGTGAGCCACGGGGCAATGTTGCCCCGTCTCCTGTGCACCCACTCCGTGCCCTCTATGCCCCACCCCACCACCCTGTCTCCGTGAATGCTGTCAGTGTGCGGCGTGTCCGCGTGCGTTGTCCGTGTGTCCGCGTGCGCGTCCTCACTTGTCTCCATCCTCGTCCGTGTCTTCGGGCAAACTCATCTCCCCGTATTCGCATCTCTCCACCTCCCCGCAGTGCAGACTCAGGTTCCTCATCCTCGCCATGTCCTCGTCGCTCAGCGAGCAGATCCCCGAGTCCACTTGCTCCATCTCCCCGAAGGAGGTCTTGACATCTCCGCCGAGGTGCGACGCGCCCCACTGGCACGCGGGGTCGCGGCCAAACGACCACGCCGAGGTCATTGTCGAGGTGGACATTGTGCACCGAGCTGAGGTCTGAGATGCCTGAAACTCCGTGGTGTTTGAGAGTTCTGAACTCTGTGAGGTCTGCTGGGGGAGTGTCGGGGGTTTTATACAACGGGTCGCGTGCGGAGTTTCCAAGCCGGGCGTGGCTCTCAGAGCAACCGGGAACACGGCGTTCTCAGGGTCTCTCACCCTAACCCCCCACCAGCCCTCCTCGGTGGGGATTTCCAGAGCTGCGGGGTGTAAGGGGGGGAGGAGGGAGGGGGCAGGGCGGACTGCTCCGCTCAGCCCTCCGCAGTTATTTGCATGTAAACGCGCAATACCTGTAAGGGCCGACTCTTCCCCAACGTTTACAATTCACAGTTCCTACTCCAAGCTGTTCCCCATTTGCATGTTGGTGCAGATAATACTTGCTCCTACATCCCCCCCCTGCCCTTCCAACGACTAACCAGGCTGAAGCCCCTTTAGCTTCCAAAATCGGATGGGATAGGGGGAGCGTGCAGGGTTGATGATGTCGCAGCCAGGCGAGACGAGTGAGGGAAACTTGGAGAAGGGGCCCGTCCACCCGCCTATGGGCTATCGGGGGCTTTATTGGGGGATTTATTTTAAAATATTATCCAGTCATCGATTGAACATGGGGCCAAGCGAAACGGCTGCCCCCCCCTCCCCCCACCAGCTTTTGGACAGAGGAGAATGCCCCTCCAAAATGAACATCTTTCATTCATGAGCCTCCACCCACACCATCAACACCACCATCGCAACCGCACTTGTCCTGTCCACCATGAGCCGTGGTCTATCCACAGCTGGACGGAGGCCTCCCCAAGCCGTCGCCATCCTCCTCACTCGTGCGAAGTAACAACTCATTGAGTTGCTGCAATAACGAGACCCGCGGTGTGCTTCCTCGTGGGCGCATTGTCTCCTTTAGCTGCCACTCCGTCTGTGGTTTTGACCACCGGCCCGGCCATTATTCCTTTTGGCGACATGTCCCACCCACGCGGACTGTTCTTAAGTCAAAAAAACGCGACGTTGAAAGTTGCGTGTGTTGTCTACTTCACATATTCCTGCTTCTCAATGCAATCAGAAGCACGCATCTCTCAGCGATCCTGTTGCGTTTTTGTTCCATTTTATATGTCGATGTTTTTGATCCATATGGCATATAGCGGATAACATATACATCGATTAAACGCATTCTTCTCAATGCACATCGCTCTGTTGTAGGAGCTAAATAGTTCCAGATGAGAGCCAATCGGGAGAACCGCCTCCATCTTCTCAGTGATAGAAACAAACACTCTGTTGTTATTTATACTTAACCTGTTATTCGTGAAACCCATAGAAGCACCCAGGGCGTTATTCATCGCCGATTACTTCCCGGGTCGCTGTGTTCTAATAGGAGGCACGGGACTTGTTTCCAACAGCCGTAGCGATCATACTTGATGTGGTGTGCTGGGTGCGGAAATATTTTTCTGGTCGCCGACTCGGACAAACCCCGGCTGAAAGGAATCGCTGGGTTTGCCTACGAATCCAGACGTGGCAGTGGCCCGAACACACTGCTGCGGGGGACACGTGACGGGTGAATGACGCCTGTAGAATGTTATTTGTTTACTGGTAGCGACTTTACCAGAACACGGTATGATTTGAGTTTTGACAGCGCAATATGTAACCAATGGAATTTGTTTTAAAAATGCGAATACACTTTGTTCCAGCGTTGATGATGAATAGGCTTTGCACTGGTCTTTTTCAGGACATGCAGTTGAGTTTCCCCATATCATGCAGTTTTATATCATTATTTAACCTATATATGTTTTTAACCATAATATGTTTTTAAATACAAAAAGGTAAAGGTACAGACCTGCAATTGCTCGCGCACGCCACTTCTGGCGGAAGAAGCGCCTCCATACTCTAGAGTATTTGGCCTACTTTTTCACGCTGGTCAGACGTCTTGGAAGACGTGGGGGTACCCACACTTTACCCCACCCGACGCGAGAGACCTGCCGAATGACTGTGACTGTGGTGCACACACTTACATTGCTGGGTGGACAGGGGCGTGGAGAATTAATTCACGTTCCCATTGTTTCAACTGCCACGCCGGGAGATTGAAACAGAGAGCTTTGGAACGCAAAGTCCAGTGCATTAACCATTGCACAGCGGATACTTTAGCGGAAATCCTGTTTGAGGTTAACTCAGCCCATTAACCCTCCGAATGAGTTCCACTTTTAAAAAGAGTTCCACTTCATGGAGAAGTCCACAGCAGTTGTCTATTGGATAGACACCCCCCTGCCATATAAATTGGGAATTTCCATCACTGGCTCACTGGCTGAGCTTAGAACGGAGTAGGTACGGTGCGAAAGAAGTTCAATACATATACTGCACAAAAATAAGCATCGCCTCAATGCCCATTTCAGCAGAGCATCTATTTGACTATCCACAAAAAGCCCCCTGCGTCTCAAGACTTTTTCCGCAGGGTCCTGCTACATTAGGAAGTTTGGTCAGTTCCTGCAAATGTTTCGTTTCGTGTTGGAGAGAGAATCGGAGAAACCCCACCAACGCATACAAGGGGTCCTCACAGACGGGCTCACGAAACAACTTGCTGCGCTATAAAATCTTCGTCACCTTGACTTTAGGCTGGATAGTTTAACAAATGTATTCGTGATCCATTAACCCCCTCCCCCCCCCCCCCCCCCGGGTTTACTCACCGCGGGGAATACCGACACTGAATCGGCTGGCGAGATCTCGGTGTTGGAATTTGCTACCAACACGTGCATTCCTCTACTGCTACGTGAATTTTCCCCAATCCCTCGGACCAGCGAGAAATATTCCCCTCTTCCCGGACTCCAAACCCCCCATTGCCCCACCGTGCCGGGTCCACCAATCTTTTTATTCAAATGGCCTCAACTGCCACGCGGCGCCACGCGTGGTGAAATCGTGGCTTTTCGCAATGCAAATCGAGGCGGACTTACATGGCTGGCGGTTACATCAGAGCACGCACGCGTGTGCGAACACGAGAGGAGAACACCTGGCGGCACGTCGCCAGGTAAGGGAGGAGGTTACGGGGGGCGGGGTGCGAGGGGAGTGGTGGGGGGGGGCTCCTGGATACCTGCGTCATTGCTTGCGTGAGTTGCAGCCCGATACGGACAGCAGTCACGCGAAGTGTATGCGCTTGATTCGGTCGCCGTGGAGATGCGAGATCAGCTGTGAAGGGCTCGATCATCCGTGCGCAGCTGCCTCGCTAATTTAATTAAACCGGGGGGGAGTGGCGTGAGCCTGGGAATCCTCGATCCGCCCCGGAGTCACTGTTGGAAACCCCCTAACAGGTGTCAGGTGATTGCAGCTGGGAATTACCGTCTGCTGTAGGATAGGACGAACCTTTAAGACATTGAAAAGACGTTGTTTAATTTTCGCACAGTCTGTAAGTTCTGCCTATTGTCTGTCTGTGCAGAGGCCAACATGTCAGGCATTGAAGTCAACCAGAAAAGAAGTCAGTCAGAAAGAGTAATACAAGCATTAGAGAACGTTCGCAAGTTAATTGCGATACAATGAGTGGGATTGAACAGGACACGTAGCGTGGCGGGATGCTGACCGATTGTCAAGACGAGTGACTGGGTAGCAAGCAAGACACACAAGAGGACATCAACCGAGGAGAAGGAGCGATTGTAGCTCGTGTGACGTTTCTGGGCGGTTTGTTACATCGCAAGGGATCGGGAGAGGTGGCAGCCGCTTCGGGAGGCCTCCATCTAGCAGTGGGTTGACCATGGCCGGTGATGACGATGATGATAATGGTGAAGCGAGAAACTGATTCCACGCGATTTCAGACCGGCAGGTAGTCCTTGCGCAAGACCCAATGACTACTCGCCTGGTTAAATAAAGCACTCCGCGCGTTGCGAGGCGTTGGCGATGATTAATCGATTGTCAATGCAGCCAGTATATGACCTTATGCCGCCGATCTCGGCAGATTTCGCAAGTATAAGCAAATTGAAAACTAATTTCTTTAGAACTACATTTTGTGTTTAGTTTGGTGTCCTTCCCCCGCACCTACAATTAGCTACGTAGTGGTGCGAAAGAAGTTCAACGTACATAAATTGAGCCTGGATACTGCTTGGATGGGTGACCACCGTGCAGAAAAGAATGATGCAGTCGACATTGCGGGCGGCAGAAGGCAACATACTCCATTGTTATTCTACACTGTCCCCCTCCTTCACTAACCCGCAATGACCAGAGTGGTGAAGTATGTTCATATATCCTTCACGACCCACAGGGCGTGGGGAGACCCTCATCCAACTGTAGATTGACAACAATGGGATGTACGCGAGCACGAAAACCTGAGCGTAGCCCACACATCCCCATGCTTGACTATACTCGCCTGTCTCTGTGCGTGATTATAACCATCTTCTTGGTTCTTTCGGTAAAGTCACGTAGAATGGAAATAATAAAAATAAAACATAATAAAATAATTCTCACGACGTTTCGGCCACAACGCAAGCAGCCGTCCTCAGGTGGAGAACAGGTCTGTCGAGAAGACAGAGTCTGAAATTGATTATAACCAGTCACTGGGATAGGTGAGCAAACAGGTGAGCAGGTAGTAAGCCGAAAGATAGGTAGGTGGGCATGCCAGCACGGAGGCAGGAGGGCGGGTAGGCGCGTAGATGAGCAGGTAAAGCAGCTTGGTTAGGTAAGTAAATACATCGGCCCTATTGTTTGTAACTCTTGAGAGTTTGCGTTCCGAGGCGTCGAAGTCCAAAGCCGAAACACCGGGCGAAGTGGACGGGAGTGGAAGCGAGAAGTTTCGAATTCACGACCCTGAAATCTGAGCTGTAAGTGTCTTTTGAAAGAAAAAAAAGCACCTAACCTTCCCTCCCCGTGAAGCCCCCTCCCACCACGAGACCCCTCACCCTCCGGGGGTTTACCGAAGATGAAGGATAACATCTTTTTTTGAATCAGGTGAGAGGCTAAAGAAATGCCAGCGGGTTTAGGCAAGCGTGACAACAACAACAGCTGAGTGACAGCCAGAGGAGGGAACGTGCTCGATAGGACCTTCCAAGCAGAGATGGAGTGATGAACGCAGTTGGAGTGCAGGTCCTGTATGGATTAATGCGATGGGGAGCGGTGAAGCAGCGGTTAGCGCACTGCACTTTTATACCCGGCGACCCGAGTTCGATCGATTCCTGCTCACGGCCAAATGAACCGGATTTGGACCGCCTCTAGGTCGACTCAGCCTTAAAATGAGCACCTGGTGCGGTGTGTAAACATCATCATTGGAGAAACAAAGGCGGTCGAACGCGGTTGTTAGCCATGCCACTCCCTCGTGTGCCGTGCCGACATTAAGAGGTGCTCACTAACAGCACTTGTCCCAACAGTCTGTGACAGGCTATACGGGGGAGCTTTGTCTTTGTCACAGGACTGTGAGGGGATGGTTGCGGCGTGGGATATTGCTGTGGTGTTCGTGTGCTGTACGTCTCTGGTAAATTCGCCGTGAATATCCTTGTGTGTAATCTCAACGTAGGTGCTCTATTTGTATGACTGATATTGATTATGTCTATGAAATTGCATTAAGATTTTATTTTCCACTGAATAAAATCCCTTTTTCATGCTCCTCAGAGGTCGAGGTGTTTCATTCCTCTGCACGCGTTTGGGGCCGTCCCTAAATGACGTCACGCACCTGGGAGGGGGGGGGGGTCAGACATTTGTGACCATGTGTGACGATGGGGGTGGGGGGGTGAGAAATGTGACGCCACATCAAAATGCGCAACTTTCAATAAATATAGACAACACGTTCTACTTAATTAAATATACTTTTAAATAAATGTTCTCCTACAACATCAGAGTGAAGGCCACATTAAAATGACAATAGTTTAAAGCGATTTGAAGCATTTTTTATTTGGGGGGGGGGGCAGAGCTTTGTGACGTCATATTTGAGGGGGGGTCTGACTTTTTGTGACGCCGTTTGACGAAGGGGGGTGGGGTCAAAAATCGTCCAAAATCGCGTGACGTCATTTATGAACGGCCCCTTTATTAAATAGATCATCTAATCCTGTTCCGACAATTGGTCCCGCTTCAACATCTGGGACTTCCTCTTCATTTGAGACACGGTTTGATTCCTGGCGTAAACTCTGCACAATCACTTGCTTCTGCAGAGATTTGCATGCGATTCCTCCACATATACAACTCTCCCATCTCTGTCATGAGTTATGCTTCCATCTCTACCTCAGGGCTATCAAGTGCCTATCGTGAACCTCCTCTATGCTGCCCTCATGCTCCTCGTGCAGTGGACGTTAAAGACCCAGTGATCTCATTCACAAGAGTAGGTATTTGCGTGACGTCGTCGTGGTACAAACGTGTCCAATTCGAAAATAATTCACCGCAAAGTTCTCAATGGCGATCATATATATACTGTAGCAACATTGCCACCTACTGTGAAAACTTAATAAGTATAACCCGTAAAAACAAAGTTTTTCACTCTAAATCCTTTATATGCGTGGCGGCTAGAGTCCTCTCGTCCTCTGGCTTGAGATGGCTGCCACCTATGGGTCAGATTATTGTCTGCCAGTCTTAAGCAATTGGTAATTAAATATTTAATTTGTTTTCCCTAAACAATGTAATATTTTGGGAAAAATTTTTCACGAACATTAATTGTCTCGCACAACGAGTGTGTGTGCAAAATGTCAGCTCGATTGGATCACGGGAAGTGGGTTAAAAAACGACCGAAAGATTTGCACGGTCGTAAGCAAGCAAGCAAGCGAACTTAATATAAAGGATTTAAAAAGAGTCGTAATTCACTCAGTGAGGATCTCCTGGGTGAGCGAGCGTTGTCATCCTGAACGACTGGTACTGCGTACGTCGCAACACAAAACAACGCCCACTTACACGTCTGAGCCCTGTCTCTCGGCCCCGCCCCTCACTGAAACCCCGCCCCTCACCGAGACCCCGCCCCTCACTGAGAGCACGCCCCTCACTGAGACCACGCCCCTCCTGAGACCACGCCCCTCACTGAGACCCCGCCCCTCCTGAGACCACGCCCCTCACTGAGACCACGCCCCTCACTGAGACCCCGCCCCTCACTGAGACCACGCCCCTCACTGAGACCACGCCCCTCACTGAGACCCCGCCCCTCACTGAGACCCCGCCCCTCACTGAGACCACGCCCCTCACTGAGACCACGCCCCTCACTGAGACCCCGCCCCTCACTGAGACCACGCCCCTCACAGAGACCCCGCCCCTCACTGAGACCACGCCCCTCACTGAGACCACGCCCTTCACTGAGACCACGCCCCTCACTGAGACCACGCCCCTCACTGAGACCACGCCCCTCACTGAGACCCTGCCCCTCACTGAGACCACGCCCCTCACTGAGACCACGCCCCTCACTGAGACCACGCCCCTCACTGAGACCACGCCCTTCACTGAGACCACGCCCTTCACTGAGACCACGCCCCTCACTGAGACCACGCCCCTCACTGAGACCACGCCCCTCGCCAGAGACCACGCCCCTCACAGAGACCACGCCCCTCACTGAGACCACGCCCCTCACTGAGACCCCGCCCCTCACCGAGACCACGCCCCTCACTGAGACCCCGCCCCTCACCGAGACCACGCCCCTCACTGAGACCACGCCCCTCGCCAGAGACCACGCCCCTCACTGAGACCCCGCCCCTCACTGAGACCACGCCCCTCACTGAGACCACGCCCCTCGCTGAGACCACGCCCCTCGCTGAGACCACGCCCCTCGCCGAGACCCCGCCCCTCACCGAGACCACGCCCCTCACTGAGACCCCGCCTCCCTCGAGTCGCGGAACTAAAAAAAACATTCTAGATTGGAAACTTTCGTGACTGCAAGGATTCATATTCATATTCTTAGGTTTTTTCGGTAAAGTCACGTAGGTAAAAAATGTAAATTAATAAAAGTAAAATAAAAATTAAATAAAAATCACGACGTTTCGGTGGACGGATCCACTTGATACAGCTATCGTGCTGTGACGGTTCCGAAACGTCGTGATTTTTATTTTATTTTTATTTTACTTTTATTTATTTTAATTATTTACCTACGGTTCAAAAAACATCTCCGCCCCCTTAGTGATCGGGCCCCGCCTCTTCCCCCGCCCTTTCCGGCGCTCTACCCCCCGCCCCTCGCGACCTCTTCCGGCCCCCCCCCGTGTCCCCCACGCCCGCCATGCCTCGCGCCGTGTTGACAGCAGCCCCAGCAGCAGCCCCCGCAGCAGCAGCGGGAGGCGTTGGAAGTGGAGGAGGAGGCGGCGGTGAAATGGCGGTTCGCGAGTCGGGCTCGCAGCTGTGGATGGCCCTCAAGGTTCAGGAGTACCCGACGCTCAAGGTGCCGCTCCGCACAGTCACTCCTCGTCCCCCGCCCCGCGCGCAGGACACGCGGCCTCGCCGAACGATGAGGCCGTGGGACTGCGCCTCTAGGCAGAGAGGCGTGGGGGCCCTACGTCTCAACCCGCAGAGATTGCCCTCAACCACAGTTCTTCCATGGACCCTGGGTTCTCACGCGGGCCCTGTCCTTTGTTGTCTGGTGGCCCTCTCGCTGCCGTGGCCCTGTCTTCCCCGTCCCACCCCGCAATGTCCGCGGATTTCCCTTTCTCTCCTTGGCTGTCTGGTCCATATCGACTCTCCCTGCGCCACGGATCCGCGTGACCGGTAGAGTCGTCGGGGTCTCGTGTCATTGACCCGTGTCAGACGCAAGGAGATTCCGTCCATTGGGTCCCACAGAGCCCTCGCGAAGTCGCCGTCGGTGGACGGATCCACCGGCTTGCTGCTTGTATTCTCCACACCCTGTCCAGTCGAGGGGGTCTGGGTTGGACCCTCTTTAATCAGCACAACCCCCAAGGAATATGACCAGTAGGGGATGTGAGTGATAGAGGATCTGGGTGCCCATGACGGAGCTCTTTGTGACGAAGGATGTCTGGGTCATCGTGAGTGGATGTATGTTCAACAGCTGGGAGGGGTGAGCTGTAAAATGCGTGACCTGACCAAGTCCGGTGGTCTCTCTCTCTGTGCCCGCAGGTTCCCTACGAGACTCTGAACAAGCGATTCCGCGCGGCTCAGAAGCACGTGGACCGGGAGGCGAGTCACGCCGTGGCAGCCGTGGCCGAACTGGAGCGGGCGCTGGGCGGGTGCTCGTCCGTCGGCTCCGTGGTGTCGCTGCTTGATGGCGTTGTGGACAAACTCACGGCGCTCAAGCGCAAGGTGCAGCCCCCAGCCTACTTGCTGCACTGCGCCCTGGTGGCACCACCGCCACGTTGACTTGAAGACAGACGTCTCTCACACGTTTGCTCAATTATCTGCGTGATCCAACAACCCTGCCACCATCTTCTTGGTTCTTTCGGTAAAGTCACGTAGATGGGAGATAATAAAATAATAAAACATGATAAAATAATACAATTCTCACGACGTTTCGGCCACAACGCAAGCAGCCGTCCTCAGGTGAATAACAGGTCTGTTGGAAAGACGGCGTCTGCGTTGTGGCCGAAAGAACCAAGAAGATGAATCCCTGCAGTCACGAAAGCTTTAAATCGAAACCCTGCCACCAATTTGCAACTTTTACAGGCATGGTTAATTTTGAGTAGCGTAGGGTGAGAGCTTGGTGCCCCTACGACTCTGAAGTCAGTGTGGTTACAGGTACCCGACATATTTCTCGACACGGATCTCTGCTAAACCTACTAATCCCCGGGGATCCTGCTCCCTTTTTATCTCCCTGTGACCCCTCTTTCTCTCCTCCCCGGTGACACGGGCTGCGTGGCCGGGGCAGGCGGCCGAGTCTGTGCAAGCCGAGGAGGAGAGCGCAGGGCTGTGCAAGCGCCGCGTGGCGCACCTGAAGGAGCACGCGGGTGAGCACTGGGCGGCCGTGAGTCTGTGGAAGCGCCAGCGCATGGAGCGCATGATGGTCGACCACCTGCTGCGCTGCGGCTACTACATGACGGCAATCCACCTGGCACGGCAAAGCGGCATCGAGGTGAGATCGGGGCCCCTGCAATTCCCGACTACCTACCGTCCCACCGATCACCACCAACTACTCCCTCCCATCACGCACCGCTGATGACTCCCGTTCATCACACACCTCAGACTAGCCCCTCGTGGCCACTATTCCCTCCCATCAATCAAATCGACCACTGACCTTCCATCACACACTGACTGCTGCCTCCTATCGACCAAGCCCTCCAACGTTGACCTCTGCTTTAGCCTGATTGGTCCATGCACCACTCTAACTTGGCTGCACCGACTACCTCTCTTTGTGCTCAGAATTATCCTCCATGCCCCACTGTGCCCCCCCCCCGCCCGTGCCTCATCAGACTCCATGGCACACCAACCCTCCAAGGACCACCGTTTCTCTCTGTTTACCCACCTTCGCTTTGCCATATCCGCCCCTATTTATTATATTTTTGATAAAAATGGAGTTTGCGAGATATCTGATGGCGTGTGCCATGCGACAGGATCTGGTGAACATCGAGATGTTTGTGACGGCCAAGGACGTAGAGGAGTCGCTAGAGAAGAAGGAGACGGCCACCTGCCTGGTCTGGTGCCATGACAACAAGTCCCGGCTCCGCAAGATGAAGGTAACGGCTGCTTCGTGCACGCAGTGATGCACAGTTATGTACAAGGCTGTACAATACTATAAGTGTGTGTGTGTATATATATATAAAAATCGAATGGCATTCGGTCATAGGCAGAGGAAAAAAGTAAGGTCCTGAGTCTGAAATGAACAGGGGCAGGGAGTTGACACTAGATAGCAGAGAAGAATGAGCGACCTCCCAATGGGCAGAGAAGAATGAGCAACCTCCCATTGGGCAAAGGTTAATATGGGATGTTTTAATAAAGCCTTGCTTGCTGGAGAAAATAGTCCGTGGAGGGGTTTATAATTAAATTACGAGATAGGTGGGTAAGGGCGAGTCAATGGATTACATTGAATGCGATGAATGAATGCGATCTTAAAATTTATCCGAAATTGTATTGAGAGCCAGTGAAGGAGTTGAAGTATTGGGGTGACGTGAGGTCTCATTTACAGTTGTGGGTTGGACGTCTGGGAACAGCATTTTGGATCTCTGGAATTTGGAAATTAAGGATATGGGGGATAAATAAGAGGAGAGAGTTGCAGTAGTCAATTTGGGATGTGATGTGGCAGCTGCTAGTTTCATGCCTCGCCTGCACTGCGGTGTTCCCCATGTGTTGGTGTCGGGACACGGTCGATGCGCACCGGCCCCCCCGGGGAGCCAGAGCTGCCTGGAGTTCAGCCTGCGAATTCAGGAGTTCATCGAGCTCATCCGGCACAACCGAAGGCTGGAAGCGGTCCGGTACGTGGACTACCAACAGCATATGGACACACAGTCGTACACACATACACAGGAGTGTGCACATGCACTCAAGTACATACATAGTAGTGTGCACATGCACACAGTAGTTAACACATAGGAGTGCATACACACACAATCGTGTGCATACACATTCGTTTACTTATATTAGTGTACATACACAGTCGTGCACAGACAAAGTAGTCCATGCACTAACAATAGCTCAATCTACTGCAACAAACACTCGTGGGCTTTTATTTTATTGTGGGGCACCTCTTGTGTCCAACGTGACGTAGTGCCTGGCTTGTGTGTAGATGTGTTGCCGTATGTGGTTAACATGTCGGTGTTTGTGTCGCGCGTGTAGCCACGCGAGGAAGCACTTCAGCACAGCGGAGGGGTCGCAGCTGGAAGAGGTGAAGCAGGTGATGGGGATGCTCGCCTTCCCCGTGGACACGCACCTCTCCCCGTACAAGGCGAGCTAAATAAGCAGCTCACAAGCAGAACAGCAACAACAATCATTCACCACTAAGTGGCGGTGACTTGACAGCGCGTATTCGGCTAGGTGCACCGTGAGGCGACATGAAGTATGGAAGGCACAGTCTACTCAGTGCTTGCACACATACAGCCTTCGCAGATTGCACGCACACATAACATGGCATACCCAACGTACACAGTCTTGTCAGCCGGTGGTGCGAATCGGCACAGTCACAGCTCGTGCTCTGAACCGTTTGCGTCTGGCTCCTACAGGAGCTGCTGGATCCGTCGCGCTGGAAGATCCTGATCCAACAGTTCCGCTACGACAACTACCGCCTGCACCAGCTCAGCAATGACTCGGTGTTCACGGTCACCCTGCAGTGTGGCCTCTCAGCCATTAAGACTCCGTATCCTTGGCTCTTGCACTTGCCCACGTTTAACAGGCGCTCCTCTATATGGACGCACGTCCGCCTGTGCATACCCACCACCCTGCCTCTCCTGCCAACTCCTCGATGTCTGTAACTGGGTGGGCTTGTGATGGGACAAAATGATGGCTCTTGAAATTCGTTTTCGGAGGAAAGTAGCTCCTCGCTCGTGCTGTGCTCCCACCAGACTAGTTATCCGGAGAAGCTGTTCGTTCTGCATGCACCTACCTTGCGGAGAAAAGCGGCGAAAAAGAAATTACTGCTATTGCATCACATTTAGTATATTGCCCTGAACTTGCTATCACCTGAGTTTGGAGTATTTAATCTCCCCAAACTGAAGCCATGAGCTGCTTTTGCTGGGATGCTCCTTGACGGCGCCACAGGCAGTGCTACAAAGAGGATGGCTCAGCCCGCAATGCCGAGTGCCCTGTGTGCTGCCGCTCGCTCAACAAATTGGCGACGCCGCTGCCCATGGCGCACTGCGCCAACTCGCGCCTCGTGTGCCGTGTGTCCGGCCAAGTCATGAACGAGAACAACCCCCCCATGATGCTGCCCAACGGCTACATCTACAGCTACAACGTGCGTGTGGGCGGGGCAGCAGTGGGATCGTTACAACGTAGCTCGGCTGCTAAGGCACTGTTGCTGCGATTCGGTGCTTCGTGTGTGCAGCGATAACGTGGGGATAAGAGAACGCATGGGTGCCGTGTGATCTAGACTTTCTCTGTCTTCAGGGCACTTACTGGATTTGGGCAGCACCTGCTATGGGTGAGGGACTGGGATGGAAATATGAGCTTTCAAAAAGGCGTGGGCTTTTTTTTAATCCATGATGCCGACTGGAAAAGAATCAACTTTACATTGTGCTTTAAAATCATACAATGTGTCATTGGCTATGCGGTAATGGCCATTCTGGGAATCTGGTATTGCTGCTGTCATGACCAATGTCATTTGTCATCCTCTCCACAGTCGCTCGTGTCCATCCGTGAGGGCGACAAGGTGGCATGCCCCCGAACCAAGGAGGTGTTCAACTTCTCACAGATAGAAAAGGTGTTCATCATGTGAGGGGCTGGCACGGCCTCCCGTGCTACAGGTGCTACTCCACTCATTAGCTCTCCCGCCCCCCACCGCCCATGTCTGCTCCCTGATAAGCATCGTGTGCGGTTGTGCCTTCCATAGTCCACACCCCACATTTCTCTTGTTGGTGGCTGCTCCAGAAACTCCTGCTAACGCGGACACAGAAGTCTTCCTCCACGCCACTTGGATCATCTTCCCCACTGCGGCGCCACGACCACAGCCGCTACTGCCATGATCATTCCCGCCTAATCTGAAATGGAGTTTAGGATGGTTGGGCCATGCAGTGACCGACTGGATGGAAGCCTCACCACCGTCGATTTGGGTGAAAGCTGTAGACATGGACGAGGGAATCCATGTTACAAAGTGTTTCCAATCCTGCCCACCCTTGCGGAAGTTGAGATTGGAATTCTTGCACCTGTGCTCTTGGCACATCGCGTGGTTAAGGTGGTCCTGTGCCAGGTTTGTCGGAGATTTTAAAGCTGTGTACATGCGCAGTCAATATTGCCTGGCTTCACCTATACACGTGGGCAGCCAGTGGCACGAAGTACATTACCAACAGGACAGTACGCTGAGTGTGGAACTAGGGTCGCGCCGACATGGTGAACACGTGACCAGATTTGGCAATTTGCATCCAGAGCACATGGCATGTTGTATAAACGTTTTGAAGGATATTCCCTTCCGTTTGCTTTCTGAATCGTTAAGAGAAATGTCCCTTTTGTTGACATAACGTATGTGACTGGCCAAGGGAGGGAACGCCTCGGAGGACGTCCCCTGTGGACGTGGAGCGATCTTGTGTTCAGGTGCTAGAATGGATTGTTACATTGTAGGACCTTGAGAGGCGGGTGATGGCTTTGGTAGGCCTCATCCAGAAGTGGACTGATCATGGCTCATGAAGGGAAATTGAGATTTTGTTCAACCTGCCGTGACGTTTAAACCGATGTGATTAAACCCACGCAGTCATTCACATCCACTGCTTTTAAGTGCTTTGTAAATACGAGTTCCTTGCGCGGGTTGAGATTCGTTTAACACAGTTGCTGCAGTTTATTTTGTTTTACGTTACCCGTGATGGCAGACCGCTGAGTTCCAATTGCATTTTGATGACAATAAACTTGCTCTGAAGAGCACGTGAAGCCTGCTTGCTCGTGGTTCGTGATATTAACCTTTGCCAAGATGTGAAATGCACACGTGGTTTGAACCTCTTAATGTCGCCGCGTTGGCGCTGGAACCACAGCGAAAAGCCGGGTGAAAGAGGCAGTATTATGGTTATGTAAGGGAGGGCTAGCACAAATCGTTGGCGAGTTGATTAGGGGCGAAGGCGAGTTTATTTGATTCAAACGGAGAACCCAAGAAACCAGGAATTTGCAAGAGTGCCCAGAGGTCATTCCGTAACCTGCGGTGTAATTTTCGAATTTGGCAACTTTGGACTCGGGCACAATTGGCCACCTCGCATCAATGATGTAGGGGGTCTTTAATGCCCCCTGTATCGTGGCCGTTGCAGCAGCAATACTAATCGGGCCAGCTGCCGTAAACGAACCGTGGGAACTCTACAACAACGAAGGCACCGGGGAACACTGGAGGTTGGATGGTAACAGTGGCTTTGGCTGAGGCTGTGCTCGTGTTGAGTTGGGTAGTGGCCTTCACCCCCAGTTTGCTCGGTTCTCAACCCACACGGCTTACCCGTATTCTACAGGGAAATTGAGTTTTCAGGTCCGTACGGCGTACAGCCATTTCAATACGGGAAAAAATTAATGTCAGTGTGTTTCTCACTTGCGATGGGGCTTTGTACGAATAACGTTGGGATTTATAAGGGCACGGGGTGACCAATAAGGTCTGAATTTGTCTAATAAGGTAGGGCACTGATAAGGGGTTGAAGGCTATGGGATCTTGGATTGCTCCTGTTCGCCGCTCTTCCGTCCTCTCGTCGACTGCGCGTCTCTTGGCGCAGTCCGGAACCAAATTCTGCCGCTTGCCTCTGGCCGCACGCAGTCCACGAACAACACCACCACCAGCACCACGGCGCCGTCCCTGCCAAACGTCGCCGGTATCCATTTTACTAAGGGAAGTTTCAATCCCAGACCACGTGTCCGCCTCCTGTGACATCACGCGCCAACCCTTCCCCCCCATCGGAACGACGGCGGCGCCTCCCTGAGCAAGGTGGCGGCCCGGCGGCCACCCTCGCACCTCCGCGTAGCGCGGCCGCACGGATGGCGACCGCGGCGGGCATGGCCGCGCCGGAGACTGCGGAGGCGCGGGGACCCCGAGAGGACCCCGAGGGAGGAGAGGGGGGACCCGAGAATGGCCCCCAGGGAGGCGCAGATCCCAATGGGAACCCCGAGGGAGGAGAGAGGGCATCGGGAAAGGACTCCGAGGGAGACAGGGATGCTGGTGGAGGCCCAGTGGGAGAAGGCGCGCGTGCTGACTCGGAGTCCCCAGGTGCCTCTGCTGCCCCTGAGGCCCCTGCTGCCCCTGAGGCCCCTGCTGCCCCTGAGGCCCCTGCTGCCCCTGAGACCCCTGCTGCCCCTGAGGCCCCTGCTGCCCCTGAGACCCCTGCTGCCCCTGAGGCCCCTGCTGCCCCTGAGGCCCCTGCTGCCCCTGAGGCTCCTGCTGCCCCTGAGGCCCCTGCTGCCCCTGAGACCCCTGCTGCCCCTGAGGCCGAGAGCGGCGGGTTCAAGAAGCCGCTGCTCCCCGCGGCTGCGCTGTCGGGGCCGCTCCCGCGCAGAGCCAAGAAGCCGCCCGGGGAAGCGGTCCCCGCTGGGCCCCAGGGTCCCGGAGACGCAGCGGCGCGGGGCTACGCCGGGGAGGCGGAGCAAGTGAGCGGCCCCAGTTGCCGGGGCCCGGCCCGCGGGCCCGACGTCGGCTCCCAGCGGCAGCAGCATCCCGCGGAGCCCCCGCTGGAGTACACGGAGCCAGCTTGGGGTGGCGAGGCGGGCGAGGCGGCCGTGCCATTCGGCCTGGAGGTGCTCAAGGGCGGCACCGTGGTGGGTTCGGTGCCGCTCACGGGCGCCAGCTACTTCGTGGTGGGACGGCTTGAGTCGTGTTCCGTGCGGCTGGAGCACCCCTCCGTGTCGCGCCGCCACGCCGTGCTGCAGCACCGCGCGCACGGGCTGCCCGAGCAGCGCGGCCTCTACCTGTACGACCTGGGCAGCAGCCACGGCTCGTTCGTCAACAAGGCGCGCGTGGAGCCGCGCCACTTCCACCGCGTGCGCGTGGGACACGTGCTGCGGTTTGGCGGCAGCACGCGCCTGCTGGTGCTGCAGGTAGGATGGAGTTGCCCCCCCCCCTTGCCTAGCACCCCCCCCCCCTTGCCTAGCCCCCCCCTTCCATAGCACCCCCCCTTCCATAGCACCCCCCCCTTCCCTAGCCCCCCTCCCTAGCCCCCCTCCTAGCCCCCCCCCTTCCCTAGCCCCCCCCCCTTCCCTAGCCCCCCCCTTTCCCTAGCCCCCCCCCTTCCCTAGCCCCCCCCTTCCCTAGCCCCCCCCTTTCCCTAGCCCCCCCCCCTTCCCTAGCCCCCCCTTCCCTAGCCCCCCTTCCCTAGCCCCCCCCCCTTCCCTAGCCCCCCCTTCCCTAGCCCCCCCTTCCCTAGCCCCCCCTCTTCCCTAGCCCCCCCCCCCCTTCCCTAGCACCCCCCTTCCCTAGCCCCCCCCTTCCCTAGCACCCCCCTTTCCCTAGCCCCCCCCCTTCCCTAGCCCCCCCCCCCTTCCCTAGCCCCCCCTTCCCTAGCCCCCCCCCTTCCCTAGCCCCCCCCTTCCCTAGCCCCCCCTCTTCCCTAGCCCCCCCCCCCTTCCCTAGCACCCCCCCTTCCCTAGCACCCCCCTTTCCCTAGCCCCCCCCCCTTCCCTAGCCCCGCCCCCCCTTCCCTAGCCCCCCCTTCCCTAGCCCCCCCCCCTTCCCTAGCCCCCCCCTTCCCTAGCCCCCCCTCTTCCCTAGCCCCCCCCCCTTCCCTAGCACCCCCCCTTCCCTAGCCCCCCCCTTCCCTAGCACCCCCCTTTCCCTAGCCCCCCCTTCCCTAGCCCCCCCTTCCCTAGCCCCCCACCCCTTCCCTAACCCCCCCTCTTCCATAGCCCCCCCCCTTCCCTACCCCCCCCCCTTCCCTAGCCCCCCCCCGAATGGTCCCGCCGCGCATCCCCCACTAGCGCGCTCCCACCCCCCCCACCATGCCCCCCCCCGCCTACTCCTTGCCCCCTCCTGCCTCCACCATGGTGACCTGCAGAACTCTGCTGAACAGAGTCTGGAGAGTCCGGCTTTGCTGGATACAAAAAGAGGCATTGTCATATTCTTGGTTTTTTCGGTATAGTCACGTAGAAGGGAAATAATAAAATAATAATTCAACAATAAAAGTCTCACGACGTTTCGATTGCAACACAAGCAATCATCATCAGGTGTGTTGCAATCCAAACGTCGTGAGAATTTTATTGTTTTATATTTATTATTATTTGTTTCTTTCGGTTAAGTCACGTCTAAAGATAAAATAATAAATTAAATTAATAATAGAATACGACGTTTCGATTGCAACACAAGCAATCATCATCAGGTATAATGAAATAGCGACATAAAATCCAACCAGAAAACTATAGACAGACATACCAGCAGACAGACATCACCAAGATACACAGAGAGAGCAACACAGGCAACAGAGAGAGGTGGTCGTCTCTGTGGGGTGGCCTTAAATAGACAGAGGAGGGCGGACGCAGAGAGAGGGAGGGGGGCCAGAGAAAAAATTAGCATATCAATGAGTGGACAACCAAACGTGTTGCTGCAAGTGCGATGACACGGCAAGCAAGCCTGAAAATCAGGAGAAGGACACACTAAAATTAAATAACCTAGTAAAATATCGAAATGTAATGTAATACAACACAGAGGGTCGGTATTACATTACATTTCGATATTTTACTAGGTTATTTAATTTTAGTGTGTCCTCCTGATTTTCAGGCTTGCTTGCCGTGTCATCGCACTTGCAGCAACACGTTTGGTTGTCCACTCATTGATATGCTAATTTTTTCTCTGGCCCCCCTCCCTCTCTCTGTGTCCGCCCTCCTCTGTCTATTTAAGGCCACCCCACAGAGACGACCACCTCTCTCTGTTGCCTGTGTTGCTCTCTCTGTGTATCTTGGTGATGTCTGTCTGCTGGTATGTCTGTCTATAGTTTTCTGGTTGGATTTTATGTCGCTATTTCATTATACCTGATGATGATTGCTTGTGTTGCAATCGAAACGTCGTATTCTATTATTTAATTTAATTTATTATTTTATCTATAGACGTGACTTCACCGAAAGAAACAAATAATGATTCCTGCAGTCACGAAAGTTCTAAAATTAAGATTATATTTATTATGTTATTATTTCCCTTCTACTTGACTTTACCGAAAGAACCAAGAATATGAATCCCTGCAGTCACGAAAGCTTTAAATCGAAATTTAAGGGCATTATTGTGATTGCGTTACTTTCTCCCGCGAAGTCCCGGGCACCACGGCTCGGGTGACGCGAAGGGTGACTCTGTCGCCTTCTGCCCAGGGCCCCAGCGAGGACGAGGAGGCGGAGGCGGATGAGACGCCCACGGAGCTGCAGGAGCTGAATCGGCGCCAGCGTGTGGAGCTTGAGCGGCGCATGCTCGGGGACGAGGACGACGAGGATGATCAAGACGAGGACAAAGAGAGCAAAGGCCACGCGAAGAGGGCGCGTGGAGGCAAGGCCGCTGCAGCCAAAGCCAGCGGCAGCGAGGAATACACTGGCTGCACGTGGGGCATGGGTGCGTGCACAGCTTTTTAAAAAAATATATAATTAAAATAAGCATTTTACACGTGATCCAAATGTATGTATGCTGACCTTTCGCACTGTACGTAGCCAACCGTGCTAAATGTAAACAAACCAACACAAAGTTAAAGCGACGATGATTAGTTAAGTCCAGAACTTAATTTCAACTGGGTTTTTCCGGCTCGGCAACGCGGACATTTTTTTCCATGCCAGACACACCACATCTATCATACGTCTCGATATGGCTGTGGCTACTACCAGTTGTGTGCCACGTACTCCAGTCTACCAGCGACCCGGAGATTGCTATGAGAAATGAAGCCCAGTGTGCGTACGTCTGTTGGGGGACAGCCGAGCGACCGATATAGTAACAGCTCGGGGAATAACGTTGGGGCTTTAGGATCACAATCATAATTGTCTCCCTTTTCACGTAATTATCCTGATACCCGCCCCCCTATCTACCTCCAGACATGGATGACGCGGACGAGGAGGAAGAGGAGAAGGAAGAGGAGGATGAGGAGAACCCGTTTGCTGCTGGATTCCTAGAGGAGAAGGAGGCTTTCTACGTGAAGGACCCCAAAAAGGCCTTGAAGGGATTCTTTGACCGTGAAGGTGTGGGTTGTGCTCTTGACCCTATCCCCACCCTTAAACCTTTAGCTACAACATGAATTCCAACCATAACCTTAGCCATCGCTCAAGCCATAACATTAACCCTATCCCAACATGTAACCCAACCACTAACACAAGCCATAACATGAGCCCCAACCTGAATGGTTAATCTTGATAGAAACTCATAACCCCCAGCCATAACTCAGGTGCTGTTCGTGCACCGCACGTGTGTCAGGTTTGGAGCTGGAGTACGAGTTCGACCAGCAAGCCCACGGGAGCTGGCTGTGCCGCGTCAGGTAAGCACCACGATCGCTTTTCCACCTTAGCAGTTTCCTACCCCGATCATTCAGAGAGAGAGCGAGAGAGTGAAAGAACGAACGAGTGAGAGTGAAAAAGAACAAAAGAGAGGAATTGAGATATAGAGAGCAAGAGAGGGCGAGCGGTTAGCGACAACTGTGGTGCAGGGCGCACGGTGACGCGGTGTCGTGCCGCTCTGCCCCAGCCTCCCTGTGGAGGACGCAAGCGGCCACGAGGTGATGGCTGAGGTCGTGACCACGGGGAAGAAGAAGGATGCGGTGGTCCAGTGCGCGCTGGAGGCGTGCCGAATGTTGGACGCCCGCGGCATGCTGCGCCAGGAGGCCGGTACGCACGTACGCATATGTGCACACACGTACGCACGCGTGCTTGCACGTACAAACGCGGTCTGAATTTGGGGAAATTGGCTGTAATGGGTGAGATGTGATGAGCGTGGTTTGATATGGTGGGATGTGATGGGTTAGATGATGTCGAATATGTAATTGTTGACATTTCAGAGGTGTCTTGTAAGAAGCGAGTGACATCTTTGACGAGCGAGTTATAACAGGTGAGATGCAGCGATGCGCGAGACGCAAGCCTGAGATGTGCGCTTGATGCTGCCATGCCGCAGTGAGCCGCAAGCGGAAGTCCAAGGACTGGGAGGAGGCGGATTATTACGACAGCGACGATGACTCCTTCCTGGACCGCACCGGCGTGGTGGAGTACAAGCGCAGAGAGCGCATGCGCAAGGCCGGCAGGGTGAAGGATCGTGCCGAGACCTACGACTCACTGGTGAGAGCGTACGCACGAACGCGATAAGTACCGCCGCCCCGACCGTCGAGCACCTACACCCCCGCGACCGTCGAGCACCTACACCCCCGCGACCGTCGAGCACCTACACCCCCGGCGGCACAAGCATTTCCTTACCCGATGGGTTTATTCCCTTCGCTGTTGCGGGACGACGTGCGATACAGGTGGCCAAGCTGGGCGAGGTGGAGCGAGAGCTGGAGGATGTGGACGGGCAGCTCAAGGTTGCCGCTGAAGGTCAGTGAGGTGGGGTGGGTGGGGGCACGGGAGGACGGACTCACCGATATTGGCACACCTTGCCTGCTGTGTGATATTCAGGGCTGCTGCACTCACCTGTACACACCCATTCACACCTGCGCATGCTCAACTGTACACGCTCACCCGTACACACTCGCAAAAACCTGTACACATCCGCTTTCACCTCTATACACCCGTACACACCCACGCACACTTGTACGAACCTCTACCCACCTGTACGAGCACATGCATCATCACTCATGCCGTGTGCTGCTCGTGCTCTGCTCCATATCCATGCCCGACTGCGCAGCGGCGGCGGCGCGCGAGGCGCAGACCGAGGACTCGCTGGACGCCTACATGAGCGAGGTGCGTGCGGGCGCCACCCTCGACATCGCCCAGCGGAAGCGGATGCGTGTGCGCGCCTTTGAGCTGCGCAAGGAGCAGCAGAGGCTGCGGCGACTGGCGTCCGTGGCGCGGCCCGCGGCGCTGCCCCCGCTGCTGCCCCCGTGAGTCCTCGCGTGTTGGTGCTGGTGGTGCTCACGGCGACGGTGGGAGAACGTGAAGCGGCAGCATAAGAGCCGGAGCCAAGAGTGCATAGAAATATTTTACCGTTCGGATTGTGGTTACCGTTCGAGGTGAGCGTGCTCGTTAGCGATGGGGATGGTGTTAATGTGGGCATCGGTGTCGGTGTATTATGGTTGAGTTTACAAGGTCAGGGTAAATCCCAACATTTCTGTCTACTGTGAAACTACTGCAGACTGTCAAACGGTCTGCTGCAAGATTGGCGCGAATACCAACGTACTCACGATTTAACTTCATTTGATATCATCTTTCATTCTACAGGCAGGGGGTGGCCAGCACGGGAGCAGCTGGGGACAAGCCCAAGAAGATGCTGCCACTCACAGGCGCTATGCGAGGAGGCAGCCGACTGAGGCTCAAGACGGGCGCTATCGGGGTGAGTGGCTGGCCCCCGTCCGTCGCACCGCTTGTGCCCACAATCCCTGATTTTGCACCTTGCAGCCCTGTGTTTGGCTTCTCAACATCGGGGACTTCCTCTCACCAGGGCCTCCCTGTGAAGCGCCCGGCGCTGCCCAGCAGCTTGTTCAACACCAAGTCCGCCGCGCCCGAGGAGGAGGAGGAGGAGGATGAGGAGGAGGAGGAAGACGAGGAAGAGGAGGAGAGGCCAGGGGCGGCGGGGGCACGTCTCGCACCCGGTGGAGACAAGAGGAAGGAGGCGGGGACCCAAGGGAGACCGGCTCACAGTGAGGGCCCCCACCGTGCAGGGTAGAGTGGGGCTGTGCTGTGCCCAATTAGCGAAACGCTTTGCTTTCTGCGAGGTTGTGGATTCTGCTCAATTTCCTGTGCTGCTGTTTCTGGTGACCCGGTCGCCCTCCCTCTCAACCACAGATCACCCCTCAAGCACACAGCGCGATGGGCCCCCCAGCTCCTCTACAGCAATGGACGGACCCCCCAGCCCTGCCAAGCCAACTGATATGACCCCAAGCCACTCTAAGCAGACTTATGAGCCCTGCAGCTCCTCCACGCTAACAGACGCGCACTCCAGCACCTCCAAGCGGATGCATGGCCCCCTCAGCTTGTCCAAGCCGGCGGATGAGCCCCCCGGCTCCACAACACCATCGGATGAACCTGCCGCCACCTCTGAGAAGGCACCAACAAAGAGGAGGAAGTCGTACGGCCATAAGAAGGCAAGTGTTTGAATTTCTGCAGCATTTGTATACTGGTGTTTGCTCTGGACGTGTCAGGGAGGTGGCGAGTGTGGTGATGTATCAAGTGGGGGGAGCCGAGTGCTGCAAGTGTTGAGTTGTGGTTGCGCAGTGTGGTGAGAGGTGTTTCAAATCCGGACTCTTTAACGCCAACACCTAACCCCCTTTCCCATCGCCAGGGCACCGACGCAGGGACCACCTACCCCCAAAACGACCCCGACTACCACGTGTGGGTCCCTCCTACAGGTACGTGAATGGCAGAGGTGTGGGTGCTTGTAGGTAGGAGAGCTGTCAGGTGTGGGTGTGTATAGATTAGTGAGCTTGCAGGTGTTAGAGGTGTATAGCTCTGCAAGTTTACAGGTGTGTGGAGAAACAGGTAAGTTTACCGGTGCGTGGATGCCCTTGATGCGTGCGACAGGTGTGGTTTGCGGTGGTGCGGCACCCTCCGTGCCACATGTCACCCCGTGCAGTGTGTTTCTCTGGTCTAATTTTCCATGCGTGCTGCTGCTGGATACCATTTCAGGCCAGACCGGCGATGGGCGGACTCATCTCAACGAAAAGTTTGGCTACTAGAGGACACCAACGATCTCTCGACAAGGCCCCCGTCCACCGACCTCCACACTCTGCCCAGGAGTCAGAATATTTATCCTGGAGGAATCTGATGAGCTCAGAAGCGTTTTTTCACAAATGTCCAGTAGGCGTAAGTCAGCAAGATTCTAGGGACATTTTCAAAATGTGGCATTCCCTTTTCAAAAAGTCAGGTATGTAAGTTTATCATTTCATAATAAATGTCTTTTCCCGTGTGTGTTAGCGTTGTGTGTGATATTGGGGCGAAACCGGATCCAGTTTTATCGATTTGTCTATTTCTCAGTCATCTGTGCCAAGGGGGAGGAAAAAGCAACGCGTAGAGCGGCCTTCGAGTCGCCTGACTCGGCCCAACGGCAGCCCCGTGACACGGATCCCCTACACGCAAGTCGGGCTGCCACAGACGTTCAACACACGGCCTCTTTGATGTTCCAGCTCGGTTTATTGATGAGAGAGAGAGTATCCTGGGCTCGTCGACGAGACGTCGCGGCCGGTGACGTCAGGGCAGCGGCAGACGCGATCTTCCGAGCGCCCGCCTGCAGCGCGGGCTCAGTAGAGGCGAGGGAAGGGAAGCGCGCTCGTGGGCTGTAGCCTAAACACAGCGCACCCCGTGTGAGAGAAAGGGTTGTGAGTAAGGCTGTGTGAGATGTAAGTGGTGTGCGTGCGTGTGTGCTGTAGGGAGGCGAGGTACGGGCGTAGGAGTGGTGTGTGCTACTTGGATGGTGAGGTGTGAGTGGCACGTGTGATGGAGAGGAGCGGTGTGTGAGACGCAGGAGGCTCGTGGCCTGTAGGAGGCGTCGCACCAGTTGCGTGGGCTCCACTGCGAGCCGCGCGCCTCCATGAGGTGGAAGGTATAGGCGTGGCGCGAGCGAGGAGACCGATTGGCCGAGCTGCGGTGGACGACTTCACCGTGGATGAGAACCAGACCCCCTGAAGGCCGCACACGTACGCACATGTACACACGCACACACATGTACGTGTACACGCACGTAGTGTACGCACGCACGTATGTATACACATCCGTATACGCGCACACCCATGTAGAACAAGCACACGCGTGTACACACACACATACGTGGTTACCCTGTTTCACGGGCACTGCCACGAACCCCTCGTCAGGGTAGGGGGGCTCCGAGCCCTCGAACCCCGTGCGGGGGAACTCTCCATCGGGCCGGCGAACCAGCCGCCGCGACACCCCCTCTGCACCAACACACACAAAGCAAAGATACCCCGTATAGACTCAACAGACATTTGGGGCAAGTCCTGTGAGCGAGCACTTATGAAGGCCGTCACCGCACACGAGGTGGGTGGCCAGCACCACGCTCGGCCGCCTTTGTCTACCTTGATAGCGATGTTTACACAATCACACCAGGTACTCATTTATGGGTGAGTCAACCTAGAGGAGGCCGAAGACCGGTTCAGATCATCGTCGATGGTGTGAGCCATGAGCGGGAATCAAACTCAGTTCTCCAGGCACACGACCGCTACACACACGCATACAAATACGCGCACGCGCCTGCGCCTATGTAAATGAGGGAGGTGGGTGCTGGTACTCACGCCGGTGAGACCCGGGCAGGAACCAGAGGCAGCCGTTGTCCAGATCCGCGTCCTCCAGCGCCACCCAGAACCCGAGCACGCGGCCCAGTGGCTCCGTGTGCAGGAACGACGCGTCCTGGTGCGGCGTCACTGCGGCACACCACTCCACTCAGGGCTCAATTGCACCCGGCAGGCCACATCCAGTATTCCTCGCGCGATGGCTCTGGCTACTAGCGACCATTCACCGATAAATTAATCTCTGGCTCCACTCACAACGTGCCATGCCGCACTACCACGAACACAACCACAAGCAGTAATAGCGCAATTAGAATTGGGATAGTTCGTTAAAATCACAATTCGTCGCCACCATCACTTTTTTGAACCACCATTTAGCAGCTGTCCATGCTGACAGAACATGTCAACAGAACGCTTTAAATGCACGCGTTAACTAACGCCGGCACACAGCGACCCGTGGCTGCCATCGCCCCAGGCGGCGCGACCAACAACAACGATCCGGGTGGTGTTCAGGCCGCTCGGCTGGCGCCGCTCCCCGATACCCCGCACGGCAGTGGCTGCAGTCGGGCCAAGAAGGAGCGGAGACGGATCGCAGATGAAGAAGTGCGGAACAGAGGAGAACTTGGGCGGGTGGCGGCATTGACACAACGAGGCAGCAAGAGCAGGAGTGGTTGAGCCCCCCCAAGGGTCGCGATCACCAAGGGGCAGAGGTCGCAAACGGGTTTTGATTCCTTACCCGTACCCGGCCGCACCAGGGTCACAAATGGGTACCCGTACCCTACCCGAAATGAGTGACAGACGGTTACTCACCAGTGACTCACGGCCTACCCGTACCCGTACTCGGCCGGGTACGGGTAGCCGGGTATCTGGGAGGGTACGGGTATCGGGTACCCGGTTGCGACCTCTGCCAATGGGTGCCGGACAGCGAAGCGGGACACCACTGTGCAGGCCTCGGCAATTACGCCGGAGAAATTTGACACGGTGCTCTGGTTTCACCGTGAGCCATTTGGCGCCGCGGTGGCGAGATGTTGACTGGTGTACAGGAAGGCGTGGGGGCGATCTTAACCCTGATCCCTGTATATTTGGAGTTTTGCATGTTCTCCCCGTGGTCATGTGGATTTTTCTCGGAGCCCTCTGGTTTTCCCTCCACATTGACAAACATTTGGATGCTACATATTTACACATCATAAGCTATTTCATTGAGCTATCATTTAAGGCCAGGTAGCTTCAGAAGAAGAGCTGTATAGCTCAGTGAGTCTGAAATTCCATTACACGTGTGCTGGAATAATTTTCAGGAACTGCCGTTACAACTCAAAAACACATCGGAGCGCTGGACAGAAGTTGCCACTGTTCGGGGGTGCAGAGTGCCAAGCAGTCGCGGTGGGTGTCACCAGTGATCTCACCTTCTCCTCCAATCCCCGGTTGCTGCAAGGACACAAGACGGATGTGCACACTAAGCAATGCGATACAATGTGGATTTATGCAGCGAGCTATTGCATCCACTGCTCCAACACATCTGGGCACATCAGACCGCATTTACTGAGGCGTTTTACAATATACATTTAATCGTGGGGTTTTATGTATATATATGTTGTGTCCCTGGTGTGCTGATGTGTCAGTGTGCGGCTGTGTCGCCGGTGTGCTGCTCACTTTGAAGATGAACATGCTCTGCACGACCACAGGCTCCTGCAGGCCGGCCTTCCGTGCCACTTCCTGCAGGAATGGATGCGGTCATGGCAGGTGACAAAGCCAGAATTCTCGCAGCAAACAAAAACAAGCCTGTGCGTGTTTGATGACAGTGATGTTGATGTGAGATTGTCTTTATTTATCATCCGATGGGGTTTTTTTTAAAGAGGAGCTGAGGACAAATTAGTTAATCGCACAACAAAAACAGGCACCAGAGTGCACACAATTTTAGACATTTAAACCACAAAAATTATTCGGGAAGCATGAAATAAAGTCTCAAACAGCAACCACACATAAAGCTACGCTGATGATGATGGCGGTGATGATGATAGATCCAGGTCTTGATTTCAGCCAGGTGTGTCTTGGTCAATGACCCGGAAAATATATCCACACCCGGCACACCACATCCAGTATACCGCTCGCTATGATTCTGGCTACTTATCGGTGCCTGCTCCGGTCTACCAGTGAAAATATTCGGTGAGAAATCCAGACCTGGTCACGTTTAGCAAAAGAACAGCGCTCACCTTCACCTTCGTGCTGAACGTGACATCTCTGAACACCGGGTCCAGGGCGTGTAAGGCTGCACACAGCGGGGTGGAGAGAAAGTCTCTGTAACCTCCACAACACCACACTCCTCCTGGAACGAGGGTGCCGCGAATCGTAGTGGAGGTGGTGGCGGTAGTGCCGGCGGTCGTAGAAGCAGTGGTGATGGTTAAGGATGCCGGTAATCATTGTTGGTGGTGACAGTAGCTGTAGTGGTAGTCCTGGGGTGGCAAGACTGCTGATGATGCTGGTGGCCGGATGGCTTATTTGACTTAATTTACGCTTGTTTAACTCGGATAGCCTCGCCGAGTCTCATGACCGTTTTATCGGCATGGTCGTGCCAAGTTTTTGCAGGAGCGGGCGATGATCGCCATGTATGTATGTTGAACGTCTTTCACACCGTACGTAGCCAACTGAGATAATCGGAGGTGTATATATTACACCGCGTGATTTGGTGGTAATTATTCTAAGTGGGAGCAGTGTTAGTGGCAGGGTGGTGGTGGTGGTGCAATAACTCGGGCACACGCGAACTGCAGTGCTGGGATGAGGGCAGTGAAGGGTGCAGAGTCGCGATCGAGGGAAGTGGTAGCGTCGTGGCTGGCCGCGCGTCCCACCGTGGCCGATCTTGTTGATGGCGAGCTCCTTGGACACCAGGAAGTCGCCTGGAAAGAAGCAAACCCATGCCCAATGCCTCGAGTCATCTCCGCCTCTCACGACAGCGACACAATGCGACTAATGCATCTGCAATACAAGGCAGATGTATGCAGCCGCGTCTGCGTGCGACCATATCTCGAGACGCTTCGCAGAAACCGCGGGTGCGTTCATAATGGCGAGAGAGGCAACTGTGGCCACAGGCAGAGGTGGAACAAAGTTGAGCCAGACCGTGAGCAGGAGGCGTCTTCCCTGCCCCCGACAGCCCCCGCTGGAGCCGCTCCGCCCTGCAACCCCCCACCAGTTTCTTGGCCAGAGTGGCTCGCGGAGTGACCCCTCACACCAACCACCCTTCTCCTTCACTTGCACTCCCACGTGGTGGGCGTTCGCGCACACACGGCAGGCTGAGACACCGGAGGCTCGCTGGCTGCAAGCCGTTCCCCGGGGGCCCCATGCCAAGAGGGTTTTTTTAAAGGAGAGTTCCTTTCCGGATGACGGAGGGCCCGAGTACAGAAACTGCCCTTACAATCTGGCGGCTGTGATTGTAGTGGACTCTATATAGGAGGCAATAGTGGAGAGCGGCCTTCACGAGGGACGGCAAATCGGTGACAATCGGTGACCGATGATGATGAAGACAAATAGGGAAACCCATGGAATCCACCCTCACCGTCCCGGCTGAAGACGCCCTTCTCAAAGAAGTAGCGTATCTTGTCTCCACTGGTCATGAAATAATCGGCGTTTCCCTGTTGAAAGATAATCACAAAATCACAATATTTCAGAGAGAGGGACTGCGCTCACGAGGTGTGCGTACGTTTCTGTAAGAACATGTGTGTGTGCCTTGCGTGCCTGTGCGCGCGCATAAGTGCATGAGTTGGTATTCTGAGCAAGTGTACATGTTTATTTAAGTGTGGACACGAGTGTGCATGTTTGTGTGGGGAGCGGTGGCACAGTGGTTAGCAGCGCACTGCACTACGAACCCAGAGAATCGAGTTCGATTCCCGCTCACGGTCAACATCGGTGATGAATATATGAACTGTTCTGGGCCTCCTCAAGGTTGACTCAGCCTAAAATTAGTACCTGATATAGTGTGTATTAAACATCAGCACTGGGGAGACAGGTGCTGGCCACCCACCGCCTCGTGCCCCATGTCGGCTTTCATCGATGCAACTTGCTAACAGCACCTGCCCCAGCAGTCTGTCAAAGGCTACACAGGAATCTTTGTCCGTGTGTCCATGCGGCGTCAGACGGAACCCACCTGCGCGTGCACCTGCTCATCTTCCTCCGTGGTGAACTCCACGCGGCACTCCGGGGGCACCTGTGCCGAGGCGACGAGCTGGGCGGCACGCACGCGCAGCGCCTCGCACTCCGCGGCACTCAAGAAGCCCTCCACCACCGCGTAGCCATCCTGCACCAGCTGCTCTCTCGCACACACGATTTTTACACACCGCACCAGGTACTCATTTAAGGCTGAGTCGATCTAGGGGAGGCCCAGGACCAGTTCAGATAATCGTCACTGGTGGTGGCCGTGAGCGGGAATTGAACTCCCGTCGCCGGGGTCATAGCACAGCATAGCCCTATTATTAAATTCTATCGGCCGCCCTGATTAATGATGCGAGTGTAATAACCATGCTGTCTGCTGTGGGCCGTTGTCTAGATTAATGACAACATTTATCCCGATTTTGCGACCGGTTTTGTGAAATAAGAGAAAAAAAATCCACTCGGACATTTCCCAGGCAAACCCTTCATGTTGGAGAATGGCCTACAGAAGTGGATATCGCAGAGTTACCTCTGAGATATATTCAAGCGAATTCTGTTCCACCGCCATCCTCCCCTCCCGCCACTGAAAGTAATGTTCGTCGCATGATAGTCAAAAGGATATTTTAGATTCTCAGAGCTATAATTTAGCCAAATGAAGTGCAGAAACAAATTGCATGTGACGGGTTGTTTTTGGGCATTCACCAGGCTGTAAACAAGATACCAAGCAAGGGTTTCTCAACAGTGCGTGCTCAGCGCTCTGACCCACCCGGCCACATACCAGCACACACAACACACGGCACATCTACACAGGGCAGTTCATGTACACACCGACACTCCAGTCCAATAGGGCACACACAAACACACTGTCTAATCAACAGCTTCAAATCAAGTGTGATATTACTCGGTGATCTCTCCAGCTTCGCGACTGCAAAGTTTAACCAGCAGAGGAATGCTGCTTTCGAGCCCCGTTCAGTCCCTCCCAGGATCAATCGACAGGGCCGACGTGATGTGGTCGATCGAAACACTGCCAGCAGGAGGGCATCTAGGGGCAGGGTTAGGGCTGATGGGATGGCAAGGGGACAGTGCGGTCCATATAGGACTGCTATGCACCAGGGTCACGAGCTCTGCGTGTGGGCATTTTCAGAAGGTCCTTTGGAGGCGTGGGGTTAGGAATATGAGGGGTCAGGAAGGTGCGGGGTTAGGGAGGTGAGGGGTCAAGGAGGTGAGGGGTCAGGAAAGTGAGAGGTCAGGGAGGTGAGGGGTCAGGGAGAAGAAGAGGCAGGGAGGTGAGGAGTCAGGGAGGTGAGGGGTCAGGGAGGTGAGGGGTCAGGGAGGTGAGGGGTCAGGGAGGTGAGGGGTCAGGGAGGTGAGGAGTCAGGGAGGTGAGGGGTCAGGGAGGTGAGGAGTCAGGGAGGTGAGGAGTCAGGGAGGTGAGGGGTCAGGGAGGTGAGGGGTCAGGGAGGTGAGGGGTCAGAGAGGTGAGGGGTCAGGGAGGTGAGGGGTTAGTGTTTCAGCTGACTCGGTACTTATCTCTTGTAAACACGCGGCGTGGATTACTGTCGCGGATTAGTACAGTGACGCCTCTCGTCCAGTGGCCAACATTACACAGAACCAATTCAGCGGTGAATGCTGGGAGAGTGTGAATCCTGTGTGAGTGTTGTGATGTAAGAGTGTTGTGTGAGTGTTGTGATGTGAGAATGTTGTGATGTGTGAGTGTTGTGCTGTGAGTGTTGTGCTGTGTGAGTGGTGTGTGAGTGTTGTGCTGCGTTTGTATTGTGCTGAGTGTTGTGCTGTGTGAGTGTTGTGAGTGTTGTGTTGTGTGAGTGTTGTGTGAGTGTTGTGCTGTGTGAGAGTTGTGATGTGAGAGTGTTGTGATGTGAGAGTGTTGTGCTGTGTTAATATTGTGCTGAGTGCTGTGTGAGTGTTTTGCTGTGTGAGTGTTGTGAGTGATGTGCTGTGTGAGTGTTGTGATGTGTGAGTGTTTTGCTGTGTGAGTGTTGTGAGTGTTGTGCTGTGTGAGTGTTGTGAGTGTTGTGCTGTGTGAGTGTTGTGATGTGTGAGTGTTTTGTGAGTGTTTTGCTGTGTGAGCGTTGTGATGTGTGAGTGTTTTGTGAGTGTTTTGCTGTGTGAATGTTGTGAGTGTTGTGCTGTGTGAGTGTTGTGATGTGTGAGTGTTGTGCTGTGTGAGTATTGTGTTAGTATTGTGCTGCGTGAGTGTTGTGTTGTGTGAGTGTTTTGCTGTGTGAGTGTTGTATGAGTGTTGTGATGTGTGAGTGTTGTGCTGTGAGCGATTGCATAACGCACAACGCCCGCCACTGCCGCTGTCTCTTCGGTGTCTGTCCGCCTGCGTCCCACTCCGTGTCTCTTGAGTGTTGCATGTCTCTGTCTCCGCGTGTCTGTGTGGCGTCTCTCCCGTGGCCTATGCACTTCACGTCCCCGTGTCGTCTGTCTCTGTGCTGGACGCTGCATCTCTCCACGTCCCGAGAGACCTCGAGCTACAACCGAGGCCGCACACACTGCTCCATCATCCATCGCACCTTCTCACGGAGGCCATCCTCGGCGGTCGAGGGCTCCATGCTCGAGATTGTCGGCAGCTCCAGTGGTCGAGGTGGCGTGCAGGCTGCCGTCGGCTGGACGCGTCCTCTTGGAATCTCTCCCGCTTGCGCAACGGCACCGCGTGGCTGGTGTGCTCCCGACCCCTTCGATGCGGCCTCTCTCGTTCCTCCCCGCCCTCTGGTGGAGGGGCCGGGACCCTCGCGGTGGGCCCCACGCCCTGACCCCAAGCAGGGGGTCCTTCCCATTCAGAAACCTGAGTTGGCGGGGCACCGGGTGGTGATGGACCCACCTCGTCGCGATCAGAATCGTCCCACGCGATCTCACCCCCAATCCATAATACACGTGTGCCGGGGTTGGGTTCGCAGCCCTATTCACGAAGCGAGCAAAGTTGTGCTGCTGCTGCTGCTTTGCCAGTGCTTGCGCACACAAACATACAGCATCGACACAACTCAGGAGGTCATGTTCTCCGCCGCTCACCTCAAACTATTGCAACGCTCGAGCAAACACACACTCTCGCGCAGCACTTGCAACTCGTGTAGCTAGAGACCGTGCTGTGTGTGAGCAACGGTGGGGGGGGGGAGAGGCATTTGTTGGACCAGGACCGTTGATTTGAGACAATGGCGTGCGGCCCTTTGAGCTCAAGAGGCTCTTTTCCAAATGCCGTGCACAGCCGCGGCTGATCGCGCGGTGGTGCGAAGCAGGCAAGTTGCGTGGCAAGGGCGCGTCTTTACAAGGGGAGGGGGGGGGGTTGGCAGAGAACAAACGCGTGTACAATGTTGTTTTATTCACACACCGCCGAGGAGGTCGTGGCTCAAACCAAACGGCGTCAGTCAACCCACCGGCAGCTGTGAGAGGCGCGCAGACCATTCACGTGGCGGTGAACATCTCCCGGCACCGTGCCTGGCCCTGCAGGATCCAGCAGCAGCAGCAGCAGCGACCCACAACGGAGTCGCGTTCACGAAAGAACGCGGGGCACTTGGGGGGATGTCGCGCCATTGAAGCGTCCAACACACCCCCACTCCCTCCTTACGCCTTTCCCCTGAATATTCCTCTACGATTACAGCGTGTCGCCTCCATTTGCGAGGAAATTCAGGTAGCGAGAGAGCTTGCCTCGGCAACGGCGCCCAAATAACCGCACCTGATGTGGGGAATTTGTAAAACGCATAAACATTTGGTGCATCTGCCAGTCATCTCAGTCAATGAACCCACGACACCTGGGTCTGTTCCGGGACCTCTTATCAGCGAGCCTTCGACACTTTACGTGGCCTCGAGGTGCACCTAGCCCGGCACAAACACCGTGATACCATCACCGCCACTTGGTGGCGAAAGTCGACTGCTTGTCGTTCTTCTATGCGCGTGAGCGCACGTAATGCTCGAGAGCGCACGCGCTCTGTGCTGGCTGGGAACATCAGCCACGCGTTGCGCGCGTGCGCGGGATTAATTCATCGGGAGCGCGGAGACGATTCACCGCCGCTGTCCGCTGTCTCGACCGCGTCGTCATCTCCGTCTGCCCGTCCGTCTGCCCGTCCGAGGGAGGGCCGGTAGTTGGGCGGGGGCGGGGGGAAGAGAGGCCGCTTGGAGCGAGAGTCCCCGCTGCGAGAGCCTGCAGGGATCCGGGGCCCCGGGCCATCCAGGGCGTGAGAAGGCGGAGGAGGAGGAGAGGAGCGAGGTGGCGGACAGAGCAGAGGGCTCAGCGAAGGTATCCGCACCGCCTCGCCGCTGCGCTTGGCATGCGTCACCAACGCGGCTTCACACAGTAGCGATTATGCAGTGATGTTACTAACGTGGGTTACGGGTGCATCGATTTATATTCACACTGGCATAGAGACGCGCACAGAAGACAAAGATCCCCCGTATAGCATTTAACAGACTGTAGGGGCAAGTGCTGTTAGCGAGCACCGGTGAAGGCCGGCACGGCACACGAGGAGGTGGGTGTCGAGCACTGCGCCCCGACCGCCTTTGTCTCCCGAGTGGCGATGTTTACTCAGTTGAGGCCGAGTCGACCTAGGGGAGACCGAGGACCGGTTTAGATAATCGTCACTGGTGTTGGCCGTGAGCGAGAGTCAAAATTCGGCTGGCCAGGTTCGTTCTGACCACTACGCCACCGTTCCCCACTTAATCAGTAACAGAGACAGTCTCACGCACGGCCACGCGCACAGGGCGCATCCCCTCGCGTGCAACACGCACATCCCCGCTGCTAGGCGACCGCCTGCACATGTCGTGCCCCGCTGCTGCTACACAGACCCCGCTGCTGCTACACAGACCCCGCTGCTGCTACACAGACCCCGCTGTGGGTACACAGACCCCGCTGTGGGTACACAGACCCCGCTGCTGCTACACAGACCCCGCTGCGGGTACACAGACCCCGCTGCGGGTACACAGACCCCGCTGCTGCTACACAGACCCCGCTGCTGCTACACAGACCCCGCTGAGGATACACAGACCCCGCTGCTGCTACACAGACCCCGCTGCTGCTACACAGACCCCGCTGCGGGTACACAGACCCCGCTGCGGGTACACAGACCCCGCTGCTGCTACACAGACCCCGCTGCGGGTACACAGACCCCGCTGCTGCTACACAGACCCCGCTGCTGCTACACAGACCCCGCTGCGGGTACACAGACCCCGCTGCTGCGGCACAGACCCCGCTGCGGATACACAGACCCCGCTGAGGATACACAGACCCCGCTGCGGATACACAGACCCCGCTGAGGATACACAGACCCCGCTGCTGCTACACAGACCCCGCTGCTGCTACACAGACCCCGCTGCTGCTACACCGACCCCGCTGCGAATACACCGACCCCGCTGCGGATACACAGACCCCGCTGCTGCTACACAGACCCCGCTGCTACTACATAGACCCCGCTGCGGGTACACAGACCCCGCTGCTGCTACACAGACCCCGCTGAGGATACACAGACCCCGCTGCTGCTACACAGACCCCGCTGCTGCTACACAGACCCCGCTGCTGCTACACAGACCCCGCTGCTGCTACACCGACCCCGCTGCGAATACACCGACCCCGCTGCGGATACACAGACCCCGCTGCTGCTACACAGACCCCGCTGCTGCTACACAGACCCCGCTGAGGATACACCGACCCCGCTGCGGATACACAGACCCCGCTGCTGCTACACAGACCCCGCTGCTGCTACACAGACCCCGCTGCTGCTACACCGACCCCGCTGCGGATACACAGACCCCGCTGCGGATACACAGACCCCGCTGCTGCTACACAGACCCCGCTGCGGATACACAGACCCCGCTGAGGATACACAGACCCCGCTGAGGATACACAGACCCCGCTGAGGCTACACAGACCCCGCTGCAGCTATACAGACCCCGCTGCGGGTACACAGACTCCGCTGCTGCTACACCGACCCCGCTGCGGATACACAGACCCCGCTGCTGCTACACAGACCCCGCTGCTGCTACACAGACCCCGCTGTGGGTACACAGACCCCGCTGCAGCTACACAGACCCCGCTGAGGATACACAGACCCCGCTGCTGCTACACAGACCCCGCTGAGGATACACAGACCCCGCTGCTGCTACACAGACCCCGCTGCGGGTACACAGACCCCGCTGTGGGTACACAGACCCCGCTGCAGCTACACAGACCCCGCTGTGGGTACACAGACCCCGCTGAGGCTACACAGACCCCGCTGCAGCTACACAGACCCCGCTGCTGCTACACAGACCCCGCTGCTGCTACACAGACCCCGCTGTGGGTACACAGACCCCGCTGCTGCTACACAGACCCCGCTGCTGCTACACCGACCCCGCTGCGAATACACCGACCCCGCTGCGGATACACAGACCCCGCTGCTGCTACACAGACCCCGCTGCTGCTACACAGACCCCGCTGAGGATACACCGACCCCGCTGCGGATACACAGACCCCGCTGCTGCTACACAGACCCCGCTGCTGCTACACAGACCCCGCTGCTGCTACACCGACCCCGCTGCGGATACACAGACCCCGCTGCGGATACACAGACCCCGCTGCTGCTACACAGACCCCGCTGCGGATACACAGACCCCGCTGAGGATACACAGACCCCGCTGAGGATACACAGACCCCGCTGAGGCTACACAGACCCCGCTGCAGCTATACAGACCCCGCTGTGGGTACACAGACCCCGCTGAGGCTACACAGACCCCGCTGCAGCTACACAGACCCCGCTGCTGCTACACAGACCCCGCTGCTGCTACACAGACCCCGCTGTGGGTACACAGACCCCGCTGCTGCTACACAGACCCCGTTGCCCCCCCCCCCCCCCCCCCAGGGGCAGAGCCCCGCTCACTCATCCGCACGAGTCAGGCTGGCAAGGCCCCGTCGGCCACCCCCTACTTAGTGTCCCACTTTTATGGCCAAAGACAAAGATCCCCCGTGTAGCCTTAACAGATTGTTGGGGAAAGTGCTGGTATCGAGCAGCTGTGAAAGTCGGGACGACACACGCAGAGATGGGTGGGTGACCAGCACCACCCGAGTCTCTCCAGTGGCGATGTTTACACACCGCACGAGGTACTAATTTGAGGCTGAGTCAACCTACGGGTAATCGTCACTGGTGTTGGCCGTGAGCGGGAATTGAACTCGGGTCGCCGGGTTCGTGGAGCAGCGCGCTAACTGCTACACTACCGCTCCCTACACGTTTGTGACCGTGCATATAAACACAAGCTGATCATTCGTGTCGTTATGGAGAATATACATAACAACACAAACAAGCGGACTATATATATGACCCTGCGCATATATATCCCATCAGCCACACATCTTTCTGTGAGTGCATCATTTCAGCAGCATTGGTTCAACACAAGCACAACTCTGGGCCGGCTTTGCACATGCAGTGCCTCATCATCAGTCAGGCTCGCCTGCATTAATTCTGAACTGCGAAATGTTATAGACAACGGCCCTCTCTTCAAGATCTGGGTCTTAGTTCGACGGAAAATGTCATACTGTACAGCACTACGTAACATAACTCATCCTTCGCGTCGTTGTGGAGGATATAAACAACACGATAAATAAGCAATACTGTATATATGTCCTACCACTTAAGCAATTGATTTTGCCACGAAAACACCTAGCACTGATGCGTCTGGCACGCACGAGGAGATTCGTGCCGTGGGCGTGGAACGCTCTGAGCACAAGAGGGTCACAATCAGTGTCACAAATTCCACCACAGACCCCCTTCCCCCCCTCCCAGCCGCCGTCCCCATTTTACTATCTGCAGGACCCCCTCCCTCCTCGCTCCCCGCGACCCTCACGTCCCCCCGCTCCCAAGCCCCATGCTCCCCCCCTGCCTTCCAGGTCCAGCCAGGGCCCATATCGCCGTCATGGAAAATCAATCCCTCCCATCGTCTCATTCCCAAAGTTGTTGCTTTTTTTGGTATCACCTATCTCAATTCAAGAAACGGATCGAGTTGTATCTATTACCCCTACAATATCGCCGTTTATTTCCGACCGCTTGGCGTTTTTTGACCTTTGTGCCTGTGCTCAGCAAACGTGATTCCAAACAAAATCTCTAATTCCAGTGCCCGCGTCCCCACGCGTCCACCTTCAATTGTTCACCAGACGCGACCGTCAGTAGCCCCCTCGGGCCCCCTCGTGGCCCCGCGGGGTCCCCACGGGGTCATGTGGGGGTGGCTGAGACCCTTGACGGGAGGCAGCGAGGCCGCGGGGGGCTCTTCGTGGCGTTCCGCCCAGCGGGACCACGGTGAGGCCGTGGCCGAGCTGCTCATGCTGGAGCTGAGCGGGGCCGTGCGGGACGCTGAGCGCACGACGCGGGCGCGGGAAGCCGAGTTCCGACGCCTGCGCTCCGGAGTGGACTACAGCTGGCTCGCCAGCCCCCCGCGGCCCCCAAACATGGAGCTGCCCCCCGCGGAGCGCATGGCCCTGGAGGCGCTGTGCGCCCAAGTGCGGCCCGCGGACTGCGGCCCAACCATCCTCAGGTGAGATGAGGTAGGGGTTAGGGTGCGTGCGTGTGAGTGAGGGGTTACAATTAACTGAACCGGTCCTGGGCCTCCCCTAGGTCGACTCAGCCTCAAATGAGTACCTGCTGTGGGGTGTAATCATCCCCTCTGGGCAGACAAAGGCGGTCGGGCGTGATGCTAGCCAGCCACCTTCTCGCGTACCGTGATGGCTTTCAGAGGTGTGCGCTAACAGCACTTTCCCCAACAGTCTGTTAAGGCTACACGGGACATCTTTGTCTCTGAGGGGAGGATTAGAGTCTCTGCATGTGTGAGGGGAGGGTTATAGTCTGTGTGTGTGAGGATAGGAAATACAGGTGCGTGTGGTGGCCGTCAGAACGCGGTCGTGATAGTACAGCAATTACAATGCAGTGTTTGTTCCAAATATTTAATTACTTTCTGGACCCATCACATTGGAAAGACCCCCCAAACCAATTAGTCCAGTTTCAAGAGATGTTACCGTCCAGTCATTACATGGACGAAGTAGTATTTGTCTAATAACTCGACAACCAAAGGTATTGCGGGGAGGTATTCTCCAATTAGGGAATGTGATTGCCGAGAGGACGTGACCTGACCTCGATAAGCGAGCCAATCACGATTAGTCGCCAAGCACAGAGACATTGACGAGTCGCGGCAGGTGGGTGGGGGGAGGGGTATCGAACTAACACCAGAGAGGTCGGCGCCACGGGGCGCGTTTGAACAAGGCAAGGAGAGAGGGTGGAGATCGCACGCCATTCATCAACCACCCATTGCGGCGAACTCATCACAACTGATCGGCCATGGAAGCGAGACGGAGCCAAATCCGAGGCCGAAGCTAAATATTTTAATAGTAATGATGATGACGATGCCATTCATGCAGATAATCCTCGCTTACGTGTCTGGGGTCTGGATCAAAATGGTCCAACTACATTAGGATGTTTGGAAAATTCCTTTTCATATATATATAAAATGAGTGTTTTCTTGAGGGTTGAGGAATCCGGAGATCCCAGAGAAACATCGCTGCGAATATGAGGAGATAATACGAAAAGGTCCCACTATACAGAGACGTTTACGAGAACCCACTTGCTGTACTGCGATCGCCTGGCGACTTCCAACCCCAGCGAGGGAGGTTGACAAATGTTTTCGCGATCCGCTAACCATTTCCACTACGGCGCTGGATCACACGCGTGCGCCATCACTCCCGGTACTAATTAGCGTAATTAGTGCAGCAGTGATCTCCACCCCTCCCCCAACCCCCTGCCCCATACATCCACACACACTCCGCACCCCACACCCTGCCCATACATCCACATACACCCCGCACCCCACACCCTGCCCATACATTCACACACACCTCGCACCCCACCCCCTGCCCATACATCCACACACACCCCGCACCCCACACCCTGCCCATACATCCACACACACCCCGAACCCCACCCCCTGCCCATACATCCACACACACCGCGCATCCCGTCACCGCTCATCACCAACCCCCCCACGCGGCGAGGATTTGCCCGTGAGCTCTTAGCCCGGCGCAATCTGCTCAGCCACGACATTTTAGGCCAATTAAGGGTTCACCTTGCGCTCAAACCTACGCCTAATTAATTACTGCACCTGCTCTGAACAGTGACGCCTAATTAAGATCTCGGCGAAGTCAGAGGTCAACCTAGCAGTCGGATCCACGGCAGGACAACACAAGGCCTCCGCGCGTGGAGGGGGTTACGGGTCACTGGGGTTTCACAGGGAATCACTGGACTGCACACAATGTGCACTTTTTTTTTTAAATCCCCTCGCCTCTGCCCTCCCCCCAGCAGTGTAAATGTGTTCACCAGAGTCGAGCGGCAAGTCGCGTATGTGCGGGGTCACCCCTGGGCACTCCCACCCAGCTGATCTCGTCAAAGAACATAAACCACCACGCCAACTGCGGTCATCCTCGCAGCAGCGTCTTTTGGCCACCCATAGAACAAAGACGGTCACTGCATCGCGCGCTTTCAAATGCGCCTTTGCGGCTGTCTGAAACGCCCTTCCTTGCGATATTTAGAAGCCATTGGAGCTATGGACTTTCAAATCTAGATTGAAACCTAATTTCTTTAGAACTGCGTTTTGTGTTCAATTTGTTGTTCTTCCCCCGCACCTTCGATTCACACGGTTGGCTACGTACGGTGCAAAATAAGTTCAACATACATTCTAAGACGTCTGGCCAACGTGGAAGATAGGCCAAAAACCATCTAAAGTGGATCTTTACGACAAGACATTCTAAGGCTGCACCTTTAACTTTTACCAATGGGGTGCACAGGAAGTCAATGGAGGAGCCTTGCGGCTGGATTACCATCACGCAGGTCCCGCTGAGCTCCCTGTGTCAGCACATGGCGAACCCTTTTTCATTAGCCTCGTCTACACCTCCTGGTTTCTAGGTCTCTCGTCACGTTCATGGTTCAACGCGCAGACCCTGCATGGAGAACCATGGTCCATTGCCAAGTAGGGGGGGGGGGGAAGGGTCAACCCCTTTCTCCCGCGAGATAGAGGGTCCATCCCCAACGGATCCGCAAACCAAAACCACAATGGGGCTCCCGCAAACCAAAAACCACAACGCCCTCCCCCCTCTGCCCCGTCTCACGCCGTGACTGCAATCTGGAATCCTCGTTATAAAAATTGAATTGTTTCGTGCCCACGATGGCCTGGAAGCGGCTTCTGCCTCCACAGGAAGGGCCCAGCACCGGGGCCCCGGTCTGGGTTGCCAAGCTCCATCGTGACGAGGCCCCGTGGGTCCCCGACCCACGTCCGCTGTACCGCAGATTAGGCTGTAAAACGATTTGAATTAGAACCAATTTCGTTTTTGTCGGTTTCCTTAATCTGGTTTAACCACGAATAGGAGCCAAAAACTACGCGCGTGACGTCAATGCCAGGGTTCTGACTAAATCGGATCATTCTGATCGTGTTGCCGCAGTCAAAGCTCTCGCTGCGCCGATTCACACCCCTTGTGCGAATTGAGCTCAAGTTCCTCAATTCATGATTTTTTTTTCCCGAAGAGGCTCTGCGTGGTTTTGCTGCCTCCTACCCATGGATGAATTTCAGCCAGGTCTGTCCGGGTCAACGACTTGGATAATATTTCCGCAACCGGCACACCATATCTAGTAGTATATATCTCGCAATGACTGTGGGCTAAATTTCGATTTAAAGCTTTTCAGACGCTGTCTTTCCGACAGACCTGTTATTCACCTTATGACGGCTGCTTGCGTTGTGGCCGAAACGTCGTGAAAATAATTGTATAATGTTTTACTTTTATTATTTTATTATTTCCCTTCTACGTGACTTTACCGAAAGAACCTAGAAGACTGTGGGCTAGTCATCACGTGCCACATGCAGTCTATTCCGCGACCCTGATACGTGCAGTGGCAAATGAAACCATGCTCTTATCTGATCGAGCGCCTGTCTCCCTGATGTCACTCTGCTCATAGGACACAGTGATATCGAGGCGTACTTGGTGATTAAAATGTGCAAACGAAGAGGGAACTCGCCGCAACAGAAAGATCAGCGCAGGCCGGAAGTCAAATAGATTTGGCAACACAGAGAGATGTCTGCTGCGTATACAAAAGCTTCTGCAGACACCCAACTCAAAAGAAACGAATATGGCCGTTGCCGTTGTAAGCCCACCCCCCTACAATGGGCGTTTGGAAATCCTTATCGCACTCGGCAAGATTGCGTAAAAGCATGCGTAAATATAACTTGCTTCTGTGTCTCCACATATCAATAAACATGTGCTTAGTACACCCACCGATTGACTCTTCAGACCAATATCATTCATCAGCAATTGTTCAAGCAATCGAACACAACTCTTAACCGGTTTCGGACGTCTGGGTCTCATCATCAGTCAGGCCTGACTGTATCAACACTTCAGCTGCCGGCAGCGAGTTCTGTTTTATTTAGCTCTGTAATCTCTAAACCGTTGTGGACGTAATGTAACTGTAGATTATGATTGTATTGTTAAGCGCTTAGTGAAGCACTGATCCTGGAAGGGGATATATGCACAGCATATATATATATATATACACACACACAGCATATCTACTTTGTCTTCTTTGCGGTCTGATTCCCATTACGTTCTCGGGATTATTGGAGTCCATTCGGAACTGTCCCAGCACAAAACCACTTCTGAGATTCATCTTCTTGGTTCTTTCGGTAAAAGTCACGTAGAAGGAAAATAATAAAATAATAAAAATAAAACATAATAAAATAATTCTCACGACGTTTCGGCCACAACACAAGCAGCCGTCTTCAGGTGGAGAACAGGTCTGTCGAGAAGGCAGAGTCTGAATGCTTTAAATCGAAAACTACTTCTGAGATCCCTTCAATGTCCATTGCTCCCCAATCAGTCCGATCTGTTTTTTTATTCTCAGAGCAGGAATGTAACACAATTAAGTGAAAACAGTAATGTAATGTTCATTTCATGCTTTGCTTTTTTCGCTATCATTGGTGACTGGGCTGACGTCAACTCACTGCACTTCTCTGGCCGTCAAACAAACCGGTCACCTACTACTGAACGGCATTAGAAAGCTATAGAATGAGGCCGTGAAATATGGATGGATAAATTATGATTCATGCACATTAGATGTGTCAGGAATGGATATAAATAACAGCGATTTAAATTCCATGCTCGACCCCATGCTCAAACACACGCCACCTCCCACCCACGCTCAGCACACGTGTCACGCACTCATTCTTCGATTGCGTCACATGAAACAACATCATGCTGTTTTCGCATTCGTGTTAACCGGCTTCAAGCAATGCGCGTGCATAATTGTACAAAGTACAGTACTTGTTTGTAGCTGCGTATCGTGTTTTGTTGCTGTTACTGTTTATGCTGCTGTGTATTGCTTTGTTGTGTGCTGTTGCTGCTGTTGATTGTTGTTGTGTCCTGTTGCTGTTGTGTTCTTGGTGGTTTTATTGTTTTCATTGTTGCCGTTTTCGAGGTTGTATTGTTCAATTCTATACCGCTGCAGGTTCCGCCAGACCGTGTGCGAGTTCGAGGCCGAGCCGGCCGAGGTGGTGGGGCTCTTCCGCAACGTGGTGCGCGAGGTCGTGGACCGGGCCCGCAGCGAGGAGGCCCTGCGCCGTCTCTCCAAACAGTGGGGGCCCTCACGGCGTGGCCGCCCCCTCGCCTGGGCCTCCGCGCTGCTGCTGCCCCGGTCCCCGGCCCGCATCCACCCGAGCGACGCCGCCACCGCTGACTCCATCATCCGCTCCATCTCGGAAGACGTGGAACGCGGCGGGGGCGCGGCGCGCGTCCCCTGCGCTGCGGAGCGCGGAGGGGACCCGTTGCACGAGCCGCCCCCTAAGCGCGCGTTCAGCATGCCCGAGCTGCAGCGCGGTGCGGCGCACAGCTGAGGTTGGCTCCGTGTGTGTCTGTGTTGTATTTTGGTGTGTGACTTTGTGTGTACGAGTGTGGGCATGGGGCGCGGTGGCGCAGCGGTTGGAGCGCTGCGAACCCGGCAAAACCAGTTCGAATCCCGCTCACGGCCAACACCGGTGGCGATTATCTGAACCGGTCCTGGGCCTCCCCTAGGTCGACTCAGCCTCAAATGAGTATCTGGTGCGGTGTGTAAACATCGTCACTAGGGAGACAAATGCGGCCGGGGGTGGTGGTGGTGGCCACCCACCCCTTCGTGTGCCGTCTTGGCCTTTATATGTGCTGCTCGCTAACAGCACTTGCCCGAAACTTTCTCTTGCGTATTATTGCGTCCATATGTTCGGGTTGGCACCGTGTGGCAATCTTAAGAACTCGCCTTTTGCCCGTCCAAGGACGGGTGTATTGCAGTAAATCTGAAACTTGCAAGCGAAAAGCAGACCTCGACGTTGATATTAATTGCGTCAATTCGTGTGCAGTTTGTAAGGGCGCGGTGACACAGACTTATTTCATTTGAAGGTTAAAATCCCTTGTTCATCACGACGTCCTTTTTACTTCGATGTCTCAACAGCGTTACGGAGGTCACGTGACGTGAGGGTTCTGCCTTCGTAGTGAGGGTTGTGAGTTGACGCTGAGGCTCCTCGCCCCCACCCCTATGTGGAGTGACGTCACCCGCTAATTATTATAAAGGGAGGGGGTTGTCCATTTGGAGGACGTCACCTGTTCATAATTATTAAGGGACCGTCCATAAATGACGTCACGCACCTAGGGGGGGGGGGTCAGACATTTGTGACGATGTGTGACGAGGGGGGGGGGGTTGAGAAATGTGACGTTACATCAAAATGCGCAACTTTAAATAAATATAGATAACACGTTCTACTTAATTCAATATAAAAAAATTATACATGTTTTCTCCTACAACATCAGAGTGCAGCGGCACATTAAATACGCACTACAATGACAATAGTTTAAAACGATTTGAAGCATGTTTTTTTTTGGGGGGGGGGGGCTTTGTAACGTCAAATTTGAGGGGGGTCTGACTTTTTGTGACGCCGTGTGACGAGGGGGGGGGGGGGGTCAAAAATCGTCCAAAATCGCGTGACGTCATTTATGGACGGCCCCTAATGAGGGGGGCTGTTCGATGTGGAGTGACATCACCTGCTCATGATTATTAATGAGGGGGGGGGGGTTCTCCATGCGGAGTGACGTCACCCGCTCATGATTATTAATAAGGGGGGGGGGGTTCCTCCATGCGGAGTGACGTCACCCGCTCATCATTATTAATGAGGGGGGCTGTTTCATTGTGGTGTGACGTCACTTGCTCATGATTATTAATGAGGGGGGGGTTTCTCCATATTGAGTGACGGAATGAGGGGTGGGGGAAATGTCCATTTGGAGAACTTTACCTGCTCATGAATATTAATGAGGGTGGGATGGTCGATGTGGAGTGACGTCACGAGCGTTAAGGACATTCCTGGGTGAGTATAGTAGGTATGGGATTGGCATCTGTGGACGGGTGGCAGGAATTAGCAAGCACAGACGCCCGGATGGGTTTAGAGTACAGTGCACTGCACTCTTAATAGACCCTCTCGTTTTCACATCCATCGTGGCTCTTGATATGTTTAGTTTTTACCGAATTCTAAAAAAAAAAAATGTCTCTTGTTATTTTGATTGCCGACCCCTGGAACTCGGCTGACTGTGAATGCCTCGGCAACTCGAGCGCTTGCATGATGCGCGCCCGAAACTGTTTCAGGCTCTTTGAAGTGCGTGTTCCTGCTGTGTGATTGTGTGATTGTTCCTTGTGCGTGTGATCAACTGGGAGGGACGGGGAGGATTGTTATATTGTGTTAATGTAGTCATGGGTGCACGTGCCGCCGTTCTAAGATGCCGATGAAATGTTGTTGTTGGAAATTGATGATGCTTATGGATTTGCTGAGACAGCAGCCGGGGTCCCGCGATACTCACAGCCTCCCCCCAACACCTCTCTCTCTCTTCACTGCCCCCCTCCACTCTTTCCCTACCACCCACACCCTTAGCCGGAAATCACGGGGACCACGGTGGAGGTTCGATTCCCGCACCAGGAGCCCCCGAAATCTCGCGCAGCGTCTTTAACGCGGATCTTAAAGACGCGGCGACGTCATTGGCAAGCGTAGACCGCGGTGTGCCGATGTCGTAGCTTCGTTATCACCGCTGCCGCTGTGAGCCCCGAACGCGGTGATCGCTAATTGGTCATTAGCGACACCGGGACGCAACCGGCGCCACTTGTGGCTGCGTCACTGATTCTAGATTTGAAGCTTTCGTGACTGCAATGATTCATATTCTTGGGTTTTTTTGGTAAAGTCACGTAGGTAAAAAATTTACTAAAATTAATAAAAGTAAAATAAAAATCACGACGTTTCGGAGGCAACACAAGCTTCCGTCTTCAGGTGGAACCGTCACAGCACGATAGCTGTATCAAGTAAGAGAAATTCCAAGAAAACAGTCCTTGTATATATACTGGTTGAGGGTGGGAGGAGCCAAGGTAGGCCCTGAATATTATTTTTGTGAGGTTCGGTGCGGCTGAAGCACGCTGCGTCACTGGTTCCCGTTAAGAAACAGAATTATTCAAGGACTCGGTTCCAATCAACATTTGCCGCGCACGAGTTGCGCGGCCACTCGTGGCGTCGTTTGCTGTGATAATAGCGCCTTGGTTTGTTTTTTAGCAGCAGCGTCATTCTGAGTGTAAGGACGAATGGGGTCAATCCGTCGCACTCCCATGTACGGCGTTCTGGCCAGTGCAGTCATTTACAAACATTATGGTCGCGAACGTTTTCAATCCCTGTGTTAGGGTCGCTCCGTTAGTGATTTTGTTAGCAGGTTAATTAAAATAAGTTGTGTACTGTCACTGAACAAGGCCAGTCGGCCAAAATGTCAAGATCTCAGCGACAGTAAACGTCTTGTTATTATTTTGGGTAAGGTGATAGTTTACGTGTCTTCTGTTGGCCAGAAATATTTTTTGTGGACGGATGTACCGTACATCGATGTATCTCTCCTGTTCGCAATCGCATTCAAATGTGCTCGAGTGCAAACACGGTTCCGTATTCGCATTGAACAAGGAAGACTAATCACGCACATGCATGGATTCTGCAAGGCTTCCCGACACGCGTTTGTATTTAATTAGCAGTATGGAAGACGAGGAGCAGCGGTGAGAACAAAACACGTTTGCATACGGTATTTGCAAAGCGTCATTTTTGCTGTAGAGTACACGTCGTTTTCTTGTCTCCAAGCTTTGATCAGCTCTTTGATCGATGTGGCCGCGGTTTCAATCGGACCGAGTTCATAATACTTCTATTCTAACCCCGCTGTCATATTGGATCATGCTCACAAAAATGATAGTTGCCTCTCCCACTGCCTCCTCTCGTCGCGGACGTAAAGAGCAAATCAACAAACCATCTGAACTCCATTTGGAATGCGTTCGTGAAAGGAATTGGAGTGCGGCAGTGTGCGTGGTTTTCGGAGACGCCTTCCTAGCCGCTGTGGGGGTCCCACTTGTGGTGTAGTACAAATGTCCAAACCATTACAAGCGTGCTCTGCTTTGTCAGCAGACTTAATGCGAGGGCTCCGTCTCCACACGGGGCCCTCTAGAGATGGTGTCGATGAGACCTGTGTATTATTATTTTAGCGTTGGTTTGTGAACGTTTGCATAGCTGCGTAAGGTTCTGCTGAATAAAATTATATTTCATAGTTTGTAAAAGCAAGGCACAAGTGTGCGTGCGATATTCATTTGTCTTCACGAGAATTTGTATTTGTGCAACAGCAAAATCATTCTCACTACAACTTGCTCCTCGTGGTACTTAGGCCACCACCCGGTTCCCTATGATCTTCACGTGATAATATGTCAATCGGTCGGTGATTATTCAAACAAACACGCTCCTATCGAAGACGAGAATTATTGCGGCTTGGTCCCACGATTTGAGGACGGAATGTATTTGCCAGAGAAGGCGGTTCCAGGCAGCGCGTCATATCGCCTTTTGTGAGTGACATTGACCTGGACCGAGAACGCTGACAAAGGAAATGGAACACCCAACGAAGACTGCACGAGCGTGGAGCGAGACGTGTACGTTAGCAATACTGTGAGAGATGGAACGAGTAACACGTGGAATAGAAAGCACACACAAATCAGAAACAGTAACTGTTTTAAAAAAAGTATGTGGGCTTGAGCAGGACAAGTCGCGACTGATGGGGATGGAGGTTGATGGTCGAGACTGGTGACGAAATGAGGATAGCCCCCAAGGAGATGGAGCGACGAGATCAGTTGATACTCTTTGGTTCTTTCGGTAAAGTCACGTAGATGAAAAATAAATAAATGAAAGTAACTCAATTCATTCTTCAAATCTAGAATTAACCACCCTTACGAGGAGGAATTTCACTCATCTGTTAGAGCTTTTAATAGACCATGGGACAAGAAGTCACAGCTAATCGAGTCTCTCTATTCACTACAGTAATTTTGCTGTGGCTGTTCCACCTAATGACGGAAGCTTGTGTTGCCTTCGAAACGTCGTGATTTAATTTCGTTATTTTCATTTTATAATTTTAATTTTTCAACTACTTGATTTTACCGAAAGAACCAAAGAGTATGGATCCTTGCAGTCACGAAAACTTCAAATCTAGAGATCAGTTGATGTGCAGAGGTGAGACGGAGCGTGTTATCACGGGACCGTGAGCGATTGGCATGACATGGTGGAGTCCTCATCCAGCAGTGGATAGAAAAGAGCCGACGGTTGTATCGTGCGCGATAACTGCACACACATGATGTATACATGGGGTGAGATAGGTGTACACACACGGTGTATGTATGTGGAGAAGGGGGGGGGGGTGCTGAGGTCAATCCTCGCCGGTCCCATGCAACGGTTGCCAGGCAGCCGTGGGCGTTCATGCGCAGTCGCCACGTGCTGATGGCGGCGATAATGGTGACGAGATGATTGTACGCTTCGTAATGAAATTGATCAGTGGTTCTCAATCTTTGTTGGCGACTCTACCCCTTGTTAAATGTAATGTCAACAAAACGGTTCTGAGAAATAAATGTATGAATAATGAACATCAATGTTTTAACCAAATTGACCATTTTGGGAGTTATCCTAACTAGAAGGGAAATCAAATCTAGAGAATAATAAAAATAAAACATAATAAAATAATTCTCACGACGTTTCGGCCACAACGCAAGCAGCCGTCCTCACGTGACTTTACCGAAAGAACCAAGAAGATGAATCCCTGCAGTCACGAAAGCTTTAAATCGAAATGTATCCTAACTAGCTAGTAACTGCAAGCGAATAAAACAAAATTCAACCGACGCTCTGCATGCGTAACCTAATTTGTTCTCGCTAGCTGGTTCCTCTTGGGAACCACATTGTTTAGGTTAAAATAGTTTAGAAATGTATTTTATATCGATCTAGGTTACCATATGGATTTAAATCGAATCGTAGTTATTTTATATTGGCAGATTCATACGTGATTATTATTCACCAATTACTTATGTTGAGAACCACTGATATAGATGATGTTTGTGGGGATGGGATTATGGTGATGATGGTGGTGGTGATAACGCGAGTGGTCACGGTGATGTTTTTAACGAGGTGATTGGTGATGCTGGTGATGACCCGGCAAGAGGTTCAATGTGCATCTTGATTTGAAGCTTTCGTGACCGCAGGGATCCATACTCTTTGGTTCTTTCGGTGCTTCCCCACCTGATGACGGACGCTTGTGTTGCGCCCGAAACGTCGTGATTGATTTTATTTTGTACCTACGTGACTTTACCGAAAGATTCTAGATTTGAAGCTTTCGTGACTGCAAGGATTCATATTCTTAGGTTTTTTCGGTAAAGTCACGTAGGTAAAAAATTAAAAGTAAAAAATATATTTTTTTATTTTACTTTTATTAATTTTAATTTTTTACCTACGTCACTTTACCGAAAAACCTAAGAATATTTACCGGAAGAACCAAAGGGTTCAATGTGCATCACGCGACCGGCTCCCGTCTCCTTTCGCGTGCTCAACACTTGAGGCCCTGGCGCCCCCCAGTGGCGGATTGTGACAAGACGCTATTATTATGTTTTGACTTAACTTTCGTGACTGTGGGAATTCATATTCTTTGGTTCTTTCTGTAAAGTCACGGAGATAGAAAAATAATAATACAAATAAAGTGACTAAATAATAAAAAATAATTTAAAATATCACTAACGTATATTGTCGCTTGGTTCTTAATCTGAGTGAGTGTCCTGACAGTCTATAATGTAGACTGTAGCCTGGTTATTAAGTTTGGTGAGTGTACTGGCAGTCTATAATGTAGACTGTAGCTTGGTGCTTAACCTCGATGAGTGTACTGGCAGTCTATAATGTAGACTGTAGCCTGGTTTTTAAGCTTGGTGAGCGTATTGGTAGTCTATAATGTAGACTGTAGCAATGGTTATTAACCTGAGTGAGCGTACTGGCAGTCTATAATGTCGACGTATTCTTAGGTTATTTCGGTAAAATAAAAAAATAAAAAAACCACGACGTTTCGGTCACAACACAATTGATCGTCTTCAGGAGGAAATGAGGGGGAGGTCACGGAAGGCAACAATTTTTTAAGGTTTCAAAAAAGTTGGCGTGGCACAAGCGCTCCGGCAGTGGAAGCATGGAACGTGGAGTACCAACAAAACGTCCTGGTGTCAAAACGAAGTGGGCGGGGCATACGTGCCCTGGGTTAAGGTAAGAAGAAAACACAAATCAAGTCATGATTTGATCTGTGCTCCCTTGACAAGAGAACGCAAATCAAGTCATGACCCAAAGTGGTTGATGACATCTTTCCAATGATTACTGAGTTTGTACCCATCTTCTTGGTTCAAATTGTGTATGTGTCTGTATATATGGATGGCTTCATGAACGAATCTTTGTTGATAGACAGTGGGCTTGCAAAGTACCATGGTCTTAGAGAAATACATTTCCTGTGAGCCAGCCGCATTAAAATAATGATCAGCCACGGCAGAAGTATTGGTCCTACCGTGTTTCAAATCTGCCTTATGCTCACGAACACGGTCCCGAGACATGTCGCTTAGTTTCCCCAATGTAACTGCTGCCGCAGATACAGCTTAGTTTGCAGACGCTGGGATATTGGATGTCAGGGATCTTGTCCTTCACAGATGGGATAAGGTCACGAATTTTATGTAGTGTTAAATCGGACCTGGATCTTGTGTTTGTTCATGATTTTGGAAATCTTTTTGGTTATCCCTGCTACGTATGGCAAGGTGATGGTTTTGATTGGATCCTGAGATGGCTCTTTCCTCACGGTTGGGGTGATGGCTTTGTGGATTGTGTAGTCAGAGTATCCATTCGCCTTGAGAGCTTGGTGTACGTGTTTTAGTTCACTGGTTCGGTGTTCATGGTCGGAGATACATTGAGCTCTATGGTATAGAGTTTTGATGAGGGAATTCTTCTGGGATGGATGGTGGTGGGAGTCAGGTTTTAGGGAGGCATCAGTATGGGTTGCTTTTCTGTCGACAGAATGGCTCATTGAGCCATCTGGTCTCTTTTTGATTAGGACATCAAAGGTAGTTTGCCATCCTTTTCTACCTCCATGGCGAATTTGATGGCTGGGTGTATGGAATTGATGTGGTTGAGGAAATGGTTCAGAGCCGGTCGACCATGTGGCCAGATGACAAACGTGTCATCCACGTATCTCTTTCACAAGGACGAGCATAGAGTGGATTCCTGGATGGCGTCCGTCTAAAAAATTTCCATGAAAACATTGGCTACGACCGGAGATAAGGGAGAACCCCATTGGGGTGCCTTCAGTTTGTAGAATGTTCCATTCCAGGTGAAGTATGTATTGGTGAGGCAGTGTCTCACCAGGGCCGGTACATCAGCATTCAATCCTTGTTGGACCAAATCTTCAATGACTGCAATGGTATCGGGCACAGGAACTTTGGTGAACAAAGTAACTACATCGAAACTGACGAGCAAATCACCTGGGGAGAGTGAGATGTCCTTAATTGACGATGCCAGGTGAGCCGAATTAAGTACAGAAGAGGTGGTCTTACCAGTGAATGGCTGTAAGGTCACAGACAGATATCGGGCCAGTTTGTCGATGGGTGAGCCAATGGTGATGGGGTGATGGGACGAAGGGGTGTACCTTCTTCATGGATTTTTGTTCTCCATGCAACGATTTTTCATTATACTATATTCATCGCATTGGGTGGTCACACGTAACTTCTCATAACTTCCATAGCATTTCTAAATATTGACTGCTAATTGATCCGCCCCCCTCTGCCAAAAATTAAATGGAAGTTAATTCGATGGAATTGATCAATTGTTTCAGCCTTGACCACGGCCGAGAGGACCCCAAGCCCTTGACCTGGGACTTCACGCTAATTTTTTTAACTAAACTTTTTATTTTACCAGGCAAGGCCCACTGAGCCTATATTGCTCTTTTCCAGAAGTGACCTGATCACAAATAATAGCTCAACGAAGAGACTTACGTGGAAGTTTATAGCAGCCAAATACTCTAAACGCATGTTTCTAAATGTGGAGGGAAAAACCAGGAAGACCCGGATCAAAATCCACACGACCAAGGGGAGAACATGCAAATTCCAAACATACAGGTGTCAGGGTTGGGGTCGAACTCACAACCTTCTGTATAGCAGGCAAGGTAGTTAACATCTCGCCACCGTGGTGCCCTGGCCTCGACCTAAATGGTTTGCGGCCACTGCTTGGCTTTGTGCCTTTCGGCCATGACTCAGCCTCGTAGGCCCTGGGATAAAATCTAAGGCTGCTCGCTTCACTGATCGAGAGGTGAACATCTGCACTCAACCCACCCATCTCCACACGAGTGCAAGAGATTAGGATACCTGCCAAGCTCGTTCAAGGTTAGCACACGACTGAAATCCGGGAGGGTCAAGAACAGTAAAGAGTTTATTAATACAGAAACTTGAGAAAATATTAGTGTACATGCGCGAGCGTGTGTGAATGTACGAGTGTGCAAGTGTGCGAGTGTGCGAGCGTGCGAGCGTGTGTGGATTTCCGAGCAAGCACGCAACCACGCACCCTGCAGGTCTGCAGAGCTAACGCTCGCTTCACTCCCACGCCGGGCACAGTGCGCCTTTACCGATCGCTATTTACAACGGAGCAGAGCGTGTGTAGCACGGTCCGACCCGGCCGGACAGGCCAAAACCAGCACTATCTGTGCGGCCGCAGTAAGATGGCTGCTGGTCAGCTGCATAAATCATCTTGCGTGACATTTTCTGAGTTTTTATCTCCGATAAATATAACAAACATTTCCACGCAAGGTATTTATGCAGTCTTCAGAGTAACATCCCTAAACCCGGCCCATTTTATCTGTAACCCAACCTCGCACTGTAATGACGAGGGTGCTCACCCTCCTGACGGAAATGTACACTGAGAGATGCAGATGAACAAAGAGTGACTTGTGTCGGAGCTGGACACAGGACTCATGATCATTCAGGGGACAGTGGTGACCACCCCCTTGGGCCAGGCCTAATGCTACAGCTGCTCCCGTAAAGCCAACGTGGTCTCCAAACACACACACCTAAAGGACGTATATTTCTGCGCTCACATACACAACGTTCATTTATTTACTCCTTTTTACAAGTCGGGACTAAGAAAAACTGTTGCCAGGCCTCCCCCTGGGTTTACGGCTTCATGGGACCCAAGGAGCGGAGAGGTAACCACCACCTTTGCTCTGAACCCTAAGAAAACTAAGATGCCTGTCCTAATGAGCTCAGCTTACACGAGACGTGTTGAGAACCCTAAAAATCCTACCCTGACATTCCCTTATGCGAGCACGCGTGACCCGAGCTCTGCTCAGAACCGTACACACTCATCCAGGCGTGAGTACAAAGTGCTTTCACCGAGCGCCACCGCACGGCCACTCTTCTCGTCAACGCTTCCCAAGCGCCTGAATACCTCGCTCATCGCTCAACGAGGCATCCTTGGCTGTGGAACCACCTGGAATAATAACTCCACCCACAGGAGAGAAGCCAACACGGCCCAGAAGCTACAGAGACCATCCACGTGGGGGGGTGTTGGGTGGCCTTTTCCCCCCATCGGGCTGTGGCTTTGTTTACATTCCAAAAGGGAGAGATGTTTGACAGTCGCTCACTCCCACAAACCCAAGGGCACAAAACATGGCGCAGGGGAGAGGAGATGGCGTGGCAACGCGAATGCTGGGGGGATCGGTGAGGCCGTAAGGAACCAGAAGAAGCCGGTGGGTGCCTCCCGGGACCCATCCTATGCCAGAAAGACAACGAAGATAATGAAGAAGACGATGAGGATGAAGAAGACCTTGACCATGAGCCAGCGGTTGGAGGTGACGGACTGGAAGTACTTGAGAATCTCGGAGTGAGCGGCCTCAACATTCAGCTGTGTGTCCTCCACGTTGGAGTCAATCCTGTGCACAGACACATACGCAAAGAGGATGTAGACATAATTCCCTTTTCTAGTCATTCCGACGACTGACACTGGCGAGACCCAGCAAGAGTTCATATAACGCTTCCACTGATGTTAGCTGTTGCTGGAATTCATATTCAGACAGTAGGGGTTTGTAGTACAGTGTGCCAACCACTGTGCTACTATACACCCACACCTCCAATAAGTATGGTAGACTACATACGGTGCGAAAGACGTTCAACATACATAAACACAGGAATATGAACACACGCATGCACACACACCCACATGCACGTAAATACCCACACACAAGTACGTGCACACATACAGGGCACAAGAGCACACTTACTGAAATTCACACTCACACAAACGAGCAGATACATGTCACACATGAGGCCATGTGACCCCGCATCACTTCCCAATGCATTGGCTAGCCAATTGTAACGATGAGTCAGAAATGTTAGTGGAGAGGGCGGCACCTCTGTATCTGCTCCTCCTGCTCTTTAACCATGTGTGCCAGCTGTTGGAAGATGGTGCCCAGCTCCACAATAGTCGACTCGATGTTCTGCATGGCATCCGCGCGGCTCTGAATGTAGGAGTCCTACACGCAAAAAAAAAAAACGCAAAACACAATGCACGTGTCAAGTGCCCCGCAATGCAATTACATGTCCCACTGCAAAGATCAGCATTCTCATCGCTCCACTAGCCCGGGGCCTGCCCGTGCTCTCCAGGGCAAGGTGTGCCCTCCCATCCCGACCATGACACCTGTATATTTGGAGTTTGCATGTTCTCCCAGTGGTCATGTGGATTTTTCCCTCAACATTTAGAAAAACATGCGTTTAGAGTATTTGCAAAACATGTCCACATTATAAGCCACTTTGTTGAACTATCATTTGTGGACGGATTGCTTCTGAAAAAGAGGGGTGTCAAATAGTCAAGTAAATACCTGCTCATCCACCAGCTGCAGCTGCTGCTGTTGCCGCGCGTCCATGTTGATGGCCACATCGCCCCCCCCAGCTGCACTGCGCGCGCCGTCCTGCATCAGCACTGACCCCGCTGCCACGAGCGCACCGCAGCACCGCAGCAGCAGAGATCACAACCAACGCCGGCATCGCTGCACTCTACGCAGCCTCAAGGGCTCAGATTTTCTTTCCCAAATTATTATTGGATTTTGTTAATAAGCACACGGTAACAAGTAAACCGATCCGAGTCAAAACAATGATGTTCGCAGTGATGCAGGGTGTCCGGTTTTCACCATTAAAACACTACCCTTCCGTGGAATACGTACGGCAAGGACGTTTAGAGACGTCATACAAGTTGTCCAAGTAGAGATAGACATTTAGCAGGACAAAACAATCGATCACGCCAATCGTAAACGCTCCAATGACAAAGCCCACATAGCAAGTCCTAATCACAACATGTTCACCCACATTCTGCCTGCCTGGCCCCGGTCTACTCGGTGACCCAGGAGGCACATATTTGAGCAGTGTCTCACCATGGCCATTAGCGATGGGCGGGGGCAGCGTGGAGATGGTGGTTTGAGAGAACTGCTCCCGTCGACTCCGCTGCTGCTTGAGGTTCTGTGGGAGGAGGACCAGCGGCACCGCGTCACCGCGTCACCAGGTGGAATGTTTTACGGTGAAACAGGTTCGGAGTTCAAGCATCACAATGAGTGCAACAACGCACTCACCTCTGTCCTGACTTCCAGCACGTTCTTGAACTCATTTGACATGGACGCCAGCCTGGACTGTGAATGGAAGAAAAATCAACTCATCATCGGTCATGATCTATTCACTGATGGATGAAGGCCTTCTCAAGCCATCGCCATCTCTCACGGTCACGTGATAAAACAATCAATCGAGCAACAGCACACGCTCTTGGATGTGTTCTCTCTTTTGGTTACCACCCCATCGGTACTGTCAACCACGAGCCATCAGCTTTCTCCTAACCACATGTCCCACACAAGTCCACTTATTTTCTCAAGTCAATGACGTCTATGACTTGATGTCTACATCTGCGAATATAGACACCGGTTTTTACCAGCTCGGGTTTAAAGCTATAATAATACGACAGGCCTCCTGCAAGGCAAGGGGACCAGGCGGGCGAGTGGGACTGCATGTGCCAATCCCTCTGAGGGAACGTGAGTATGGGTTAGTACCTGCAATGACACCACAACGGTGCTGGAGTGCGTTTGCATATGTCGTCCATTCTGCGTCCCCTTGGCGCGCACAAACTCCTGTAGCTGTGCGATCTGCTTGTTCAGGCTGTTTATGTCCTGAGGGGGCACAGGCCAACACAACCGTGAGCAATGAAAAACAAACAGGAAATGCAGTCAGAATCACTGTGCGGCTAACAATGGCCCTTTGTTTACTCAACTAAAACGCGCAGAGAATAACAAAAGGCTCAGGAAACGCTGCTGTGCACACAAAGGTGAAAATTGCCCCATCTAGGTCAGTTGACTGCAGTCAGGCTTGCTCCTGCTCAACTTCCATTACCCACTAAGTTCACCTGATGCTCCACTCATCATCGCACTCTTTAACTCGAAAACACAGGAACCACATAGAAGCACCACGGGGACCACATGGGGTGGGTGGATATTATCTCCCAGGCCTCCACGCAGCAAGCTCTGCTCCGCTCCTCGTGGGTGGTGAGCCCCTGTCGCGGAGTGCAGGCCGTGTGTCCCGGGCCCCGTGCACTGACCGCACAGCGAGCGGGCGCCGAACTGGCCTCTCACCTGCTTGATGATGTACGTCAGCTCCTCGATCTCCACTGCTTTGTCATCAAACAGGGACCTCCTCTTCGCGACTGCGGAAAAAGAGCAAGAGTTGTAATGGACGTTAATCAATGTGACGCACAGTGACTTGTATCATTATGTTCGCACACGTGAGTAACCTAGCGTGGAGCACTCATCGAGCTGTGATGAAGGGCACTACACATTTAGACAACAATTACTTACGCAGAGTCAGCTTCTCCAGTTTGGCAAATGTACTGCTCAAGTCTTTGCCTATCCTCCTGCACACGCAGCACACGCAGAGGATATAGAAGCTCGTTTCAAACATGAGTTTTAACCCGGAGAGAGTTTTAACCGTGCCAAACTCCTGTAACACACCGAGCGGCACGAGCATGCGAAACGCAGGGTGCTGGGCTGGGGCACTCACTTGGCCATTAGGGTGAACTCGCTTCTCTGCCGCACAGCATTGGCCAGCGGCCTGTTCACCTGGATGCCGTTCTGCAATAAAAATCAAACAATCAATAATGGTCAATAATCTCACGGCCAAACAAACCCACTGCATTTGTCTGCCCAGTCAGTCTCACACGAGCGTTACATTTTGTGTTTTTGATAAAACCGTGGAAAACCCAGCCACCTCACAGAGATCGCGCTTTTAATCGTATAGGTCAACTCGGCCTTAAATAAATACCTGGCGTAATTTGTGAAGATCAACACAAGAGAGCCAAAGAGTATCAAGTGAGCAGTCACGGCTCTACCCACAGCGAGCATGTTGTGCCAACCTAAAATAGGTGCCCACTAACAGCACTTGTGCTCTGTGGTCTATTCACCTCACACAAATGGCTGATCATGAGTGATCCAAAGCCCCCAATGTACACACTAACACCTCATTTCCATGGACAGCCGACTCGTGCAAACTCAACTGGACTAGGGTTGACCCGAGTTATCTCAGAACCCGGTTAAATAAAGATGTTTCACCGATTCTTCGAGTTGAGTAAGTTGTCACGTGAGTGCAGGAAGCTGGGTTAGTGTTTAGAGTTAGGGGTGAGGGCTTGGGGGCTGATGGTCTGTACCTGTCTCGTTTGCATGGACTTGCAGGTAGCCATGAACTCCTGCGTTCTGTCACGACACGTCATGGCGTTGCTGGTACAGGGACGTTGTTGGCGGTGGTTCAGCTCCGTCGAGGGTAATGAAAAGTCCTGGAACGTCACCTGAAACGTACATTAGCATTCTCAATGTATGTTGGGATACCTTCTGGAAAAGTTTACCACGCAAAGACCACTGAGGTGCCACACCGCCTGTAAACGACTGTTTGTTTGGTGATCACATTGGTTGGACCAGAGCTAATGATAAGCATGGTCTGTGATGAGTCATGTTTTTGTGTGACTGGGCTTGTGGTTTTATGTGTCATGGTTTTGTATTTTATTTTGATGCAGGACAACAACATGTGGCTTTTATGTGGAGTAGGGTTTGCGAAATTTCCACAAACACCCATCGGTCGCCAACACAATAATTGAGTTGGTGCCCATATTGGCTTGAGCAGGGAGAAAATCACTTATGGTGGTTGGATGTATAAGCGTAGACGTGTTAAGCTTTATAGACGCAGATATATTCTGAATTGTACTTGCTTTTGTAGACAAGAAAAGTAATGCAATGTAATGTGTCGGAATTTAGCTGCTAATTATCTTAATTTCTCATCTGAAATATCGCGCCTTGTACTGATGGGCTGACGGTGCCGTTATGAGTTTAATGTGTAGCGTTTGAATGTGTATATTTGATGTTTAGTCTTAAGGCATTGTGAACACGCTTGTCAGTAGCTCATCACCGTGTTTAGTGAGGAGTGTGGCAGTGGCTGTGGCACGAGTTGTGAACCGTTCCACCCCGAGCCCCAACGTGGAACAAAGCATCCGGAACCCACGACCCCGGGACCCCGAGACACAGATCTCTTCTCCCGGGCCCCCTGATCAATCATCCAGGTCCCCTCTCTATTATCCTGAGCCCCTCGACCGTCTCACTGGTCCTCGATCCCCTCTCCCGGATCCCCGATTCCATCGCCTGATCACAAAGCACCGCTCATCCGCCCCGCAATCCTTTTTACCCCTTGCCGGTCCCCGCTTCCTCATATCCGAGTGCTTCTCTCTCCCCACGTCTGTCGTGGCAGTGGTCTCGGAGACCGACTACCGGACCCCAGTTCGGACTCTGCCGTCTCCTGCTCACCTGGGCTCCCCCTCCTCGTTCCCTTTGGCTCCTGGTCCTCGGTCGGGGTCCGGGTCTCGAGGTCCGGTCGCCTCCGGCTTCGGGCTCTGGGTCCGCGTTGTCGGCCTCCGGTTCCTCGTTTCTGGTTCCGCTCGAAGGACTGTCCCCCTAGAGGCTACAGTCCGAGTTCGGGTCTGGTTCTAATCACAGGCCCGGGGTTTGGTCTCCGTCCCGGGTCGTGTGCTGGTCTCCTGGTCGTGTTGTGGTCTCCGTGTTGTGGTCTCTGTGTCGTGTTCTCGTCTCCGAGTCGTGTGCTGGTCTCCGTTGTTGTGGTCTCTATGTCGTGTTGTGGTCTCCGTGTGCTGGTCTCCGTGTGCTGGTCTCCGTGTGCTGGTCTCCGTGTGCTGGTCTCCGGGTCGTGTGCTGGTCTCCGTGCTCTGGTCTCCGGGTCGTGTGCTGGTCTCCGTGTGCTGGTCTCTATGTCGTGTTGTGGTCTCCGTGCTCTGGTCTCCGGGTCGTGTGCTGGTCTCCGTGTGCTGGTCTCCGGGTCGTGTGCTGGTCTCCGAGTCGTGTGCTGGTCTCCGGGTCGTGTGCTGGTCTCCGTGTGCTGGTCTCCGTGTGCTGGTCTCCGTGTTCTGGTCTCTGTGTCGTGTTGTGGTCTCCGTGTTCTGGTCTCTGTGTCGTGTGCTGGTCTCCGTGTCCTGGTCTCCGAGTCGTGCTCTGGTCTCCGTCCCGGGGCTTCTCGGCTTCGTTCCCGGTCCCCACTCCGCTCAGCTTCTGCCCAGGCCCCGCCACGTCCCGCGCGCATGCGCACTGCGAAGACACGACTCAAGCGCCCCCAGGGCAGCAGTGGGATTGCAAAACTAAAAGCGACAATTACTGATCACTCACCACACTCAACAACCACTACTACTCACCAATCTCAACAACAACTACTCACCACACTCAACAACTACTCACCACTATTAACAACAACTACTCACCACTCTCATCAACTACTCACCACACTCAGCAACTACTCACCACACTCAACAACTACTCACCACTCTCAACAACTACTCACCACTATCAACATCTACTCACCACACTCAACAACTACTACTCACCACTCTCAACAACTACTACTCACCACTATCAACAACTACTACTCACCACTATCAACAACTACTCACCACACTCAACAACTACTACTCACCACTCTCAACAACAACTACTCACCACTATCAACAACTACTACTCACCACTCTCAACAACCACTACTACTACTCACCACACTCAACAACTACTCACCACACTCAACAACTACTACTCACCACTCTCAACAACTACTCACCACACTCAACAACCACTACTACTCACCACTATCAACAACTACTCACCACATTCAACAACAACTACTCACCACACTCAACAACTACTCACCACACTCAACTACTCACCACACTCATCAACAACTACTACTCACCACTATCAACAACTACTCACCACACTCAACAACCACTACTACTCACCACTATCAACAACTACTCACCACACTCCTCAACAACTACTCACCACACTCAACAACTACTCACCACACTCAACAACTACTCACCACACTCCTCAACAACTACTCACCACACTCAACAACTACTCACCACACTCAACAACTACTCACCACACTCAACAACAACTACTCACCACACTCAACAACTACTCACCACACTCAACAACTACTCACCACACTCAACAACAACTACTCACCACACTCAACAACTACTCACCACACTCCTCAACTACTCACCACACTCCTCAACAACTACTCACCACACTCCTCAACAACTACTCACCAAACTCAACAACTACTCATCACACTCCTCAACAACTACTCATCATATCCTTGGTTCTTTCGGTAAAGTCACGTAGTCGAAACGTCATGAGCATTTTATTGTTTTCTATTTTTATTATTTTATTGTTTCCCTTCTACGTGACTTTACCGAAAGAACCAAGAATATGAATCCCTGCAGTCACGAAAGCTTCAAATCAAAATAAAAACTGCTCATCACTCTCAACAACAACTCACCACACTCCTCACCACTCACACTACCAAAATTAATGACACTACGAACGTCACTAACTACTCACGAGCTACTCTCACCATACTGCGAACAGTTCACGATAACAAAGACACGTACTGTTAAACCTTAAGGCTTTTGGGTAAGTGCTGATAGTGAGCAACACACACTCTGCTGAGTGACACGAACATTCACTTTAAGTTGCCGGGCCATATGTCATAGCGGGTATCATCCTGTACACTGATTACACTACAATTGTTCCTGGGTAGTAAGTGTTATTTCCCAATTGCTTATGCCTGAAAAGTACAGAAAATGGCTGTTTATTCCCCACAAACTTTGTTTTTGTGACCAGGACAGTGATAGTGAAAAATTTACCTATTTTTTATGAGAAAACGTGCGCATTTGTGTCTTTCGTTTATGTAAAGTCCTGGTCAAAAAAGCAAATTTTGTGGGGAATAGCCATTTTTTATACTTTCTAGGTATAAGCAATAAAAAAATATAACACTACCCAGGAACAAAAAATTGTGTTACATAGTGTAAAATACGTCGTTATTTTAGACGGCACATCGGTACATACTGCTTTTCATTATCTAATTATTTTTTTCCCAAAGTGCTCCAACATGCTCTCGGCTCTTTAATTGCATCAGTTTAATATCTGGCCGCCTTTAATAACTGTTGATATCACGTGCTGTGTTTTTCAGTTTTTCGCCTCCAATAAAGATGTTTTTCCCTCTCTCAAACTTGTACGTGACTTGTTTTACTCGTATATATCTTTAGCCCAACTTTGCAGCCTCTAAAGTCTAAAGTGATGTAATCATTCCATATAGCCTATGTCATTACCATTGGTAATATGAGCAAATGCGAGGTGTCACTTTTCATCAATTATGTTTTTACCTCCACATTTAGAAACAGGCGTTAAGCTTTCATTTATGGCCTTACCTGGTTAAGAGGCCGTCCATAAATGACGTCACGCACCTAGGGGGGGTCAGACATTTGTGACGATGTGTGACGAGAGGGGGGGGGGTTGAGAAATGTGACGTCACATCAAAATGCGCAACTTTAAATAAATATAGAATTGTTATAACACTGATTGTTATAACAACACTACTACAACATCAGAGTGCAGCGCCACATTAAATAAATACGCACTACAATGACAATAGTTTAAAGCGATTTGAAACGTGTTTTTTTTTCAAAATGGAAATATGGTTTTGGCGGAGGGGGGGCAGAGCTTTGTGACGTCATATTTTAGGGGGGGGTCTGACTTTTTGTGACGAGGGGGAGGGGGTTCAAAAATCGTCCAAAATGGCGTGACGTCATTTATGGACGGCCCCTAAAACAAAAATCAAAATTGAGTCATCTGCAGGTAATTGAGCAATGGGGATGTTTGACTCAATGCCAGTTACATTTTATATTGAGCAAACACGTGTCCGCTTGCAGGCAGGTGATGCGTCACCTTTGTGCTGCAAAGGGGGTAGCTGCCATCAAGGGGTGGGGGGTCCCTCGGCTAACAGAAACAATCTGAAGCTGGACTTTGTGGCACGACTTGGGGCGATGATTGATTGTAAATGTTATGGATTTGCTCTCTAACACACAACCGGCGTTACTGTACTCGTGACGAATTGGCCACGTTGTTTACGTGATAAACCTTTCTAATTGGCTGTGTCGGGTGGTGGTGGGTTTAACGACACATTTATATATTTACGCGTTCTCACCCCCAAAAAACAACCTCTGTATTACACTGGTCAACAAAAAAATTTGTGGCCTGGATTTTTGCAGCTGTTTTAGACTAATTTCAGGGTGCTGATTCCAAATCTGAGATTTGCTCTCATTTTTATGCTATCGGCATACCCCATTTTAATTGATTTTACCCGAAATTAACTCTGTCACTTATGATTGCAAGTTGTTGCGAGTCAGTGACTGCTTTAGTGTTAAAATATGGTGCTGTATTTTTTAGGATAGTGTGTTTATAATATCATTTTATGTAGATATCCACATTTATTTAATATTTTTCTTCTGCAGTTTCAATTGAAAATGCAATATTTGATATCTCAAAAACCTGATGTGATAGTCAAAAACTGCTGCCAGATTTGGAATCAGCACCCCAAAATTACCTTCAAACCGTTGGAATACCTCATGCCAGAAAAAGTGTGTTGACCAGTGTTAGTGACAATTGACAAACCGCGCGGGGTGGAACGCGTGCACGCAGCGACCACGTGGGCCGGCGGTCAACGAGCGACGTGATGACGTCACCGCGCCGCTGCCTCCCAATGCAGTCCGCTCCGATTGGTCGGCATCACGCGACCCGACGCGCGCTAAACGTCGCTCGCCCATTGGTTCGACGTGCAAGCGAGGGGCGGGGCCGCGCCTCGCGACAGCCGCGCTCTGATTGGACGATTGAGCTGTAAACCCGCATTCCGATTGGTTGCGCCGCCTTTACATTTTCCACCTCGCTTGGGCGCAGCAGCCTCCGTCGCAGCGTGATGATTGGTCTAAGTCGGCGCACGCACGACAACACGCGGTTCCAATTGGCCCAGAGCTGGATGAGGGGGCGTGGTCTTGCCCCATCCGCTGTAGAGATTTCGAGGCGGGGTGAGGCCACGCGGGGACGCGCACAGCGGCCGGGCCCCGCTCGGCCTCCGGGACCCCGGGCCCCGTGCACCCCGCGCCCCCCGGGACCATCTACCCCGCGCTGCACCCCGTCCCCGGATCTCGCGACTCCCGGGCCTACGGGTCCGTCGGTCCCGGGGAGCGCGATGTCTTCCCCGGAGCAACAGCCCCCGGGCCATGGTGGTGGTGGTGGTGGCAGCAACGACGACGAGGAGGAAGGTGAAGGCTCTTTGGGTAGCCCCGTAGCGCCGCGCGGCAGTGGGGAAGAGAGTCACGGGACGGGGCAGGGACGGGGCTTGGAGCTTGGCCCCTGGGGCTCAGGGAGCTCTTGTCCGCGCTGTCAGCTCAAAACGCCCCGCGACGATGGGGGAAGACGGTCGCAAATGTTGCCGCCGCTGTTGTTGTTTTGTGTTGCAATGATTTGAGCCCCTTGGGAAAGAGCGGGCGGTCTGGTCTGGCCCTTCGTCGCTTTCACTTGCTCGTACAGCTGATCTCCGTTGCCTCTGGTTGCTGCTGCTGTTGTTATTGTCGGTGGTGCCGTGGTTGTTATCGTCGATGTTACTATTTTATCCCGACGTTGTTGTTGTTGGTCGCTAATTGCCAGAGGTGTGGACTCGAGTCATGTGACTTGGACTCGAGTCAGACTCGAGTCATGAATTTGATGACTTCAGACTCGACTTGGACTTGCATAACAATGACTTTGTCCCACCTCTGCTAATTGCAATAAATTCCAGCGATATTTCTGTAGAAACTGCCGCGGTTGACGTCAGCGCAAATCCGCGGTAATTGTGCCTGACGTGACACCCGCTTGCACTGGATGGGTGGCTCGAAACGCGGCTTCTCGCCCGTGGCGATTTGTGCGGTCGTCTGGAAAACGAGAGAGAGTTTACGTAACAAGGGAGAGAGAGAGAGAGACAGGAGGAGTTGCAGACCACGAGGAGTGCGAGCTCATTTTAATCTGGGTCGCAGTCCCCATCCACCCGGGCTGGATGGAGCCGCCTGGAGCTGCCGCGAGGGGTGCGTGGACATGGGCGATGATGCCCCCGGGGGATATCCGCCTTCAGGATCCCCCGTGAGCCGAGAGCTCTCGCCCTGGGCTTTATTATTGGGGCTGCCTGCTACCGGCACTGACCTACGCAAGTGTTTGTCGGGAGGTAGATTGCGTGGTCAGGGTTTGTAGCGTTTTTACGATCCTCCGTTTGACTGCTGCTGCTGCAACACGTGGGCAGGTACAGAATGTTGAGGGGTGGTCCAAGAGCGCTTCAGACATTCGACACGGATGTTAGCCTCGGGTGGGATTCGAACACAGATCCTTGAGATCATAGCGCGGTCTGCTTTAGAACCAGGTGATAACGCAGCGAAAGCAGAAGTTGTTTTGAAAGGGAGACTTTGGTTGGAACAAGTGACCAGGGGAAACGCGAGTTGATACATTGCTGCTCTCAAAACACTTCTGATGTCAGTTACAATTAGATTTTGTTATGTAGCCCCTAATAAATATGGATATTTAGGGGAAAGTGGCCAAAGCACGGGGCAGCTGAGTTCAGCGGGGCAACGCAGAAGCATTGGTCCCCCACGCTTCCTGCAGGCGTGGCAGCCACAGCGGCGATAACTCCAAGTGAATAGCCTGCAAATGAACCTCACAAAGTCGCTAGATGTCGCTACATTGACATAAAGTTGTCCAGCATTTCACGAGACGATTATCGAAGTATTAAAAGTAAGTAATCGGGTTCAGAATCTTTAATATACACCTGGAATCGCTTCTGAAGCTGCATACTGTCCTTGTCCTAGAAAGGTGTTGCATTTGTTGCCTTGACACAATTGTGTTGCTAAGCAAGTCCAGAAAGTCGATAAAACCTAGCAACAAAATCTCTAAATTGGCAACCCTGTCAGCGACTTCGTGGGCGTAATCTTATAAGCACCCATGCAGAGCCTTTGCCCTGTGTAGGTAGGACAGGTGTGTTTGGGTGAAGGGATGCTGGTTTGTGGTTCAGTGCACAGGACGTTAAGGCTTTTGCATTAACACCGGGGCTTGCAGCTCCGAGGGCCCTAATGGGAGTGACGTGGACAGGAGGAGGAGGCCTGGAGCACGTGCCATCGTCTGCCTCCATTCACGATGAAGACGTCATGGAGCAGATCCTGCTGGATGCGCAGCACGAGTCGGAGCGCAACAGTCCCCAGAGCCGCTCCCACAGCCACAGGTGGAGACTTCATCTCTCCATCCACATCCACGACTTTCTATTAACACGCACTCACTACTCAACATACACGCTGCGCTGTGCAGCGTACATTCACCCTATAGCGGCCTGGTAGCACTTGGCGTCACTCTCGCATTGACTATTGGTACACAATGGATACCGCTGTGCCACACATGCAGTTTTTCTATCCGGTGCCCATGCAAAACTTTAGATTTCTCTGCGCATTGCATCATGCCCCGAGAATGTGGTCGTGGAAGTGGTCCATGGTAGTGGGGCGGCTGTGGCATGCAGCTCCACGGGGGCGTCTCTGTCATTGGTTTGGCAGTACGATGCTGATGCCTGCCAAGCGGTCACCGTCAGCCAGGAGGTCTCTGGCAGTGCGGACTGTCCAGTGGGACTGTCCATGTGAGCTTAACACACCGGGTGCCGCAGAGCTGTGTTGTGTGTCTGAGGACCGTACATTATCTGGTGCAGCATATGAGTGGTTATAACTGTCCCATGTGAACTGAGGTCGTGTCTCCTCTGTGGGTTTTTAGCGCTTGCTGTCGCTACCTCTTTTTGTTTGCTTTTCGCACGTCTGTAGCCCCCAGAAGCCCCAGAGCCCGGTGTTCTTCAGCTGTGGCCCAGAGAGCAGCAACGCGGAGGAGACATTCCTAGGCGAAGGAGGCGGCGGAGTCTTCAGCTGTGGCTTGGAGAGCGGGGAGGCTCTAGGGACGCCCCCCCAGTCTGACGGAGGGAGTCGCCAGGTACAGCCCCAGGGCCACCGCTCTCTACTTAAGATCTCTTTGCTGTCACACTGTCTCGGGTAGATTCACGCTGTGTCTGAGCGACAGGTAGTGCAGGTTACCTTGGGCTAATATCTGCGGCTTTAAATTGGAAGGCACGCAAGTTCAGACCGTTCAATAGGAGATGACCTGTCATGGTGACCCATTGCTTGTCATGTTGGTTTCGCTCCAGCGTGTGCATGGCTGCAAATGCATGTGTGCATTTTTGTGTGTGTGATTGTTCGTGTGCAGTCGGATGAGGAGAGTGGCGACAGTGAGGCGGGAAGCAAGAGGAGTTCGGAATGGTCCAGCCGCCCTGAAAACTCCCCACCTAAGTGAGTCCATCACCGACCCATGCCACTGCCAGCTGGCGCTGTTTATGTTGTGTTCGTGTTTAATGTTGATGATTGCTGTGGCACGTCACTTCATATGCACAAATACATGTGTGGGTGTGTGCCTGATATATATAATGACAGCACTTGGAAATTACTCACCACAGTGTTTCTACTGTTGGGCAAAAACTGTATTTGCAAACACAGCCCCCGAACCATGCGCTTGCATAAGCATTTCATAGCCACGTGCATTAGTGGCCATGCCAACTTGCCCACTTGGCAATGCATGACAGGCGGCAACTGCTGAGCAAACAGGGACTTGGTGCTGAATACCTGGAGGCTGTGGTGCCTATAAGCAACTCATCCCACATGTTTGTTTTATTGAGGCAGATTTCCTTTTTCATTTCGTATCAAATCAGGCGATGCAGGGAGGTGTGGGGATGGGCTTTTGGCAGCTGCTACACAGCCTGCTGGTGTGTCAGGATTTACTTGGGTCTGTGTCGTGCATACCTGTGTCGTGTGTGCATGTGTTGGTGTCTGTACACTTGTGTGTGTTAGTGTGTCTGTATGTGCTGAATATTTGAACTGCTTCTGGGCCTCCCCTAGGTCAACTCAGCCATACATGAGTACCTGGTGTTGTGTGTAAACCTCAGCACTGGAGAGACAAAGGTGACCGAGTGCTGTGCTGGCCACCCATCCACTCGTGTGGTCCATGCCGGCCTTCATAGTTGCTCGCAAACAGAACTTTTCCCAACAGTCTGTTGAACGCTAAGAGGGGTCTTTGTGTATCCGTGCGCCTCTCAGAGAGCTGAAGCTGCATGCCTCGCATCGTGCAGCACGGACAAGCGTGCGGAAAAGCAGCGCCGTGAATAGCGGTGGCCTCTTCTCGTCGGAGGTGCTATGTGTCATCGTGCCATCCCTCCTCCTCTCCCACCTCCTCACCCTCGGCCTCGGGTGTGCACGCGCAATCTACACGCACACACGCACGTTCCACACGTGCACTGATGCATGGATCACCAGGGATTAATTTATCACTGAATATTCTCTGGGTTACTGGTAGATTGGAGTAGGTGGCACATGGCCAGTAGCCACAGCCATAGGGAGAGGTCTACTGAATTTTGCCTGTGCGGTGCAGAAATATTTTCCGGTTGCTGCCCCAGACAGACCCGACTGATATTAAGCACTGGGTGTCACACATGGATTCATCAGCCATATTTGCCAAACGCATGCTTCACCAACAGCTGCCTGCAGCTTTGTGATTTGGTCAGAGGCATGCCCGGTTTTGGCAGATTGTAATCGAAGATAGAAGACTGCTGCAAAACGCATATAACTCTCAAACAAACCACACCCCAGATGGCTCTAAATGTAACCAGACTTGGTGTGGCTTTCAATCGAAAGTGCTTTCCAAAACTCTGCAGATGGGCAGGTGGTGTGCATGTGAATGTGCACGTATGTTTGTCGCTTTTTAAAACGTCATCTCGTGTCTCCTGCAGGATCTACATCGGCAAGCGACTCGCCGCCTCTTCCCACAGCTCCTTGTAAAAGAAGGCACTTAACTCTTATTCACTTTTTAAACACAATTGTTAAAAATCTAAAGCTAAAAAAAACCTTGTAATTGATTGAAAATAAAAACAATCCTTAGAAGTAAAAGTTAAGTTTTACACTAAGCTGAGCACTCTCCCATGTTTGTGTTACTTGCGAGACGTCGAAAAGTACTTTAGTGCATGTTATAAAATATGCTTGTATGCCACTGTGAAATCATACGTAGTGCTGTAAAGGATGAGTCGTGTATATTGAAAAGTCATTGTTATCTTAAGCATTGTGCCTTCCAGTTCCTTATTTTGTTACATTCTGTAGATCACAATACACTGAATACAGTACAGTATTGTAATTTGTTGACATGCTTTCATCTATCCATGATTAAACGTTCCCCATAGCTGAGCACTATTCGACTGACCTGGCTTTGAGTGTGACCCGTATTTCGGTCAATGTGTGTGCGTCATTCCCCCCCCTCACCTCTGGGATGTTTGGACACTGTGTACCTTGCCCATGGGCGGTCTTCGAATTTTGTTTAGCGTCGAGTTGATCAGCAATGTTTATATGCTGCTCATTAAAGTTGGTGAGTGAGCCATTGGATGGCTTCAGGAGTGGCCTGATAAATATCTGAAATGCTGCCAGCAAATTATTGAAGTGGACAGTGATGTACTGTACTGCTGTCCGTGGGTTGAGGTTGGTGACTGCGGTTGCATTACGGGCTATTCTTAGTTGCTGATCGTATTGGGGCATCGAGAGTTCTGAGGACCGGGCAGTTTTAAGTGCGCCCCCATCACCCACCATTCCGTGTCTACCAATCAAATTGTGTCCGCGCCAACTGAAGTTAAAATTCACGTGCTCTCTGCTCATCACCATGCACGTGTGGAGCCCGTTAGTTAACCTACTGCTGATGAGGGCCTCCCCATACCGTGCGGGTCTTGAGGGTGAGTTGTTCGTACCGTGCTCTCAGCAACGCTGGTCAGCTGCGTGTTGGTGAAGGCGTGAGAGCAGAATACCATACGTGCCATAGTTGTTGCACTGCCCTCTGCCGACAATAAATGGGTATAGCTAGAGAGGTTGAGGCTATGGGGGAGACTCGTTAGAAACAGGAGCTGAAGAATACTCTACAAGGAGCGGTGCTCATATCCGAGCTCCCAAGGGCGACTTCTGTTATGACTGATACACATGGGGCTATCAGGTGAAGCGTTGGCGTAGTGGTGAACGCGCAGTGCTCTAAACCCTGCCGTATGAGTTAGATACCCCGCCACGGCCAACATAGGTGAGTGATATCCAAACCGATCTTCAGACACGCCGTTTCACCAATTCGCGCTGACAATCGTGGCAAAGTGTATGGTCAAACATGCTCTATGCCCGCCGCAACGTTGGTGATTGGGGGGGGGGTGCTTCGCTAAGCAGTGTTAACGAGCTGTACGTGACATGCATGGCCCAACATTGTTGGGATGGTGTCTCTTGAGCAACCAGTGACAGCATACACTCCACCATCAGGGTTACACCTACACCACGTATGCTGTATCATGCCTTATGCATGGACGCGTCTCCTCAACTGCGGGTCCCACGAGCCCCACGCGAGAGGCAGAAAACCCAAGAATCCCAGAGCTCGCCGTCGCTTCCGGGGTCCGTAGCAGCAACCACGTGGAGGGGGCAGGGGACCGCAGTGCTGCGGGGCTGGTGAGGGTCGTGGCGGTGAGGAAGGGGGCTGGTGAGAACCGTGGCGGTGAGGACCCTGGGAAGTGTGGGTTGAGTAAGGACTGTAAGTGACACTGGAGCCTGAAGAGTGAGGACTGGTTGACGAGGGAAACTGCAGTGAAGACTGCAGCAGAGTGGCGGGGAGTGTGAAGACGGTGGCGAACGGTGGCGACTGTATTGACACGGGGGTTGTGGTGAGGGTTGTAATGAGGACTGTATTGACACGGGGGTTGTGGTGAGGGTTGTAGTGAGGACTGTATTGACACGGGGGCTGTGGTGAGGGTTGTAATGAGGACTGTATTGACACGGGGGTTGTGGTGAGGGTTGTAATGAGGACTGTATTGACACGGGGGCTGTGGTGAGGGTTGTAATGAGGACTGTATTGACACGGGGGCTGTGGTGAGGGTTGTAGTGAGGACTGTATTGACACGGGGGCTGTGGTGAGGATGGTAATGAGGACTGTATTGACACGGGGGTTGTGGTGAGGGTTGTAGTGAGGACTGTATTGACACGGGGGTTGTGGTGAGGATGGTAATGAGGACTGTATTGACACGGGGGTTGTGGTGAGGGTTGTAATGACGACTGTATTGACACGGGGGTTGTGGTGAGGGTTGTAATGACGACTGTATTGACACGGGGGCTGTGGTGAGGGTTGTAGTGAGGACTGTATTGACACGGGGGTTGTGGTGAGGGTTGTAGTGAGGACTGTATTGACACGGGGGTTGTGGTGAGGGTTGTAGTGAGGACTGTATTGACACGGGGGCTGTGGTGAGGGTTGTAATGAAGACTGTATTGACACGAGAACTGTAGTGAGCATTGTAGATCCATGGGGACGACCACCACGGTATAACTCCCTTCACTTTTCTGTAAGTCAGAGGTCACTGTCCGCGTCGCTTCACCGTGGCCGGGGGCCCATGCGCCGGGCTGGGATCGAAGAAGGATCGGGGGAAAGCCGATCCAATGGAGCCGGTGCAGCTGCAGAAGAGGCAGCGTGAGGAGGGAGGCGACACCCAGCACGGCCCGGACTCGGTGAGGCTCTCTCACCCCTGCCCTGCCCTCTTACCCTCTCCACCTCTCCTCCTCGCCTCCCCCTCCGTGCTCGCTTCTCCTCCCTGGCCGAGCCAAGGTGACACGGTGCGACCTTCTTCTTGTTGTTGTTGGCCCCTTCCCTGCGGTGCAGAAGCGGCTGTGTCGGGGCTGCACCTCGGCGCAATTCCCCACCTCCCTCCCGCAAGGCTGGCCCGGGCAGCTCACGCAGACCGACACGCGGGCCTCCGGCCGGCCCGAGCCCATGCAGGTATTGGAGGGGGGCCACGAACCGTGGAGGTACAGACTAGAGGTGGTAAGGGGGGTGGGGGGCATGGAGGTATGTGCCAGGGGATACAGGCGTCATGGGGCGATGGACATGCGATGCTATGGAATAGGCATGGGGGTTCTGCTCCCCTAATGCCCACCGCTTCTGTTTAAGAGGCAGTTCAGTACAATGGCTGGGGAGGCACTCAAGTTCCAAGGAAACAAAGTCACCACAGACAATCTCTTTGATGCAACCACACCACCCCATCGCTTCTTTCTGCGAGATTTTACAGAAGTAAAAAATCACACATCCGTTTTTTCCGTCTCGTCCTACTCACGGACCGTTATACTGCGGTAATCGATCTGGGCGACAACCGAATTAGGCTGTGCCCCTCGCAGTGTTACTATTTACAGGGAGCACAAGCCATGGCACTCTGCGGTCATTGCATATCCCATCTATAGTATCGTGGAGTCTCTAGTTGTTGTCGTTGTTGCAGATGGAACCCGGGGTCCTGGGATCAACGCCGCAAGTCTGCCCACGTTGTCTGGCCGGGGAGTCGGTAAGAGCAGATTTAGTCTCGGCTTGATCGTGCTGTTATCCTTGGATGCTCTCGCACTCTCATTCTTGCCTTGCTACTAATACAGGTGACAATATGCTACTGATGCAGTTACTTCAATGCATGCGATTTTCTAATTTTTCCACAACAATGCGATTAGTGCCAAAATCTAGTGATTTTTTCTGCACATGAACCTCCCTTGATATTTAATGGAGTAACAGCTTAATCTGTAAAATTAGCCGAGACATCTGGCAGCAGTCATCAGCCTCAGCCACGTCTGAGTGATCAAGAGCCATCTACATCCAAAGAAGTATGGCACCGGGATGAGGTCAGAGATTTGAGTGAGTCCAAAAAGGTATTATGGATCTTGTATTAGTTTGCTATGTATAATACTTGGAAAATAGTGTAACAACATTGTATGACTTTATCAGGGTAATCTATAGACTTGTAAGTTGTCCGCACTGTCTACCTGTATTATTCCACGTATCTGACCCATATGCGTGTCCCCCCAGGGCCACATAAATCACATGGGGAGTTCGTGACGCGGGGCCTCAAGGGGCAACTCCACGGGCCCAGCCGGGGCCGCCCTCCCAGCCGCTGGGGCCCTTTAATAGAGATTATTTTTGCTGTAATTGTTTACGGATTAGGAATTTTATCTCAGGTTGAGAGGTGTCTCGCTGCACTTATCATGCACGATGAATACAGCAAAGCTGTCATAGCCAGCTAGGCTGGCACAACACCTTGCTGATAAAACCCATCATGGAATGTTTTAACAAAATATTGCTGTAATATTTTTACACGTCATTTTTATATCCACACTTTGTAATACAGGCGAATGGGTGACGTGTTTCACTGTGTCCTCATTCTTGTTATTTCACAGTGTGCGATTCTGATTTATATCCTGACTATGGCTGAGTTTATTAAAAAAAATTGTATTCAAATCTTCAATTTGTTTATGGCTGGATGGATAGCAACTTATATGTCTCTGTCCAGATTAGTCAGCCAGGAAATGGCTGCAGTTGATGTGCGGTTGAATGCTTCAATGTGGTTGATGGTCTGGTGGATGCATCAATAATTGCATACTGGGCAATTATGGATAGACGGACCTGCCATGGGGTGTGCAGGACCGTTTTAAGTAAACCATTTTGAGCGAGATTAAATCCCACAGATTCTTCATTTGGATCGGTCATCAGATGCTTTTTCACGATAACCGTGTTCACTCATATCTGTCACCATTTCTCTGAAGATACTAAAGCCTGGTTTTATAATCGTATATTTATGAAATCATTTGTTTATTGAGGTAAACCATGTTTGGATAATCGTTTGGACAGAATTTTTTATTATCACCTTGTAAAAAGTATCCCACTCAAGATCAGGAAAAATATTTACACCTCTATCCTTCACACGAACTGATCTTAGCAAAAATATATTTTGCATTTAACTGGAGTATGTCCCCTACTTCTCAGAGGAAACCCAGTGTCTGTTATTTTATGACGTTTAATCGCGTGGAGCTTACTTGAGGCGTGCTGGAGAGGAGGCCAAAGGTTGTAACACGCTGTTGGCCCTCATCAAAGTCCCTGTGGGGACGTGGCCCCGTGCTCCGTGAACCACGCACCCGGACGTACAGAGGCCCGGTCACCAGAATGGAGACAGCTCCACCCACACAACGCTGGAGTGGGGTCTCATGCCGTCCGCATGCGGTCTTCCATGTCAGGCCACACGAAAGGCATTTCTTCCCCCAAGCTTTCACCACGCACTACTGTGGGCAGCATCAGGAGTTGAAGTGAAGATTATCACCTGGTGTCTAAACAAATCTGTAGTCTGGTTCATCCTGACTAAACGTGGATTAGGTCATCATTGGGATGAACGAGACTAGATATTAGGGTGTGTACCAGGCAAGGTCCGCCACTCCCAACGCCTGAAGATGCCCACAGTAGTGTGTATTGGCGAAATCTTGAGAGAAGAAATGCTCAATGCGCGGACCAACACGAAAAACAACTTGGATTCCAGTGGCTGTGAAAACCTGCGTATGAGAGCTGCCATCCCTCCCAATACCGGCTGCATTGACATGCGGCATACCGAGCGGATTCTGCTTGCGCTGTTTCAGACACGCTGCTGCCGCTGTTGCCTATTGGTTTGGGGGCCCATGGGACACGCGCAACTTATTTGATCATGTTTGGCTACAACGGTACGTTTGGGGTAAAAGATAAAATATGGGTTGGTGATGGGGTTGGCAACGGGGATAAACTTGGGGTCAGATATGGGTTAACGATAGGGCTGGGGCTCGAAAAATGACGATTACAGTTGAGTTTAGGGTTGGGGTGAGGGTTAGAGAATTAGGGTTATGGTTAAACACAGCCTACAACACTAATTTTCATAGCAGCAGTGCTTCGCAAGAACCACATGTTCAAACCTAGTTGCTTCATAATGTACTCACTAGAATGATGACCGATTCGTTTTAAAGGATTATTACATAATTCACTGTAATTTGCCATATTAATTATTCAATGCCACTAATGTTTCACCACCACGCACGGGTTCCAGTTTCTGGCATTCATCGCGTTAACTGGCAGCGGGGGGGGGGGGGGGGATCTACCCCCCTGGAGCTGAGCTTGAGTGGCACAGCGTCAGAAGACTTTAGTCATGGCCAGTGCCATCACAAGCTCGGGCTGCACCTAGCAGTGGATAGTGCCCTTCATGCTCACCAAATAAGCGGACAGAGCCCTCCGTGCTCACTACAAGCAGTGGATTAGAGCCCCTCCATGCTCACCACTCGCAGTGGATTAGAGCCCTCTGTGCTCACCACTAGCAGTGGATTAGATCCCCTCGGTGCTCACCACTAGCAGTGGATTAGAGCCCCTCCGTGCTCACCACTAGCAGTGGATTAGAGCCCCTCCGTGCTCACCACTAGCAGTGGATTAGAGCCCCTCCGTGCTCACCACTAGCAGTGGATTAGAGCCCCTCCGTGCTCACCACTAGCAGTGGATTAGAGCCCCTCTGTGCTCACCACTAGCAGTGGATTAGAGCCCCTCCGTGCTCACCACTAGCAGTGGATTAGAGCCCCTCGGTGCTCACCACTAGCAGTGGATTAGAGCCCCTCCGTGCTCACCACTATCAGTGGATTAGATCCCCTCCGTGCTCACCACTCGCAGTGGATTAGAGCCCCTCGGTGCTCACCACTAGCAGTGGATTAGATCCCCTCGGTGCTCACCACTATCAGTGGATTAGAGCCCTCCGTGCTCACCACTATCAGTGGATTAGATCCCCTCGGTGCTCACCACTATCAGTGGATTAGAGCCCTCGGTGCTCACCACTATCAGTGGATTAGATCCCCTCGGTGCTCACCACTAGCAGTGGATTAGATCCCCTCCGTGCTCACCACTATCAGTGGATTAGAGCCCTCGGTGCTCACCACTATCAGTGGATTAGAGCCCCTCGGTGCTCACCACTAGCAGTGGATTAGAGCCCCTCCGTGCTCACCACTAGCAGTGGATTAGAGCCCCTCTGTGCTCACCACTAGCAGTGGCACGAGTCCACATCCACCCCCGGGGGAGGAACACGTGGCAGACGTCACCGCGCATGCGCACCTCCCCGAGCCCTGCTTTTGTATTTGGTAGCCCGGGACGGACGAGCCTGCGGCGCGATTGGCTGCGCGCCTCGCCGCGTGGGCGGCGCTACGGCCCGTGCGGCCAATGGGAGCGCGCAGCCGTGTGGTGGCGCCGGTGCGCACTGGGAAATTGAGTGCGAGCCTGAGGCCCGACGAGACGAGACGGAGGAGGACATGGCGCTCCCCGGCTACAGGCAGCGTGAGTCGGGCACCGCTCCTCCCAGTGGTGGGGGGTACCCCTTCGGTGTCCTGGGGGGTTTCCCCATCGGTCCCAGAGGCTGAAAGCCTCCGAGTGGTGTCCGGGGAGTCTCGGGGTCCAGATCTCCCCCAGCGGAGTTCCCTCTTAGCAGGGAACCCCTGGGATCGATAACATCCCTCCACCTAGCAGAGCTCCCCGGGGTCTCGGGTCTCGTCCTGCGGGGTTCCTCGAGGCCAGAGGTCTGCCCTGTCTTTCCAGAAATGCGTAGGTTGTCACCCTCCCCACATCCCCAGTGTTCCCTCCCAGGGGGACCCCGCGATTCCTGCCTTCATCTCCTAGAGAACCCTGAAACAGCTGCCCCCTCCTGCTGGGGCCCCCTTACCGGGGTTCCACATCCTTAGGGGGGCCCTATGCCCCCTGGCAACTCTGCGCCTGTCTCCTGCCCCTGCTCACGCGTTGTTGTTTAACTTGCCATGCGTTAGATTTTAAGGGACTAACCCTGCCTGGGGTTCGAACCGCGCGTTTCGTGCTCCGAAGTCCGGTGCGGTGGGCGGTGGTGGTTGCCGCCAATGAAGAGCAGTGGTCGGGGTCAAATAGCCAAACGGTCATCGCGGTCAACCAGTCTTGGTCAGCATGGTCCAGTCTTGGTCATTCGGCTGAGTCCGGAGAATCCAGACCATTGAGCCTGGTGAGCATGGTATGGTTGGTGAACCCACCTTGGCCGGCGATTCTGAAATTGCGGGCTGGTTTCCTCTTGACCACTGTGTTTTTTTTTGCCAAATGTAGCAGGATTTGCATTTAAAATATTGGGCAAATTTTCCATCCTATCAGGACCATGTGGATTACAAGTATTATTTGGGCTTTGTGAGGCTTTCTTGGACACTGAAATAAATTAATCCAGCTTATTGAGCAGTGGTTAACTGCTGACGTTGATCTTGGAGGGGGTATTGCTGATGCAAGGCGGCATCGCGTCTGTTCATTACCTACAACATCTCCCCTGCTCTCTTCTGCGTGGACCAGAATTTACTAGAAGGGATCTCGAAGGTAGCTTTGCGAAATCTGCCATGTTCTAACATGAAGCGTTGCAATGCTCTGTGAGACATCCCAATGGATACTTGATATCAATACATGCCAGTAGCAGAGTGTGGATAACATTGTAGCAACATTTTTTAAAACAAATACTTGTTCTGACGCGTCTTGCGGTGTCTGAGCATCTTCAGTTAATAACGAGCACGGGTTCTTTGCAGCTCCAAAGCGGCGTCAGCGCGGTGGGGCCCAAGGCCCTGACCAGGGAGACCCCAACCAGCTGTTTGATGACACCAGCTTCGGAGTGGGGCCCCCTGGCGGCGGCATGGCAGCGGGCCCAGGAGGAGGGGTCTACGGAGAGAGTCCGGGATCTGCCTTCCATGTGCCAGGCTTCCTCAACGACCCCATGGCAAACCCCATGACCAACATGGCCATGGCCTACGGCTCCACGCTTGCCAATCAAGGCAAGGAGGCCGTCGAGAAAAACGTGAGTCGCCTGGCAGGACATGGGAGGCGGGTTGAGCTTCATGCGGCCACTGGGTTGAATACCCCTTTTACACGAACACGTCCGAGCAAAGCAAGTGTGTGGTCCTCCAGTATGGTGGTTTCCATTGGCTATTCTCTGCTGAACCTGAACCAAATTATAAGCTGTTCCTCACAAGACATCTGAATCTGCCTTGGAGCCAAGCAGGGCAAGGGCCTGGGTGAATGATTCCTACATTGCATCTGACATTAGTCGGTACACTCAAGGGAGAGTGCCACTGCATCATCTATATCCATCTCGTCTCATGGTGTGTGACGTCAGCGGCACGGCTCCGCTTCTGCAGTGGAAAAACTAATTGGTGCCTCCTGAGCTGCGCCGGTTTGACTCGGCACGGCCCCAGTACGGCTCTGTTGTACGGGGGAGAAGATGTATAAGTTTGTGGTGGAGCAGTGCTAGGCGGTCGGCCTTCCTGGAAACCACGTCGAAGTGAAACGGCATCTGTTGTTTTGCGCTCCAGATTGACAGGTTCTTCTCGGTGAAGAAACTCAAGTATTACTTCGCGGTGGACACTGTGTACGTGGGGAAGAAGCTGGGCATCCTGCTGTTCCCTTACACACACCAGGTGAGGGCGACCGTTGCGCCTTTTCGGTTTCACCAGCGCCTGTTCCAGTCAAGCCCGTGCCAAAGGCAGAGATGGCGTCGATGGCGTCGATGGCGTCGATGGCGTCGATGACAGCGGATAAGTACTTACGGCAACATCTGTTTCACAGAACTGGGAGATGCGCTATCAACAGGACGCGCCCGTGGCCCCGCGTGTTGACCTTAATGCGCCCGACCTCTACATCCCATGTGAGCGGCACAGGGACATCGATACACTGTCAACACACCTCTTAACCATCACGTCCCCTGGATGTCTTCACAGATCACATCTATGCTGTCACACCTCTGACATGTTCATACATACGACTTCACCATCAGTCAAATTTTCACAACTGTATTTGCAGCAGCACTTACAGAGGTAGAGGGAACATTTTTACTTGTGTTGTAAAAATATAATGGCATTAAGGTTAAATTAATTTCACCTGTTTCTGTCTCTAGCCATGGCGTTCATAACCTACCTCCTGGTCACCGGAGTGGCTCTTGGCACCCAAAACCGGTACGGACTGTGTGTACCTGGCAGAGTTTACCTTTGGCTGCACCTAAAGTTGTGTCTGCAGCTGCAGCCAGTTGTTTAATTATATGTGAACGAAGTGTTTTATTTTCGTCAATCATCAAGCATTACGACAACTCTCACCAAAGACCAAAGTGTGACTGACTATGATGAGACATAATTTAACGTGCCTGAATGTCTACAGGCTGCAGCGCATGAAGGAAGCCCAAACATGGTGTTTGGCTGTGTATGTTTTTAAAGATTTACTAAGTTCACTGATTGGCTGACCTCATAATATGGAAGGGGGGGGGGGGGATAGTATGCTCTTCGCACCAATATTTAATAACTAATTGTGGACTAAATCGTGCTTTAGTCAACTATACCTAAGAGAATGATTGGTCTGAAAGGAACAGATCAATCATTGACTAAATATCCACAGGTCATCATCAACTAGGCAGACTATGACCAACTTAAAAAAAGTGGTTAAGGTTAAATTGCAGCCCTGAAATTACTTTCTTACGCCACTGAGCGCGAAAGGGCTTCTGCGAGGGGTAGCTCGAGAGCTGTAGAGAGTGCCTCTCATGGGTATTTGGCCTCCTCTTCCACTCTGTAATTGCTGGGTGTACGCCATGGCCACACAGGTTCTCGCCGGAGCAGCTGGGCATGCAGGCGAGCTCGGCGCTCGTGTGGCTTATCATGGAGACCCTGGCGGTGCTGCTCAGCCTCTACCTCATCACCGTGCGCACTGACCTCACCACCTTCGACATCGTCGCCTTCGCCGGATACAAATACGTCGGGTTCGGACCCCTCACCCCCCCCTTTTGCCCCTACACCCTGACTCCCTTTCTCCCCCCCACACCATTTCTTATACACCCACCGCACGATTTCTCACGCTTGAGCAAAATGTCAGACATCATGCCGAAAACAATTTGATACGACCCAAAAGGTATCAGCCATGCAACAAAACGACGACAACCTACGTAGTAATATTACCTGGCGGAATGTTGTCTTTAATGAGAAAGACGTTCAACATACATTGACACGTGTGTAAACATCAGCGCAAGGAAACATCCAATCATGTGCTGCGTTGGCTTTAATAGCTCACGAACAGGACTTGCCGCAACAGTCCGTGTATGCTACACTGGGGATCGTTATCTTTGTTGCTGTGTGGCTGGGTGGTTACAGGATGATCGTGAGCTTGCTGGCCGGGTTGCTGTTCGGGGGCAACGCCTACTACATGGTGCTCGCATGGTGCTCCTGCGCCAGCTTCTTCTTCACTGTCAGTCCCGCATTCTGTTTTAAATAAAATTGCCATCACCGCATTATTGATCGTACTTTAAAATGTGTTAGACATCGACTGTAGCATACGATGACTGTTTTTTTCCCCAAACCACTGCTGTGTCAGATCCGGACGCTGCGGCTGAAGATCCTGGCCGACATGTCTGCAGACAGCAGCATCGTGCGGAGCAGCAAAAACCAACTGCGCATGTACCTCACCTTCTCCATTGCTGCCCTGCAGCCCGCCCTCATGTACTGGCTCTCCTTCCACTTGCTGCGATAAGGCCCCATGCCCCACCCCTGCCACCAGCTGCTATAGGGGCCCCTAGCTCTGACGTTAGCACCTGCTGCAATAGTGCCACGAGTCGGAGCCGTACCAACTGTTGCAAATGGGTCCCTAATCCAAACATTGGCTCCCGTAGCCCCAGCTGCCCAGGCCATTTGGTGTTTTCCCTCGTATCCTGCCCTCTGCCGCCTGCACGTGGCTCCAATTACCTTTTTTTTTTGTGGCCACTCCTGAACTGCTTACCTCTACAAACTGCTGATTGGGTTGGCCGTTGTGACCCGATTGGCTTGGCCATTGTGACCCACTTGGCCCTGAACACACTCCAGCCTCCACCATTCTGATGCCACTCATTCTTCCCTCCTTCGGCCGAGCTGTCCCTCAGCCTGTGGCTGCATACATTAGACTGGTGAATGTCAGCATTCCGCCTTGGCTGAGCAGCCCCTCCTAGGTCCTGTCTCGTAAGCGGAACAGGAAGCCAGCAATCCGCAGTAGTGAAGAGACCTCGTTTGGTACTGCAGGATGGACTCCCAGAGCGGGCTGGTGAGCGGGCTGGTGAGGGGGCTTCACTGCGCATCGGCAAAGTCCATGGCTGCTACGCATAAAAAAAAAAATTCTTGCATAGTACCAAGCCAAACTGAAAATGTATTGTAATTGGACCATTATTTACTTTAATTACTTTGTGTCGAAATATGCCTTTTTTTATATCTGTCCGCTTAATTCGGCGAACAAAAGTCACAACGATCGATTCCTGCGTCTGCAGGCGTGGAACTAAAGGGAGTGCAAACCCATGGGGTTCCCAAGCTGGAGGTGTAGGCCGCTGGGAGGACAGGAAGGATGGCCCCCCTGGGCTGGGGAGCAGGAATCCCTTAACTAATCCCTCCCGGTCAAGGCAATCATAAGTTCTCCCTGCCCCATCCGTGTGTAATCTTCGGCGATAGTGGCGCACGTGCGTCCTGTCCGTGAGCCCGTGACACTAGTTCTGTTAGTTTTATTCGCACGTCATTTGCAGTGGCTCGGCACAGTACTTGATATGGCCTCGCTTCCAGCTGCTCCTTTGGACTCGGGCTGGAGTGACGAGCAGGACTCCACTGACTTGAGTCTTGGCGTGGTTGAGCCTCGTCCTAACCCAACGTAGTTGTGAGGGTGTGGATTTTCCCAAGGAGGCTTCTACAGTAGCTACCATGAGCTGGGAGCGAAAGAGGAACTGGTACGAGGGGCCATGGGTGGAATGGCGCTGCGTTCTCCGGCCGCGCCCCACTTCGCGGTTATATTTGTTGAGCCAAGCATCCTCCGCAAGACCTGTGTCCGTGCTGAGACGGCCCGGGCTCCATGTTGATGCGGATGTGGTGGAGTGGGGCCTCCGTGGGGCCAGTGGTTGTCAGCAGCTCGAGTGATGCGTGCTGTCTGCGTTGTGTCAAGGAATTAAACTTTGTTCTTGATCTCTGCACACGCGAACGTTTTATGTCTACGTACAAGCGACTTCCGAGTTCTGTTCCTGTAACTGGTGCAGTAAACTCAACACCTTCATCAATAAGGCTGCTTTAAGGGAAACTATGCATCTGTTATATATTTTGGATATTTTATAATGTTTTGGTTGTTTGTGCTTTTGCACCACTGTCAACGCAGTTTCAACAAATAATGTGCTTAGTCTTGAGTTAATGTACAGTCTCAAGTCTTCTCCTTCGAGAGGGGGACTCGGCTGGTGTCCACTGAATGGCTCATGGGAAGAGGCTTGTGGTGACACCTGGGGGATGGTGGCTACATTGCGGCACCCGCGCCGATCTCACGATAAATATTGTGAGACTTTCAGTGATGTGGATGTCAAACTAAGAGTATAAAGCCTCTCTTTAAGTCGGACCAATTGTGGGAGAAGGAGGTGGGGCTTTCCCGTCATGGGGATGTCCGACAATCTGCAAATAAATAACAAGAGTTTATGAAATGTGAGTGGCGTCCATGGTCTCATGGTTTGTGCCGTAGTTTTACAAATTCCCCACAGAAGGTGCGTTTCTTCGGGCGGCGTTGTAAGGGAGGAGCAGCTACGAGAGGCGCTACTGTAACTACAGACGATGCAACTGGAGACGCAAACATGGATGCACGCTTTATTGAATTGTTCTAATAAACATCTGATGGTCATGTCCCTCTACACGTTCGTTACATTTCTAGTTTCAAAATGAACAGCCATGCCTCTGTAACAGCAGTGAGGGCAGTAAACGCCTGTACCCTGGTGGTGATGCTGTTCATTGACATCGCGTTGAAACACTCGGACCTTAGGTTGGCACAGGACCCATCTTCCTTAGCCTTTCCCACAGTTTGCCGTCTCTCCATGTCTCCTGCCCTCTGGGTCTCTCTCCGTGTCTCGATATCTTTACTCGTCTGTCTCGAGGACCCCTCCACTCCCCACTTGCGCAGAGCTTCACTTAATGTCACATGGGAGGCTGCGGTGACCTCAGCCGAGTCTGACTCATGTTGGGTTAGAGCTGTGAAGAGGATGGGTTACTTTTTGGGTGCAGGTCAAACTCCCTTGACCCTCAAGACCGACACAACCCTGACCTGACCCTAGAGGCAGGGTCCACCTCTTGCTGGATGCACAGATTCCTCATTGCCGGGAGTGCCACCAGGGGTGACGCAGTGGGGACACTGACTTTGGAGACTTCTTGTGAGGGTCGCTCTTGTAGGGGCTACGTTGAACTTGTCAGGCTTCAGGGGGTAGCTGCGTGACCTCGGCCTCCGGGTGAGCCGGTCATCTACGAGATGCGGGTGAATGAGGCACTCGTGGCTGCGGGTTCTCCCATCGCAAGCAAGTTCCTGCACCTCGCGCAGAGAGGAGGAACTCCACCACGAGCACACGCAGCACGATGCGTACACACGGAGTGCACACAGGGCACGTGGCACGAGTGGGCGATCTGGAAAAGGGAAGTCGATAAACGGAAGTTACAAAGAGTCTCACAGAAGCTACTCAACCCACGCTCCCCGCGCCGTTACTCCCGAGCCCCGCGTCTCCACTGAGCCCAGGAGTGGTCCTGATCTCTTCGGGACACAGCATCAGCTCGTCCAGAACTTGCAAGTTCTCCAAGACAACGCAATCGAGGATTATCACCCTCTCATAAACCATCCTTCACAACCATCTCCTCCATAAGTACGTGATCTGCCGCCACATCGAATACAACATTTACATCCAGCATTCAGGGAAGGTATTTAAAGTGCATGTATCTCGCGAGTGCGTGTGTGTATTGTGTAATCAGCTTGTCTGACTGTTAAGGCTGAGCGTGTTTGTGTTGCAGGGAGGATGGACGTGCTCCTGACCAGCCTCCTGCTGTGTCTTGTCGGCGGAAGCCACCATCTGAACGGTGACTCCTCACTCATCTCTTTTGCTCACACACTCCCCGTCTCTCATCTCCCCTCATTCTCTCCATCGCTTCCCCATCGCTGTTCTCACCGTGACGTGGTAGACTCCTCCGCCTCCCGTGCACGAGGAGTCGTCCTGTGCGACCCCAACGCCCCCAGTCCTCTTCTCTCAACACGGAGCCACTTCACGAGGGCATCCCTCACTCGCTCGCTCGGAGGCATTTCATCGCTACTCGTGTCCACGTGGGACGTGTCTCAACTTCTCACGTGTACTGCGTCTGCGTGCGCGTGATCACTGTGATGCAACTTCATGTCTCGTGTGTCCCATGTGTCTTGTGCTCTCAGAGGTTGCAGGCTATGGTTTGGAGGTAAAGTATCAGGAATTTGTGGTGACTGCAACAGAGGGAAGGGCGGTGGAACTCCCCTGCAGCTTCTGGTTCCCCAGCTGGCAAGGACCCGTTGCACGAGTCATGTGGACGAGAGATGGCACTGATGTCACAGCAGATAAGCTCGTCTACAGCTCCACGTCAACAGAGGTGGCTAAGAGCTACAGAGGTCGAACCTCCCTCAGCGACAAACTCAGCAACAGGATCTGCACTCTCAAGATCAACAACGTCCGAGTTTCAGATGTCGCCACCTACTTCTTCACATTTGAGATGAACACCCAGGAGTTCACTGGGACACCAGGAGTTCAGCTTCGTGTAAAATGTACGACTGCAACTGGAAAATGAAATAATTTTAAGGTCACATGGGCTACCTTGCTACCTGCGTCATAATTTACGTAAATTTCCTCGAATATGGAGGCAACCCGCGTTCATCTTCTTGGAATATTCAGGGGAAATGAGTATAGAATGGGATTTGTCAGGCACTTCAATGGCCTTTCATCCCCCAAGTGCCCCGCAAGTGCCCCGCGTTGTTTCGTGAACGCGACCCGTTGCTGCTGCTGCTGCTGCTGCCGCGTTCCACGGCCACTGGGTCCTGACTCGGTGCTGGAGATGTTCACCGCCACGTGAACGGTCTGTGCGTCTCTCACAGGTGCTAGGTTAAATGACGCCACTGTGAGCTACGGACCCTCGGCGGAGGTGAAGGTGCAGGAGGGAGGCCGTGCGCTGCTGCCCTGCGCCTTTTGCATTCGCAGTCACTCCAGCGTTGGGGGCTTCTGGCTCGTTTACGATCGCTATGACGAGACAACGACCGGAAACATCGTCTACAGCTCAATTTACCGTGACAGCCTCATAGATCGGTACAAGGGGAGAGTCGCGTTGGTGGGGAGTCTGAGTTCGGGGAACTGCTCCCTGGAGATCAGAGACGCGATGAGGGGAGACTCCAGGACATATTTCTTCCGCGCCAACATCGATGGAAAAAAGTTCAGTGGCACAGCAGGAATTAAAGTTACAGGTATGGAACTATTCATGGCTCTTTTACCAACAGTTCACAACTTAAGGGACATTACAATGGAAATGTTAAACAACTGAAAACTCATCTTCTTGGTTTGTTCGGTAAAGTCACGTAGAATGGAAATAATAAAATAATAATAATAATAAAACATAATAAAATAATTCTCACGACGTTTCGGCCACAACGCAAGCAGTCGTCCTCAGGTGAAGAACAGGTCTGTCAAAAAAAGACAGAGTCAGACTCTGACTCAGTCAGACGCTGTCTTCTCGACAGACCTGTTCTTCACCTGAGGACGACTGCTTGCGTTGTGGCCGAAACGTCGTGATAATTATTTTATTAAGTTTTATTATTATTATTTTATTATTTCCATTCTACGTGACTTTACCGAAAGAACCAAGAAGATGAATCCCTGCAGTCACGAAAGCTTTAAATCGAAATTTGTTGTGTCTACAGGCGATACGAGAACCCGCGACAGTTGAACGTTGTTCTGCCAATGAGAGAGCGCACATTCACTGAGTTCCACACCCCCTGCACCTACAAGAGACTGTTTAAGCCCAAGGATTTAAACTTTAACTATCCACATTGTGGATAAAAAAAGGACTTGTATTGAACCCTGTGTTTTCAAAGCAGATCTCAGGTAAAAAAAAATGTCCCCAGGTAGCTAGCCTACAAAAAAGGAGCTTACTGACCTGCGAGGATTTCACCTTTGTCGGCATGGTTTTATTTTTTCTCACTCGCCAAACTCATTCAGGGGGTTAGCCAACCATCTCACTGTGAAGGCCCAATGTAAAAGTCTTGAGACTCGGTGAGGTTTTTCCGAGCTAAATAGAGGAGGTTATTATTGATGGCCCGTCCCTCTCAGTTCAGTATGACCATTCATCAGAGAACGCTGTGACTTGCAATTTATACCCCCTCACAACCATCATGGTTCTTGTTGTATAAACCTTTTGTTTCAGTCGTTGCCAGGTCATTAACTCCCAAAACTGAAGGAAGCAAGAGAATCAGGGAGAACGTGGGGACAGGAGCCAATCTCAAGTGCACAACCACGAGATCGCAGCAAGCGGACAACTTTAAGTGGTGGAAGTACAGATCAGATGGCCGGTATGAGAGGTTGTCTGAGACGAGAAGCGACCTGACCTTCGAAGCTGTGGCTGTCAAAGACGTGGGCTGGTACGAATGCGAAGCGTGGAGCTCCTCAGCAAACAGCGAAAGTTCATGGACGGAGCTGCAAGTTTTATGTAAGTGGTCACTCCCTATCGTGGTGATACATGGCATTGAAGTCACTCTGTCCACAACCTATGCACTCTGTCACCAACTAACAAACAGGGCGTATCCAATTAGCCTGATCCTAGAGTTGGGTTGAAAGTTCCCTGTGGTTCATGGAACCTGTGCAGGACTCAGGGGTGAGGCCACTGCTCGGAGCGGGTGGCGGTGCTCATTAATTGCAGACGCTGAGGACAGGCGCTTGTAAGCGCTGTGGTTCTTCATGTGTGGTAAGTGTTACATTTGATGTTTTATTGCTTTCTTTTAAAATTGTGAACTTGACAAAAGTCGTTCAAAAGTGGAAAATGTTGAGGCTGACACGTTTCTTAGCTTTCACATGAGAGGGAGTCAATAGGAAAGCGGTGATCGTTTTACGAGTGTTCGCTTACCAAACAATTTTCGCAGAAATTATTTTGCTCATTTAGCGAGAAACGCCTATACTATTTGTTCTGCGTGGTTTATGTGTGTGCTGTGTGGTAACTGTGTGTGTTGTGTGGTTACTGTGTGTGCTGTGTGGTTACTGTGTGTGCTGTGTGGTTACTGTGTGTGCTGTGTGGTTACTGTGTGTGCTGTGTGGTTTCTGGATGTGCTGGGTGGTTACTGTGTGTGCTGTGTGGTTACTGTGTGTGCTGTGTGGTTACTGTGTGTGCTGTGTGGTTACTGGATGTGCTGGGTGGTTACTGTGTATGCGGCAATGTGAGATGCAGTTGGTGTGTTTAGCAATTATATGTTTTTTACATGCTGGCATTTCAGTAAAATTTGGGCTGATCTTTATTTATATAATTAATTGATAGTGTAGAAACCCTTGCTCCAAGTGTGTGTGTACGACCGCCTCTGTGTGTTGTGGGTGATTCTCTGCACCGTAAATTTTAGTCTGCCTGTCAATGTCAACTCGTGTCAATAATCCATGACCCTTGGCTGCAGCCTTCCTACCGGCCTCGCCGGGGCTGCGTGCCGCCGTGCCGGCCACCCTGGTCTGCAGCGTGCACACCGTGTCGCGTTTGGACTCCGTCACCATCCGCTGGGTCCTAGACGACGATGTCAAGTGGACAAACTCGACCTCCCAGGATCCATCTCCAAACGGGACGTTCATCGTGACTAGCTGGCTCAGCTTCACCCCATCACCCGAGGACGATGGGAAGAGATGGCGCTGTGAGGCCTCGGGAGGCGACGTGGCCTCAACGACGGTCCAGGATTTTATCCTGGACGTAAAGTGTGAGTGCCCAGCAGTGGTTGATGGCTGTGTTTTTAGATTGGTGTAGAGACTGTGTCACTGTGTGGTGCTACGATGATAGTATTACGAGGGGCACAGTGCTTTCCGGTTGTGCGTGATGCCCTCCTGTGACTGGACATCACTTAATTACTTGAGGTTAGATAATACACGTGATCACAGCTGCTTCTTGTGAAGGAAACTGAACAATAGTCTTCGATCTGCACACAGGGCCAGGTGAATTGAGATGCAGACCTCCTCAGTGGGAGCACAGGAGAACACTGCTGGGCGGACAGTCCAGGGTGCTTGTCTGGGCTCTGTCGCAATGAACGCATCTCACACTTTGTTGACAGACGCGCCGGTGAACACGACGGTTCATTCTGCTCCTCGTCTCCCGAGGGTGGAGTCTGGTGACAACGTGACCTTGACGTGCGTCGCCCACGGTAACCCGAGCCTCACGTCGTTCAGCTGGAGCAGGGTACCACCCAGCGGCCGCCAGCTCCCTCACAACCCCACAGGAGGTATCTTGATCCTGATGAACGTCACGGCGGAGGACTCGGGGCGCTACCTCTGCGAGGCGTCCAACAGCGAGGGCCCCGGAACCTCCGCTCACCTCGACCTGGACGTGCAGTGTGAGTCACGGCAGCAGAACCTCACCACGCAGGCACGCTCACCCAGCGGCATGGTCCTGCATCAGTGCGAGATGAACGAGCGAGCAAGTGAGTGACTGGTGGATCCCCCTCTCTTGACAGATGCACCGGTGGTGGTGAACGTGTCTCAGGATGAGACGTGTGGGGGTGAAGGGGACGTGTGCCTCTTCTGTGAGGTGAAGGCCAATCCTCGTGCCGCCATCACTTGGTGGGCTTGGGGGAGCGACGTACCAGAATGGACCCAGGATGGGAAGGAAACCCTGACCTGGAGCTCCGTGGTCATAAAGAAATCACAGGAGAAGAATGTGACCTGTGAGGCGGCAAACGTCATCGGCGAGACTAAGGCCGTGTTTTACATTCAAGGTGCTGATTCAGTCTTTCACTCATTCGGTGTTTCACTCATTCACAATTTCACTCAGGTTTTCGCTCATTTACGTACCTCGTAAGGCTATTGCACACAAAACGACAGCAGCAATACTAATCACGGAGAATGTGGTTTGTGTCAGAACTGGTGTCAGCATCCTGGGCCATGCACGTGGCCGCTGGTGTGGTGGTCACGCTGCTTCTGCTGCTCCTCTCTGCGCTCTGCTGGCGAGGACGAGGTGCTGTGCAGCACACGGCTCCCAGCACCGTTTCGCAAACGATAACCGAGAACTTCCTCGGCATGCAGTGTGCCGCGGGGCCATGGGGGCTGCTCTCAAATACAGGCGTCACACGCAGGCACTGGGGATCAGACACGAGCAGTGTGACGCAGGTACTGGGGATTGGTTAAGATCTTCCTCTCCTTTACCCCAGTGGCGGCTAGCAAGCCTCTTCAGGATCCCTGCCTTCAAGTGGAGTGCCTCAGGCTCAGGCCATGAGGCCCTTGTGCAGGCCAGTGAGCGGGGTCGCGTGCTCAATACGCTACACGGGCTAAACGTGACCTTTGACCTATGTCTTCTGTCCCGCACAGTTGCTGCCAGGACACATTGTGGAACTGTTCTGCACCAAGCCACTTGTTGCCATGGTGATGACCGTTAGAGACTTCCCCTAATGATATAGGATCCATTAGATTTCTCTTCAATAACAATGCTCAACACGTGCACGCTGGTCATAGTGTCGGTGTGTTTAGTCTCGCAGTAGCTCCGCGAGGCCTGAGTGGGGAGAGTGGCCCACGGGGCACTGGAGCCTCTCTGATGTCACTCGCGCTGCCTCGTGCCGCCCCAGTGCTGGCCGCCGTGATGAAGTGGAACGAGGCAGAACCGGCCACTCTCTTCCAACTCGGAGACCGCATGGGGCCCGATGGAGGAGGATCGGCAGGAGATAGAGCCTCCTCCCAGCAGCCACTTTACTGCAACGTGCGGAGGGAGCTGGGCCCGGTGAGTGGGCACCACCGTCTGCTTGCCCCACAACCACGCAGTCCGTCGCCAACATTTTCATCTGCATAGGCAGCTCAATGATGAATCTGCGTTTGGCGTGGACGAGAGCACGCTGGTATTCCCTCCCTACCAGTGTCTCTTTCTGGAAGATGTAGAATGTAGCATTTGACCATGTGCAATTACACCACAGAGTGCGATTCAAATCGCGTCTTGACCACAAAAATGGGTTTAGAGTTGTATTATAAGGACTTGCACATAGTCCACATAGTGCCAATCTGAGAGATGAATAAGATGATGATGTGAATTTTGTGTCCATATTTTGCGCTATGTGTCCCGGTGACAGGGCCCCTGCTCTCAGCCGCACCCCCGTATACATCTCCCTGGTGGCTCAGCGGGGCCCGCAGCCCCAACCGCCAGTGCCGACTGCTTGTACAGCCTGGTGGGCATGGCCGCTCAGGCTGGTGAGGGGCCTCATGCACAACCGTGGGCACGTTTTCCCGGTCACCAAACTCCACACACCGCACAGGAAACACCCACAGCGCACACACCATGCACACAAGCGCCGCTCCTCAGGGTTAGGGGCTGAAGGCTGTAGGCTATGGCTGTGCATTTGACGTGCATGGTGATTTTCTCCACAGAGCACACTCAGGCCGGGACGCTGTACAGCGTAGTGAACCGCAAGCGAGCCCCACCGGGGCCCACGTGCGGGGAGGCCACCCTCTACAGCACAGTGGGCCCGACGGTGAGCCCTGCTCCAGCCCCCCGCTTCCACCGAGTCCCTGCATCAGTGGGTCCATCATACCGGTCATGCCTGGTATCCGCTGGTACAGTGCATCAATCCAGTCCATGGCTTTAACAAGCTCCTAACCATTGGAACCTCATAATAGTAGGTTTTTACCCTTTTAACTGGTACAAAACTGACACCTTTATTCAAGGCATCATGTTTGCAATGACCACAACACAAGTAGTCAAAAAAGCAAACAAAAAGAAGCAACTCTGATAAGGATGATAATATGCACTGTCCTTGAAGTTGATTGGCCCACACCCGAGACGGCTTTCTTTAGAGCCTAGTCCCCATTGGTGTAGGGCCAGATGACACCAGAAGGCGTACCTCATTTGCCAGTAGCAAAATATGATACGCGCCTTTTGGCGTCATCTGGTCCAACACCATGTGAGACTAGGCTCTAAGGAAAGCGGTCTCGGGTGTGGGCCAATCAACTTCAAGGACAATGCATACATTATCAGAGTTGTGTTTTTTGTTTGCATTACGACTGCAGGTATTGTGGTCTATGCAAACATGACTCCTTGTAAAAGAAGGTGTCAGTTTTGTTGCCAGATTAAAGGGTAAAAACCCATTATCAAGCTCCTAATCCTCGGGTATTGGTGGTAAATCCGAGTGCTTCGTGTGCCTGTGCTGTGGGGTGAGCAGGGAGCCGGCAACCAGCACGGTCCGTCCGCTACTCCCTGCGCTGGCGACGGCAGCAGCGGAGACGCGGATGAGCAGACGGAGGCGCTGGTGTACGCCAGCCTTGATTTTGGTGCGACTTCGGGTCTCCCTTGAGAGAACCGAAAATCAAGAGCTGCTTCTGCTTACTTTGTCACGCTGCACGTGTCGCTTGAGGAGCCGACGAAACGTAGTGGGATAACTTCAGTGAGCATGTTTGGTTAGATTCTAGAATACGTACGTACGTATGTTGAACTTATTTCGCACCGTATGTGGCCAACAGTGCTATCAAGTCAAGTCAATGTTATGTTTGTTTGCATACGTGGTGGCTTTCGGACACAAATCTGCCACTCAAAGCGCCATCACCTTAATACTCAACATAAAATAGGAAATTATAAACAATGAGAAAATATGTATTTACATACTCACTACAGTTGTTTAAAATATAACTGTAAAGGCAAGTTGTGGCTGTGAGTTCGTTATATGCAAATGCAAAGAGAAGTGTTGTTGTTGAGTTGTGAATGTGGTGGTGGTGGTGGTGATGGAGCCGAGTTTGTGGATTGCAGTGAGGAGGTTGTTTCCAGAGGTGCGGCGCTGCACTGAGAAAGCGCCGTCCCACTCCCTAGTTTTGTGTTTGGTTGTTGTTGGTGGTGGTTGGAGGAGGAGTTTTCGGCCTGAGAAGCGATCTCCACGAAGGCGGAGCTTGGTTGCGTGTTACTTCGTACGTTAATATGATCATTTTTAAAGTGTCACTGTATTCCATTGACGAATCTCCTCTGCGTGGCTGTGACACTGGCTCAATTCCCCTTGTCCCGTATCCACCAAAGTTGACATAAACGCGTCCGCTCAATGACTGTCCCTCGAGCCGCTCCGCACAAACGGCTGTGGACGGACGCTTCCCCTCCTCCTCATCGGACAGCTGGAGGACACGAGGCTGATGTCGGACGAAGCGCTTTTAATTGAACCGAGCTCTGCCTTGTTGAAGACGGACGCTGATAGAGGACCCCCCCCCCCTCCACCCCAAGCGGTGTTTCTCTTCTCGCGCTGATCGAGAGCTGCCCCCGTCTCACCGTGGCCGGGGCCGCGCAGAGGAAGCCGCGTGCTCGCCACGAGCGCACGGCCGTCTTAGGTTACGTTTCGGGGGCAATTCAACACAAATGTAACGTGGAGTTACCGCGAGGTGACGATTCAACGCGGTGAAGATAAATGAACTTTTTTTTTACTGGTCAGACTCAGTGCTACGACGATGTTGCATGGTGTATTGCTGAAACTGCAGTGTGAATCAGGGTATGTTGCTGGAATTGCGTTTCTTTACGTCATATAAGGCGTTAGTTATATGATTTTAATAAAAATGCATTTTGGTGAATGACGTTAAGACTACAAGTACTGAAGTTATTTTGTTGTTGCGTGTGCCGTACTGTTATCGTCAGCTATGTTAAATCCACTGCTGGATGAATGTCTCCTGAAGCCGTTGCCATCCCGACGTTCTACTTAATGGTCTGCTTAGCGCCTGCACGCGAGTTGATTTCATCGTTCCGTCTCCTCCGTTCAGGTGCCCACGGAGGCCTTCCATCTCTTGGCTGCCAGCTCAAAGTTTATATACTGTACAAGAATTGCATTTAAATATATTCACGATCGTTGCGTTTGCGTCACTTAATTATTTGCTATTATTATTATCAAGACTCCATTCCCCCGGCGCGCGTCTTCTGATCGCAGTCTCACGGCACCGAGGAGATGGATGGGGCCATGGGCCATGCGCCAGCGGCGTCGGGAGCGAGAAAAGCCATCATACAGCGGTGGATTGACCTTGGCTCATGGTGGCACCTGCCCCACGCTGCTCCTCCTCTGTGGGATACGCACAGAGGAGGAGGATGATGATCGCCACCTCTTCCTCCAGTAGCGTAGTTGTTACGCGCTGCCGGTAACCCCATTCTCGCGTGGTCCACAATCGCGACTATCGCCGGCGGCATTCATGAGTCCCAGCCCTGGACGTGCGTATAAACAGTAGATTTAGAATTGGGGACCAGTTGAGGTTTATCCGACTCGGGTTACTTTACCCGGGGCTGTTGGGGACTAATTCATTAACCTAACATGGTTGAGTGTTAATTCACCGAGCACAGTTGAGTGCTAAATAACCGAGCACATGTGCACGCTAATTAAGTTTGCACGGGTTAACGTAAATGGGCGATTGTTGATTATTGTGGCCAGGTGAGAGTTAATTAATGATCGTGCACGAATTAATGTGGCAACATTTGCGAGCTAAACCCACGATAGAGACGAGGACGCATTGCGGAGGATGGATTTCTCGACGTCTTTATTGAGTCACCACTACTACTAACACGTGGGATTACATGCGCACGGTCTACACGTGTCGTCGGTATAAACACTGCGGTGTGCACGCGGGAGATCACGCGGGAGAACGCTGCTTCATATCCAGCTCGAGTCCTCGCCCTCCGCGAAGGGGGCCACTCCCGCGGCCCCGCTCACGCCTCATCGCAGGCGAAGTCGTTTTCCTGCAAGAGGGAGAGAGAAGGTGGGAGTGGTGATGGAGGTGACGCGGGTGAGTTTGCGAATAGAGGAGACGCTGGATCGTGGGCCGTGTTGGCGGTGGTAGTGGATGCTGCGTGCGTGAGTGGTTATGGTGCTCCTGCAAAGTGGCGTTGATGGTTGTCCAAGTGCACGTGGCATGCGCGTTGTAGGCGGTGTGGGAGGAGACGCACGTTGGTGGAGTACTCGTGACGGATCTTGTGGAAGACCCGCGTCTCGTTGATCACTTTGCTGGGAAAGTAGCCGAGGGGCGCCGCGTAGTCCGCGTACTGGTCATTGTACACCTAGAGGGGCAGCCACGGGGAATAGAGAGGGGGGGTGGGAGGGCCCCCGCACGGATGAGGGCAGGGGAGGGCCCTACTCGCCTGCCCGGTACAGGATCTCAAAGACACGGTTAATTGGTCATTAGTATCCACATTACAATATTTCTTGTAACCTGTGATTTGGGAATATTTCACGGTTAAAATCGTCTCCTCTGAAACGTTCCCTGAGCCACCCCTTGACAACACGCTTTACGATGCAAGTCAAGGTGCGGACACATTTTATGGAGCGCAGGCCAGGACTGCTCCGGCTGAAATGAAGCCCGATTTTATACTTCTCATACTCTTAGGTTTTTTCGGTAAAGTCATGTAGGTAAAAAATTAATAAAAGTAAAATAAAAAATCACGATGTTTTGGAGGCAACACAGGCTTCCGTCTTCAGGTGGAACCGTCACAGCACGATTGCTGTATCAAGTACAAGTACAGCAATCGTTCTGTGACGGTTCCACCTGAAGACGTGACTTTAGTGAAAAAACCTAAGAGTATGAATCCTTGCAGTCACGAAAGCTTCAAATCTAGAATTTATACTTCTCTACATGTACCTTGCCGAAAAACACACTAAAACTTCATCTCAGTGGCGCTTACACAGACGACGCAATAGTTACAATGCGAACGTACCGGCGGCCCTGCTGTAAAGTTTAATGGACCGTAAGAGATGGAAACAGCTTGGTGAGGCATTCATCCAGCAGTGGATATAACATGAATGATGATTGTTCACAATCGAGGCACAGTCAACATGTCAAAGTGGATTTACGTTCAAACGAGAGTGCGTGGTGTCCGTCTCCTCTTTACAGCTCTCAGTAGTGGAAATTCCACATTGCTATGGCGAGAGCAAGTTGTAATACGACAGTGACTTGTCCTAATCCATAGGACAAGTCACTGTCGTATTACAACAAGCGGGGGTGCCCTTAAGGAACGGACTTGTGCGATATTGATAACATGCGCATGTATGTCGTGGGACATGCGTCACCAAGGAATAGGGAGAGATGCGTCTCCTGAATATTTATATAATTCTCAAGAGAGACAGAGACTCTCAACACCAGAGCAGACGGGGTTCTTCAGTCCGGACGTGTGCAACGACATGAATATCGACAGAGCCCTCCCGAGGGTACGGCGAATCGCGGCGACCGCCTCGGGCCCCGTGCTTTTGTGGGGGGGGGAGCGCGATTCGACGTCAGTGTGTCAGATGTAATAGTTCCGTTTTATTTTTAATGCGTCTGGGGGCCCACACGGTGTGGTTTGCCCCAGGCCCCGTACGCCCCTCCCCCCCCCCCCATGGACGACCCTTCGTATTGGGGAATTATGTCAGCTGGGTCGGCGACCCATAAAATACTTCCACATACGGCACACCACATCAACTGTTTACACCTCTCGCTGTGGCTGTGGCATCGTCACAACCATAGCGATAAATGAATCCCTGATTATTTGTACTGGAATGGTTTACTGAACGCGACACGCGTGGGATTGACTCGCGTGTGGGCAGTAGTGGTGCAAGGCATAAGCAAACAAAGTAAAAGCTTAGTGACCCATGCAGTTCAGGGGGAAGGGGGGAATTGGGGTATATCAAATATCTTCTCAGATGCTACTCCGAACAACCAGAACAAGCCAATTCACGTCTATATGTTAGTCTGCATGTCCTCTCTCATGGCACCATATATTTATCTTACCTTTCAATTTACCATGAGTTTTGTAAATTCAGAGTGGGTGGGTGGCAAAACAATACCTCTCCGTGGCACCCCCGATAGGCTAACGCCGCCACTGGCCACAGGCCCCCTGAATACGGTCGTCCACCGTGGTCGCAGGAAATCTATCCGGGCCCCCACTCGATGGGGAAGGGGGAGGGGGGGACTCACGCTGCCGGCCCAGTACTCGGGGGCCCCGGGCTGCGCAGGCTTGAGCTTGGAGAAGACGAACACCACCTGGCGAGCCTTGAGGTTCAGAAAGCGACAGTCCGAAGCCTCGTGGTCGGTGACCACCTCGCCCACGGAGATGGCGTCTGCGGGAGGCACGTGGTGGGGGTCATATCAGCGGGACCCCCAAGCGTCGGGGTGCCCCCCTCTTAGGGGGCCCGAGTCATGTGACGCTCCAGCTGTACCCTCGCCGCCTCCTCCCACTGCTCAAAGCCACGTGGGGCGCCCATAGCTATTTCCCTCTAATCAACTTCAAATCCACAACGTTCACGATCACCGCGTGAATCGACACTCCCACCTATTACCACAACGCCACAATTAACGCGACAGCCGATCTCGTGGCCCCGCGTCTCCGATCCGCACGGTCCAGCAGCGTGGTGAAGACTGACACAAATCACCCCCATGAATGATACGGCGTAGGTGGTGTTTCATCCACCAGCGGATTGACACTGGGGCTCTAACAAATACCGCGTGCTCCCGGAATTCACATCCGCAGCTATAACCACCTCCCTATAATCATGGTACTTACATCCGCAGCTCTAACCACGTACCTATAACCACAGTACTCACCACAGCACTCACTATGGCTATATCTAAAAGTCAGTCCTCACATCCCCAGGTGTGTGTGTGTGTACTAACCTTACCCAGGTGTACTCGCATCTCCAGGTGTGAATACTCGCCAACTCAGGCGCACACGCATGCCCAGGTATGTGTGTACTCACAGCCCCAGATGCAGCGGGCTACCGTACGTATCCCGCTGCATCACCACGGCAATCTCTCCAGGCATAGCGCCCCCCTCCCCACCACCACCGCCAGGTGCGCCAGGTGTACTCACAGCTGCACTCGGGGTCCGCGCAGCGCTTGGAGTTGGAGAGTTTGTCGAAGGACGCGGCCCCGGCCGCCAGGAGCACGACGCACAGCAGAGAGCTCCACATGGCGCAGATCCACAAAGACACTGACCTGAGCTCCGATCTCCCTCCGAGCCACAGCAGCCTGGGGGGGGATGAAGGAATGGAGGCGGGGGGGGGTAAAGGGGAGGGCGGCCTCTGGGAAGAATGTGGCGGGTGCGTGGCGGCGCCTCCGGGCACGGGGGCTGCCCGGTCGCCTTGCTGTGCTGTGTGTGAACGCGTATGGCTGTGCGTGCGTATGTGTGCGGAGCGGTGGCGCAGCGGTTAGCGCGCTAAGAACCAGAGTTCGATTCCCACTTAACACCAGTGACGATTATCTGAACCGGCCCTCGGCTTCTCATAGATCGCCTTGAACTTGTTTAACTTCTTTCGCACCATACGTATCCAACCGTGCTAATCGGATGTGCGGGGAAGGACAACGAACTAAACGCAAAAAGGAGTTCTGAAGAAATTAGTTTTAAATCTAGATTTAAAAGTGCATAGCTCCAGTGGCTTCCTAATATCGCAAGGAAGAGCGTTCCAGACGACCGCAGAAGCACATCGGAAAGTGCGCGATGCGATGACCATTTTTGTTCGATGGCTCGCCAAAAATCGTTGCATGACTGGAGATCGCTTGATGGTTTCAAGGTGTGTGCTCGCTAACAGCACTTGCCCCATACAGTCTGTTAAGGCTATATGGGGGATCTTTGTCTTTGTATAGACGTGCGTTCATGTATGTACGTGTGAGGAGTCGTGGCGCAGGAGTTAGCACGCTCGCGCTACGATCCCCGCCACAGAGAAAACGGCGAGCATCAGTGGTGATAGCTGAACTAGGTGATGTACCTCCCATAGTTCGACTCAGCCTTAGAACAGTGTATTCGCTTCGGTGTGTAAACATCATTACTGGGGAGACAAAGGGGGCCCGGCATGATGCTGGCCACAGCGCGCTCGGCCTGAACAGGTGCTCGCTCACGGCACTGCGCTCACTTGGACGAGATGATGCTGTTGTGATGCATCTATTCGTATCGATTTTTTTTCTCACGATAAACGCAGATTCGTGTTTGCGAATCATTGAACACGACTGCAGGCTGCTGATGAGACCCATACGGTCGAAACATGTCCAGTGTGCTTGTTTCAACAAATGCGGATGTGCAATATTGGCACAAAAAGTCATCACGGCACTCCGTATAGGCAGGTGGACTGGAAACGTTTTATATATAAACATGGGAAGTGGAGACCGCACGAAGTTCTGCTTAAATTTGTTCCGAGCCCTAATCTCCACAACCACGAGTTCGTTTGCGGTATTGCTTCAAGCCAATAGCCACGAAGAACTGATAATTATCTTAATTATATTTCTGCTGAATTATACTTCAGCAGCATTGTTTAAAAAGCCCAAATCTGCTCAAAACCAAACGGGGCTGAGTTTGCTTTCAAAAGTGCCGCTTCATGGCATTGGTATGCTAGACCTAGATATATATTTATATCTTGGCACATAGGATCGGAGTTATTCTCGAATCGAAACGAACGAATCACGCTCCCGCTGCCGCTGAACTCGGACCCGGTTCTGGGGACTCGAGCAGCAGACCACGGCTCTCTCGAACACGAATTCTTCCAGATGCGGGCACGTGGGGGATGTCGGGGGATTAAAGACCGATCTCTACCCCCTCCCCCTCCGAGCCCCCGCTTGGCGGAGATCAATGCCGAGTTTGTCTGCGCCGTACCACGTGTTTCGCGGGGACATGGGGACGGGCACCCCGTCAATAAGCGGGCCACCCCGTGGGCAGGAACACCGCTGCTGTGAAGAGGAGCTGCGTCCACTGTAGCCATAGCTCTATCCCAGCGGAACAATCTATTAGGGGAAGGAGAAATGGGATTTTATCACCGGAAGCTTCTGTGCTTTCGTGAGGACAGCCAAGTCTGTTTGCCCCATCCAAAACGTGAAAATAAAAATTTCTACCATCTTTTCTCACCTTTGGTCGGCATTTCCCACCGCAGTGGCTTTTGGCAGTGATACTTTCATAATGTGGTCTCATCAGTATCTGTGCATTGCAAATTCAGGGGGGCAGTGTGCAGGCACACACATCCTGGGAGTAAAGGCTCTGCCACCAAGACCACCACACCCTCCCCCCCCCCCCACGATGTTGCTTGTCACATCCACTGACCACCCTGGCTGGCAACTCAATAACTTGATTGAGCAGTATCTTTTGCAGTAATGTCACTACCGCCTCACTCATGAAATCCAAAGAGTGGTGATGAAGATTGTAAATTTAATACAGGTAGGAACAGTTCCACACTGCCCACCAGGGATTGTCTGTCTGTCGTGCATAGGCACGCCCTCGATTTGTATTTCATAGAGCGCTTCGGGCGGGCTCAGGACCATGTGACGCGCCACCCCACGCAGCACGAATGCGCTGTCCAACCAAGTTCCTACCTGCCCACTCCGGAGGAACGTGTTACTCAGAGCTGCTGAATGATCTGCATTTGCAAATGATCTGAATTTGCAAAGACTTTGGGGATTGCGAAGTCTCCAGGTGCAGTCTTTGGGTTCATGAAGTCCTGAGTTGATGTAGTCTGTGTGTAGACGCAGATGCACCAACGAAAAGTGTCCAGTGTAGGGCAGGCAAGACGCAGACGATAAAATAACAAGACCACTCCATTCACGCCCAACAATTTATTTATCCAAAATGTCCAACTTATAAACATTGTCTCGAGCTGCATGGAATAGTGACCGCATAAAACACGCATGGGGCCAGGTGCAGGAACCTTGATGCGACTCTTACAGCACAGCTCCAAGTGTGGAAGGGAACCAGAGTCCTGATTAAAATGTGTACACTCGGTTACTTGACAGAAACACCGCACGTTCAACAAGTGAAAAGCCTCGCATTCCCCACCGAGATCATAAGAGGAGTCTCTGTCCCCGGCATGAAACGCGCAAGGCCGTGCAGAAGTGCTGCCGTTCGCAGGGACGTGGTCGTTGACATCCGCGAGAAGCCCAGTGCACACCATGGGCGTCTGGCGGATCATCGCTCTGAAAACTGGGGGGTGACAGCCCTGCCGAGCCCTGGCGAGGCCACGGAAACCCCCCACCCCCCCCCCATACTTACCAATGTTGAGGGACGGCCCCGGGGCTTAACTTCCCCCTACGACTCCACTGCCTGTGTCCCTGGCTCCTCCTGACCCTCCGTCTCCTCCGCTGGCACCATCATCTGCACATCCTCCCCTGTTGTGTCGCCCTGCTGCCCTGCGGCCTCTGCCTCCTTACCTTTCTCGGCGCTGCCCTCCGAGGACAACCGCTTTCCGGCCTCGGCTCCCCTGTGCCCCTCGCTATGCCTGCGACGAGCCCCGCCCTCTGAGAGCCTGCGCCGCCTCTCCCCCCTGTGCCCCCCCTCCCCACTGTGCCCCCCCTTCTTGTCCCCGTCGGACCCAGCCCTGACCTTCCTGTTGGTCTCGTTCTTGTCACCGCGCTCCAAGTGGCGCGCGTGACGGGGCGAGCGCGGGCGGGGGCTCCGCCGCACCGGCTCCCGCTCCCGACGTCCCCGCTCCGAGCTATGGCGCCGCCGCCGTCCCCCTCCCGAGCCGCCCTGCTCGTGGCTGCGGCTGCCCCCGAATCCCATGGCCCCCCTGCGCCGGTCCCAGCCATCGCGCCGCCTGTCTGGGCTGCCCCCCCGGTCACGCTCCGGCCCCCGCCGCACGATGCGGATTCGCTGCCCACGATCGCTCTCCCTGCGCCTCTCGCTACTCGCCTCCTTGGCCACCGGTGTTTTCGTCTCTTCAGGCTTACTCACTTCCTGCCCTTCAGGCTGGGCCCTCTCCCCTACCTCCCCCACCTCCCCCTCCTCCATCCCCTCCTCCTGGTGCTTGGCCTCGAAGCTGCCCTTCTCCTGCTCTGGATGCTCCTGCCCTGCCTGCCCCCCCTCACCCTCGGGGCCGCCCGACATCTCTACATCCTGCACCGGCGCTGCATCTGTGTCCTCTCCAACGCGCCCCATCTTCGCCTTACCCTCCGCGTCCTCTGTCTCAGGGCCCTCCCCCAGCCAGGGGGGGCCGCCCCCCAGATCCCCGTCTCCGTCCGGCGTGGGACCCAACCGCCCCCGGATCCTCGCGCGTCGTGGCCGCACCTCCATTCTTTCAATCTCCTCCAGGAAGTCGGCGCGTCGTTTCGCAAACTCATCTGGCAAGGCGTGCGTGCGCATACACAAGCAATGTGAAACAGAGTCACATACAAATCTCGACTCGTTGATTAATTGTCTGTACTGCAAGCCCAGCACCGTCCAACCGTGGGATGGTTGCCTTACCACTCAGAGTCTTTTGCGACTCCTCCAGCAGCTTTTGCGTGTCAGGGCTCATCTTGGCCGGAAGGAAGAACATCTGCGGCTTCGTCTTGGTGCGGATGAACGGGAGCAACTTCTGGTTGTGTGCATCCCACTCCTCTTGCTGCCACAAGAGACACGTGGCACGCAGGACGCCGCTAAACACGTGTTTCTCAGGCACAGCCTACAGCGATAAACTTGGTACGCGGCGATGGTGACTGTGATGGGGGTGGGGGTCTTACCAGGTGCGCCAGCTGCACCTTGACCTCGAGCAGGCGCAGCGTTGCCTGCTGGTTGCGCCGCTCCTCAAACAGTTCACGCCGCTCCAGCGCCAGAGCGCGCCGCTCCTCCTCCGCCTGCTCCTCGACCTTCGCCTCAATCTCGTGCCGCCGCTTTTGCTGCGGCCAACAAGACAGTAGCACTGACGTTAGGGCTGTGGGGGCAGCGGAGTGTGGCTACGGCGCGTATACGAGATCCTAAACGCGATCACTGCCATGAGTGTATGGAGGGTGTGGGATGTGGCCTCGTGCTGGATACAAGGGGGAACCACACCTTTTCGTTCTCCTCCGATGCCTCGGCCTTGAATTTTTGCAGGGTCCCCATTAACAGCCCAAACATTCGCCGATTCCTAAAAATAACAGAAACAATTCAGTGGTTATGACACCACGTTTCCAGGGCTGCCAGCCTTAGCTGTTCATTTAGAAAGACAGTAACACATTTTTAATCGTCAGATGGTCAATGGAAACACCAGTAATAAACATAGCACGATGTGCATCACAGCTCAAGCCTTGTCATCTTACCTATAAACGTAATATTTTGCCGTCTGCCTCTGTCTGTGTGTGTACGAAACTGATGACGGATATAACTCACAAACTGTGGGGTGGTGGCATAAAAAAATTACCCAGATACCACGTGATAAGGCCCGTGGTGAGCCAGCACTATTCGTATTTCACATCCGTCAACTTTCAAGTAGTTTAATTAACAATTTATTCCTATGTATTATTATATAACTACGCTGAGCGCGCACCAAAGCACGCATCTGCGCATGCGCGAAACGCTGACCGGTGATTGCCCTAGCAATGCACACACAGGATCGGTGGGAGGGGGGAATTCTCATTTGTGTGGACACTGTAAGGTAAGACACACAGATTTAACATAGATAAATATTATTGTTTAATAATTAGTATTACTGTTATTTAATATTAAATGATAGGGATTAAGCAATGTTTGATAGTAAATATATTCACGGAAAAAAATTTGATATTTAAAAATCATTTTACTATTTTTATTCGTTCTGATCGCAACACAAGCGGTCGGCCTGATGACCACTTGTGTTGCGATCGAAACGTCGTAGTTTTTTTGCCATTTTCTTTGAACCCATCTACGTGACTTTACCGAAAGACCCAAAGAATATGAATTACTGCAGTCACAAAAGCTTTAAGTCACTATTTTAGTAATTAAATAAAGTGATTTGGTCTTCGTTCTAGAATATTAACACTTGTCCCGTCAAGAGGTTATGTAAATTCGGGTTAATTGGTGTGCATCTGCTCATAGCTACAGGTATGACAAGTTGATTTCTTAGGAGTTTTATTTTATTTATTTAACCCTTTTGCTCGCAGCAAATAAAAAATGGCAGCAACAACATCGTAAACGTACTTTCTTATTATTTTTATACTTGTTTAAGTTCATAGGGTCAGGATCATCTATATATATAAAATCGCAAATCTGTCTGTCTGTCTGTGTGTGTGTCTGTCTGTCTGTCTGTGTCGCCGGACCATACGCAGTTTCATTGGACGAAATGTGAGGGATTTGCGAGACACGATTGGTCCGTTTGGTTTTCCACGGCGGTTGCCCCTGGCAACGGGTAGCGACGCATTCGCTGCGGGGTGGACGCCATTTTTAATTCCCGTTAAAAATATGCGCACGCATTAACACGCGACTCCGAGGTAAATTCATCAAAGTTTCACGTCCTCTTCACTCCCCCCCCACCCCAATGTGTGCAATTACTATTATAGGGTCGGTAGATAATAAAATTATAGCGATTAGACAGTATTATTGTAGCGCGGGGGGGGGGGGGGTAACGGCCCCAGTACCCAGCCTCAGCCGGCTGGGCAATTTAGGCGAGGCCGGAGGCTCTGCACGGTACTAGGCCTCGACACCCCACCACACTATAGGCCGTACATATTACTGCACAGCGGCCGAGGAGATCGTGGCTGGGGGGGGGGGCAGGGGTAGTAGCCCATCTGTGTATATATGTAAGGTTATTAAGAAATATATTTTTCACCCGGGCAACGCCGGGTACTTCTGCTAGTTATTTATATAGTACTGTAAGGGTGACAACGCAAGCAGCCGGTGTGGCCGAAACGTCGTGATAATTTTTATTATGTTTTATTTTTATTATTTTATTTCCCTTCTACGTAATTTTACTGGAAGAACTAAGAATATAAATTGTTATTGTTGGGAAAATTAACCCTTACAAAATAACCATCCGGCAGCTTATATTTTAATAGTGAACTGATAGAACGAGCATCATTATATTTGTTTTTTTGGTAGATATTGTTTTGATTTGCTCATAAAAACAAGTTATTTATATATTTATGGTAATTAAAATGATTTGCCAAATGTATGTATATTAATATAATTGAATTATAAAATATTGTATTATTTTCTTTAATATGTGCCGTATTATCACAGTGGCTGACCAGAATACAGCATTTAGAAAATAATCTAGATATTTATAAGATAGTTTTGTTCAATGTTAAATCTTTCAGATGTTAGATGTTGAACGTGTATTGAATATAAGCAGGTGTTATCATTATTGCGATTTTAGTGGACTGTACAGGGGTTGAGCAGTGATGTGGTGTGAATTGGGGTTGATTGGTATGCATCTGGTCATAACTACAGATGCACGAATGCTCCTCTGAAGAACACTTGGAAATAAAGATCACGGGAGGAGAGCGATAGGCCAGGCCGGTTACACAAACAAGCTTGCTGAGTGGTGACGGGAGGGAGGTTCTCCTTAGCGGCAAAAATGCCAAAAAGATAAAAATAAAGCCTCTCAAAGAAAAAAAACACACACAAAGAGAGTGGCACTGGCACCAAAACAACTTTCTCAACCAAACAACGAAGGCACTGCAGCAGCCCAAGCTGAGGTAAATCCTGAACAGCATGCATGGAGACAAGCCAGAGAATGCACAGCCACTGCTGCAGCACAGGCTGAAGAAAATCCTGATCCGAGTGCATTTAGACAAGCCAGAAACCGCACGGGCATTGCAGCAGCACGGGCTGAGAAACCACAACATCAGAAAACGGCACGCCAGAAGCAAGTCCGTCATGCTGCTGCATCAAGAGCAGGAAGAAATAACCCGGACTGGAACAGAGCAGCTTTAAATCACCAACCAGAGATCGATTATCAATCTATGGTGATATTAGGCTCTGTGTCAATTACTTACGCAGAATGTGGTGCTAAAAAGTGGAAAGGAGAATCCAAGGGAATGTGCTGCAGTGATGGAAAAGTCAAACTTTGACTTGTGCAGCTGCCCCCTGAGCAACTGAAATCCTCGGTATCTGGCCCATACCCCTGGGTCTAAACACTTTCTGACCAACATCAGGAAGTACAATTCTTGCGTTCAAATGACTTCTTTTGGTGGAACAAAGGAGATAGTAGAGCCAGGATTTATGCTCACATTCAAAGTTCAAAGCCAAGTCTATCATCGAATCGATCCATTCAGCCACTGCCTGGCGAAGAGCCAAAGTTTCTTCAGATATACTTCATGGGAGATGGTCAGAAAGGCAACCAGCGATGCAGCAATGTTCCTGGTGCCAGACGAGAAATTGTCCTGTCCCTCCAAGGGATGCTCAACCAACACAATTTGTTGATTACAAGTTTAAAACATGCAGCACAACAAGTCACCTCCAATGATTATCAGGTTGTAATCAGTGCATCCGAGGTCCCAAGGGGGGAGCACGCACGGAGATTTAATGCCCCAACTTGTTGGTGAGGTTGCTGTTCTTATGGTGGGTGAAGAACATGGTAAGAGAGACATTGTGCTTCGATACCAAGACAACACCATCAAACGAATTCCTGAAACAGAGCATATGATGCCCTACAATACCCCATGATACTGTGGCAAGGGCAAGATGGGTACCACCTTCCAGATTCCTCAAATCAAAGCAACGGGACAAAATCATCCTCACAAAACTGTCTCCTCTAAGGACTTCTATTCCTTCATGATCATGGACAGAAGAAACCATATATTAAGGTGTGCCAACCACTTTCACCAGTATGTTGCGGATAAGTGTGCCAAAATTGAGTGAGCACCTTCCTTACATCCAACTCAATAAAAAACGCCTGCGTGTAGAACAGTATGTTCATCTCAGGGACGCTATCAATGCCGACGGAGATGCAAACGCTCAGAATGTGGGGAGATTTAGTTATTTTGCCTTCATCCTTCACAGGTGGACCAAGATACATGCATGAGAGGATTCAAGATGCAATGACCTATATCAGGCAATATGGCAGGTCCGATCTCTTTATCACCTTCAATTGCAATCCAAAATTGAAGGAGATCCAGGTTGAGCTTTATCAAAACCAAAAGCCAACAGAGAGACATGACATAATTGCAAGGGTGTTTAAACTCAAAGCTGATGAACTCATGAGGCTTATTACAACAACGGAAGGCAGCGTCTTTGGGAAGACAAGATGTACTCTTTGGTTCTTTCGGTAAAGTCACGTAGTTAGAAATAAAATAAAACAAATCACGACGTTTCGATCGCAACACAAGCAATCGTCATCAGGTGGGACAACTACAGCAAGAAACAACTGCTAAAGACGAGAGAGCTGCCGTGGCACGAGGTTATATAGACTATATAGGTAGAGTACATGAGCGGGGCTAGAGATTGGGGGGGGGGGGCAGAGTAAGATCTGCGGAGGCGCCGGACATTTATCAAAACCAAAGAGTATGGATTCCTGCAGTCACAAAAGCTTCAAATCAAGACAAGATGTAACTTTCACACCATTTAGTGGCAAAAACATGGTCTTCCTCATGCCCACATTGCTATGGATGAGGGAAAAAAATTAATGCAAGTGACATTGACATATTTATCAGTGCTGAGCTACCTGCCCCCAAGAAAGACCATGCCCTATTTGATGTGGTCTGCAAGCAAATTGTCCATATGGCCCATGTATGCAAGACCACAAGTATACCAAGAAGTATCCAATAAACTTCTTGAAAGAAACTCAGTCAGGGCATGATGGCTATCCTCTATATCGTCACATAAATACTGAAGATGGTGGATTTGAAACAACGCTCAGACCTGGCACTAACTCTAAAATGAAGGTTGACAACCAGTGGATCGTTCCCTACTGCCCTCTTCTGTGCAAAATCTTTGAGGCCCACATTAATGTGGAATTCTGCAATTCTGTGAAAGCCATCAAATGTTTGAAAATACATCAACAAAGGGTCTGACATGGCTGTATTTGCCTTACAAAAAGAGGGGCAAAGTGTGGATGAAGTTCAACTTTTTGTTAAAGGAAGATACATCAGCAGCAATGAGGCCATTTGGATAATTATTGGCTTCCCCATCTGTTCCCCCAGTGGTCTATTTGGCAGTTCACCTCGAAAATGGTCAACGCATCTACTTCACTGAAGGAAATGCCCGAGAACAGGTTCCTGGCTCCACAAGATACAACCCTGATGGCGTTTTTTTTTGTGGCCAAGTGACCCATTTGCTGCCAACCTGCTCTATCATAAAGTTCCTTCCTACAATGCATGGACTGCTAAAAAAATGGAAGTGATGTGGTGACGGTGAATCTGATGCCTGAGTCTACACAGTTAATCCCAACAATCAGGAGTGCTACTTACTGCAAATGCTTCTCCATGTTGTTAAAGGGCCAAAATCTATAAAAGACCTACAAATAGTGGAAGGAGTTGTCTGTCAAACATACAGAGAAGCTCGCCATCTTCGTGGAATTCTTGATGATGATCAGCATCTTGACAGCTATGATAGAAGCTTCTGTTAGTCAGTCCCCTTCTCAACTGAGATTGCTCTTCTGCATAACCCCATGGGACTCGGGGAAAAATACAAAGAAGGCATGAGTGAGGATATCCTCCACAGAGCTCAACAAGAAAATCCCAACCTCGAGGTGAACTTTTCTGATGTCATCTTTAACCAGGCCCTCATCCTAATTGAAGAAAAACTTCACTCCATTGGTGGAAAAGACCTCAAAAGTCTTTCTGACTACCAACACCCTCCAGGGACAACCTGCATGCCCTTGCCCAAGAGATCCTACGTGAAATATCCTATGATGGTTTAGAGCTTCTTAACTTTGAGGAAAATGAACCAAAGCTGATGCATGCACAAAGAGAAGCCTACACAACAATTTTGGAAGACATTGAGTCTAAAAATGGAGGCATATTTTTCCTTCATGCATCTGGTAGTACTGGGAAGACCTTTGTTCTCAACCTGCTCCTGGCTAAGGTTCGCCAGAGGGAGAAAATTGCTCTGGCTGTGGCATCATCAGGGAATGTGGAAATTCTGCTTACTGGAGGAAGAACTGCCCATTCCATATTCAAGCTTCCATTGGATCTATCCCGACAAGAAAATCCTGTTTCCAATATTTCTAAGGGGACTGCCCTTGCACAAGTCCTAGTTAATTGTGAATTAATAGTGTGGGATGAATGCACCATGTCCCACAAGGGAGTATTTGAGGCTGTCAACAGCTTTGCAGGACCTCCGCGACAATTCCAGGAGTATGGGTGGTGTAAGTTTTCTCATGGCTGGTGACTTCTGACAAATCTTGCCTGTAGTACTTCGAGGAACCAAAGCTGATGAGTTAAGTTCTTGCATCAAGTCATCATTCCTCTGGAGGCACATGATAAATTTGAAACTACAAACATGCATGTATATCTCCATGGAGACCAAGAGGCAGGAAACATTCCTGAAGCTCTTTTTGATATTGGAAATGGCAGTATTCTTGCTGACGGCACAGATGGACTTATCACCATGTCTAAATACATCCTTTCCACTTCAGAAGAGGAACTGGAGGAAAAAGTATACCCAAACATGCAACAACACTTTCAAAATGTTATCTGGCTACAGAAGAGGATCATTTTGACTCAAAGAAATGATGCTGTTCACAGAATAAATTATATGTTCTTGCAGACATTATCTGGAGAGAACAAGTCTTACAAATCTATTGACTCAGTGTTGGACCATGATCAAATTATTCACTATCCAGTTGAATTCTTGCATTCTCTGAAGCTCCCGGGTGTACCTCCACACAACTTGCTACTAATAATTGGGGCACCTGTCTTGCTATTGAGAAATTTGGACCCACCGAGACTATGCAACAGCACAAGGTTAATTGTGAAAAAATTACATTCAAATGTTATCAAAGCTACAATCATTACAGGCAATTTTAGAGATGAAGACGTCTTTCTCCCTCGCATATCTATAATCCTAAATGACACAGTCTTTGAATTTAAGAGGCTTCAATTCCCCATCCAGCTCAGCTTTGCGATGTCCATAACAAGGCACAAGGACAATCTTTAATATAGGTGCTTTCTCATGGCCAGCTTGATGTTGGATGCTCTTGTGTAGGCAATGAAAAACATTTACATTACTTTGCACCAGCAGGCACGACCAGGAACATTGTTTACAAAGAGGCTCTTTGATAGGGGGGTGGGGTCAACAAAAGGTGGCAGTTACATTATTTTGGAGAGGCCCTATTTTGTTTTCCATTACTTTGGAGAGGCTCTTGCTTTGGTTGGGGGCGCCGCTCCCCTCCCGCATGTGCTGCTTGACCCCATGCCTGCTGGGGGGCAGTTCGGCTGTCGGCGGGTGCTCACTGAGCTGCATCAACACCTCGCCGCCCTGTGCAGCCTGCACATCGCTTCCTTCCCGGGTCTCCTGCCTACACCCGCGCCTGCCGGGTACCATTTCGGCAGCCTGACTGCAGGCGGCTGTTCGTGGCGGCGCTCATGCGGCGGAGCTTCCTCGCCGTCCCACATCTCGTCGCCCCATCCCCAAGTCTCCTGCCTGACTCCGTGCCTGCCGAGTGTCCTCTTGGCGATCTGGCTGCCAACGGTTGTTTGCGGCACCACCCGCGCGACGTAGTTTTTTTGCCTCGGCCATTACCTGCCCTACCTCCCTTCCCATTTCTCCCAATTTCCCTATTCCAAATTATATGCTGTCTGTGTTTTGTGAAGTTCCTTGCTGAAAGGCACTAAATAAATATGAACTACTATAAAATAAAAAAAAATTCAGTTTGTCTTCTTGCGTATGGCACTTTTGGGGAGCTAAATGTCAATGTTGAGGTCTGCTGGCAACGAAAGGGCTTCAGGAGAGCTCATGCAGTTGTGTTATTCCTCCATTGAAAAGACGGAAACCACACTGGTTTATTACGTGGTCCATCATTTGGATTCACAGTTGCATTGCTTATTTAGTATGAGAGTTTATAGAATTCATACACAAATACTTTTTACATACATAAAACTTTTTTGTATTTTAAGATAAGTTTTTAAATATATTTTTCCCCGGGGCAACGCCGGGTACTTCCCGCTAGTAAATAATAAATCAATGAAAAATACGCAGCTCTCATTGGCTGGGATTGCCTCAACCCAGGCGGCTAGGTGAGAACCCTGCCGGTCAAACTGTGGTGCAAGTGGTATACACAGTGTCAGGGCGCGGTTACCTCTGCCGTCCCTTTTCGTCTGGGTTCTGGTCATGGATGAGGTCTCGGCGTGTTCGCTCCTTGGCAGTATTCACCACTGATGACTGCACTGCGGGCTGAGGGAGAGTCAAACAACGTCACTCGCGCCACTTCCAGGGGTCAAGTAATGATCCAACCCCACCTTCTGCTATTTCATCAATTGTCACAATTCAATTGACAAATATAATACAGAATGCTTCAAAAAAATGTAAACATTTCCGAGAATTTGCAACAATACCACAAGGAGATTCCAGGTATGTGTTAACAATAATGGCGAACAAGTGGAGACTCTGACTTTTTTAAGCTATTAACATACATTTGTTTTCATCTTAGTGTATTATCCGTTCTTTTTCATTAAAAACGAGTCCCATACAAGTATTTTTTAAAATGTTACGCACCCTGCATTTTTTTATTTGTTGTCTGATATATAATGTATTTTCTGTACTGCTTGATTTGTACAACATACATTATGTGCCCATAACGTAAAAAACGTATAATAGTGCAGAAACACACAGGAGGGAATCAGGAAGACTGAGCAAGGAAGGAGAGAGCAGAAACAATGAGGGTATGTGTGTTGATGCACAGGGTTGCAGAGGAAGCTTTTTAGAAGAGACTTGGGGAGAGAGCTAAAAAGGACAGTGGTGGCGTGCCATGTATCTTATTTGCACGATAACGTATAATTATATTCCACCGCATTTTCTCCATCACATGTTGTTTTGATTAGCCAAATAATTTAATGAAATTGCATCAATCAAAATAACTAACTTCTGGGAGGAAGATGCAATGTCTGCATTGTGAGTGTAAGGATTACTTTTTAACTAATGAGTCGAGTCGTGGCACGCCACACACGCACCGCCCAATCACGCTGCTCGAGCCGTTACCTTCTGCACGTCCTCGTCGTCCTCGGCGTCACTCTCGGGGTGGGATTCACGTCGGACCCGCCGCTCTGGCCCCGGCCTGAATGCACACAGAGCCACGGTGAGCACCACACACCACCACAGTCAGCACCCCACGATCAGTACCACACTAGTATCACCATAAAGCACCCCACAGCCAGCACAGTGTACCACTAGACAGCACTATAATTAGTTGGTACCACAGAACCACACAACACCAGTCAGCACCACACAATGAGCGTCACACAGCATCATTATGCACGACAGTGATAGAGACGAATGGGACTCTAGTTAAGTGGGCCCTGAATTAGACACCAAACTGGGGTGCAAGGGGTTACCTGCCCATCGCTCCATCCATATCTCTCTTCTTGGCCGGCGGTCCGCCCATCCCTGCCAGTAGCCCCGTGTCCGAGAGCCCACGCCTGCAGGGATAGGGGTGGGAGAGTGGGTTTGAAACCTCCGAAGGAAACCGCTGCTGTGGTGTGTCCCTCAAATAGTATCAATTCACCAATGAACATCGATTCTAATGACTGCGTGTCATGCATGCAAGAACGGATAACAGAAGAAGCTGAATATAAGCATTTCCATTTGTAGCAAACCAAGTGACCTTTTATCCTTAGTCGTATGCTTCTGTCAGAAGTTGCCCTTTGCCCACCAGTGCAATGCAAGGATGTGTGGCTTATGTTACCTTCTATTTATGCTTATACTCAGCTTTCAGTATATTTTCTATTCAAGCCAATGTCACAGGAATATTTTTATTAAGGTAATGGTCGAAATTGATTAAACAGAACAAGACAGTACACATGAAACTGGTGGAGCTGAGAAAGACAAGACTACTATCGAGATACAATCACAATATAAACGACACAGCGAGACAAGGCAGACAACACTACAAATATGAGACAGACATTACATGAGGCGGAAACGAGAGATGAGACGGTACGGAAAATACGGACCCCACCGAGACAACATAAACGAAGACAAAATTACCGAATCGTCACCGTGTTAAATTTTTTAAGTTAAAACTCCTTTAATTTATCACGGTCTCTCCCCCGGTGCTCGGTGAAGCGCTTGGGGATCTGGACGTGGATGGAGCCTCACCTCAGAAGCCCCATTCCTCGCCCCCTGCCAAGGCCCTGGGGTCCACCCGTGAGGGACAACCGCCTGCCCGGTCCAGGCCTGCGCACACACGCACACACATTCAGCGTTAAAAGTCTCGCAAGTTCCACGTGATCTCGGTGTCCCCTTCATTACATTGGTACGCTTATTACTATTGTATTTTTATACCGTGTGACGAGATTAATTTTCAAGAAGGTTCTAACAAGTATTTACAATCGGCGGTTATGTTGCTACGTGTAAGCCAAATTGAGTACAGCACTGTAATTTGCAGGCAATCCTTGGCCATACATTGTATGGGTGTTTTTATTAAGAAAAGGAGCCGGAGGAAAGTCGTGCATAACAGAAGGGGTCGAGGTACAAACTCAACGCAAAGGCCCCACAGTCGGCAATCGAACCCAGCTCTTGTTCCCGCTGCGAGGCCCAAAAGTGTTACCCACTGCGCTGCCACCATGCCCGCTCTCCTAACCACAGCGTCTCGGGCTCTCGACGACTCGCGGGGGACTCCACCGTGAGGGTCGGTCTCGTGTTGCCGAGCTCGCCAGGGTCTCTCTCGGGGGGATCCGTGCTTAGGGTCCGAGGTTTTCGAGCGATCTCGGCGTCTCCCACCGCCTTTACCTCCCCCCCCCACCAGCTCGCACGCACACCGCAGGCCTCGCCCGCAAACACTAGGCCGCGCTCCAGGCCTCCGCCTCGGCTGTTCGCCGTCTACGGCGGTGAAGGCAGCAACAAACAAAAAGACAAAATCCGCGAGCTCGCGTCGCCTTTACCGCAAGTCATTGGGGTCGCGTCCCGTCAGCTTCTTGATGTTCTCGTCGACGCTGTGGAGGCTCTGGCGAGCGCGCTCAAGTTGCTCGCGCAAGCCCGACGCCTCCACCGCCATTGCTGCTGCTGCTGCTTGCTGCCTCGCTACGCGCGCGCGGCACTCTGGGGGATGGGTGGGGGAGAGGGGGGGGAGGGGAACCCGCGCACGGCCAATGGCGAGGCGTTGTGCGCGAGGACACGTGACCTCGGGGCGCGGGCAGCCAATAGCGATGCCTGGGAGGGGAGCGCACGTGCGCACGTGCGCGCGCGCGAAGCCAGCATCCCGGATGCTCGGATTGCGTTTTATTCACTCGATGTACGCACACTTCCATTCATTCGTCATTCTAGCGGCGTCATGCGCGTCGTGCCACCGATTCATTCGCGCACGGCCACTCATTCGTCATTCGTGCAGTGCCACTCGTTCAGTGTCACGTATTCATAGCTGTCAAACCCATTGTTAGTGCCGACTATCTTATTGCAGATTAATTCAGACCTTATTGGTCACCCGCGCCCCTTGTACATCTCAATGTGCATCCTACAAAGTCCCATCACAAGGGAGAAACACAAAATGATGTTACTAAACAAAAGCTGGTTTATCTATTAATTTTGATAATCGGTTTCAATGATGCTACTTATCATTATACTGTTTGTAATCTTGCATGCTGATGGTTCTGCTTGCTAAATATGTGGATGCAAACACATACCTGTCAACCCCTTATCAGTGCCCTACCTTATTACAGACCAAATAATACCTTATTGGTCACCCCGTGCCCTTATAAATCGCAGCGTTCGCCCTACAAAGACCCATCACAAGCGAGAAACACAGACAAAAAATACACAAAAAATGTGCCTGTATTGAAACGTGCTTGCGTCGTGTGAACCTGAGAACTAAATTTCCCTGTAAACCGTAAGGGTTGACAACTATGCGTATTCGTGTCGTGCCACGCATTCATCTCTGTGGTGCCACTCATTCATTCACCTAGTGCCACTTATTCACCTCCGACTAACGTCGTCGTACAGGCGGGAGGGCCTGTCATTGCTGCTGCTGTTGCTGCTCTCACAACGCAGCCCAAAGAAACTCATCTGCCGTGGGGAATTTGTAAAACCCCGGCACAGACCACGAGACCATGGACGTCATTCACGTTTCATAAACTCGTGTTATTTATTTATTAGCTGATTGTCGGAAAAGCCCCCCCCCCCCACCTTCCTCCACCTCCCCCACAATCGGTCCGGCTTAGAGAGGCTTTCTTCCTCTTAGTTTGACATCCACATCGCCGCAAGTCTCACGAGATCACAGTCGTGAGAACGGCACGGGTGCCGAGATGGAGCCCCTGCACCCCTCCCCCAACACTACGAGCCTCTTCCCGTGGGCCGTTCAGTGGAAACCGGCCCAGTTTCCCCCCCCCATCTCCGATTATGAGACTCGAGACCGCACGTCAAATCCTCAAGACTAATCACAATATATGGTCATATACTGCGTTGACAGTACTGAAAGATCACAAACAACAACAACAACAATAAACTGAACACGTATTTACTACTATAATGAGCCAATAATGTCTGTGTGTCCCGCGCGTGACGTCACTCCACGTCGGCCAGTCCCCACTCATTAATATTCATGAACAGGTGACGTCCTCCACATGGACCCCCCCCCTCATTAATAATCATGAAGAAGTGACGTCTTCCAAATGGACACCCCCCGCACACATTAATATTAATTAGTGGGTGACGTCACTCTCTTTTCCCATTACAAAACGAGATGCGCTAGATTGTTTTTGTTTTTCCACTGTAGCCGAGCCGTGCCGCTGACGTCACGTGCGATGAAGCGCACCAAAAAGGTTGAGACCCACCACTGTTCCACTTCATTGCTGCAGCACTCATCACGATGCACTCATCGTAAGTCTACACGTGCAGCCCTTTTGCGTCAATCCACTGCTGGATGACGGCCTCCCCGCGCCACGTGAGTCATGGGGATATTTGACTATGGGGCCGCCCATAAATGACGTCACGCGATTTTGGACGATTTTTGACCCCCCCTCGTCACACGGCGTCACAAAAAGTCAGACCCCATCCCCCTCAAAAATGACGTCACAAAGCTCTGCCCCCCCCCCCCCAAATAAAAAACATGCTTCAAATCGCTTTAAACTATTGGCATTGTTGTGCGTGTTTAATGTGCCGCTGCACTCTGATGTTATAGGATAAAACATTTATTAAAAAGTCTATTTAATTAAGTAGAACGTGTTGTCTATATTTATTTAAAGTTGCGCATTTTGATGTGACGTCACATTTCTCACCCACCCCCTCCTCTCGTCACACATCGTCACAAATGTCTGACCCCCCCCCCCCCCCCCAGGTGCGTGGCGTCATTTATGGACGGCCCCCTATACCTCCCCACGATGTTCAGGTAGGGGTTGGTAAAATTGGGACCGCAACGTCGACGGTACGTCCACACGTCCTGTCGACTTTGCAGCAGAGCCCTCTGCTGCTCACAATCGCGTAACCACAACGCGCTCACCGCAGTGTTTATCCATTATCCAGTCAGCGCCCATGACAACCACTCGTCTTCAATTCGCATCCACTCGTTCGTCGCTCGCTCTTTAACGCGTTCATTCTCGCTCACTGCTGTCCACGCGTTCACCCGCCAGTCACCACGTGGTCATGACCCCCTGAGTGTCACCGTTCAGTCAACGCCGTATTCACGTTTCGGACCACGGAACCCCGTGTGATACAGGGAATAAGGGACCCAGAAATATGGGGTTTAAACGCAATGGGACCCAGTGGCAGGTGGATTAGGTGGGGGGGGGGCAGGCTTAGAGACCAGGGGACCCGGGGCGGGGTTCGGGAGTAATTTTCCGCGTGCGGGAGGCACCGCCCTGTGACCCCCTTCGCCGCTCCCACCACCGCCAGCGGCATCGACGGCATCGGCGTCTCCCCGCTCTGTCGCCGCAGATCGCCGCCACTGCACGACGCGGCACTGAGCAGCGGAGACCCCCTCCGGCAGAGCCCGTGCGGCCAGACCCCCTTGTCGCCAGGGCCCCTGTGGTGGGGAGCCCAAGGCGAGGCTACCAGCCGCAATCCCGGAGACCGAGCGACGTGGGGAGACGGGCAGAGGAGCCATGGTGTCCTGGATGATCTCCCGACTTATCGCGTGAGCATCTCCGCCTCTCTCTTCTCTCTCTGCCTCTCCTTGCTTATCTCCGTCACTAACCTCGTCCATTTGAGCTCTCCGTTTCTATTCTCTCTCCTCTCCACGTCTCTATCCCTGCCCCTCTACGTCTCTCCACGTCTCTCGCCTCTCCACCTCTCTCCCCGTCTCTCTCCTCTCCACGTCTCTCACCGTCTCTCGCCTCTCCACGTCTCTCTCCTCTCCACGTCTCTCGCCTCTCCCCGTCTCTCTCCCCGTCTCTCTCTACGTCTCTCTCCACGTCTCTCTCCTATGCCCGTCTCCCTGCCTCTCCACGTCTCTCGCCTCTCCCTGTCCGCACCGCGCCTTCTGTTGTTGCTTCATCGTCCCTGCGCCGGGACTGCGGAGCCGCGATGACGATGGTGGTGGTGATGGCTGTGATGGTTATGTCGGTGATGGTTATGGTAGTGATGATGGTGATGGTTATGGTGTTGACGGCAACGGTGGTTGTCACGTTGACGATAGCTGTCGTGATGGTTATTGCGGTGGTGATGGCGGTGGTATTGATGATGATGGTTTACGTGGTTCGTAATCCGCCGCACTGCGCAGTGTTTGGGGCAGGTCAGATGTTCGGGTTATGGGTCAGCCCTGCCTGGTTCAGGGTCGGGTCGGATCAGGTCGAGAGAGGTCAAGCCTAGCTGACCTTGCCTTGCCGCCTGTCCCGCAGGCTCGTGTTCGGGACCCTGTACCCGGCATACTCGTCCTACAAGGCGGTGCGGACCAAGAACGTGCGTGAATACGTGAGTAGGGCCCCCCGGGGGACACGCTCGGCCACGTACTGCGTGGGGGACGCGCCCTCCCGTCTTGTGGACGCGTCGCCTACCCACCCTCGTGACACTGCTGCTGCTGATGGACGGGGTGGGGGGGCATAGATGTGGGAGCATGGTGCAGTACAACGATGGATTTATTCAGAGCCCTCTGCTGCCCATGCGCAGACTGCATCAACCACCGTGCGCCACAGGCTGTGCGTGCGCGCCTCCGTCTGCGTGAGCCGGTGCGGTGTACAGGAAACATCCCCACTAGGGAGACAAAGGCGGTCAGGAATGGTGTTGGTCACCCACCCACACGTGTGCTGTGCCGGCCTTCATAGGTGCTCTCTAAGAGCAATTTCACCAACAATCTGTTGAGGCTATAGGGGGGATCTTTGTCTTTGTGTGTGATATGCAGGTGAAGTGGATGATGTACTGGATCGTGTTTGCAATCTTCACCGCTGTGGAGACGTTCACGGACCTGGTGCTCGCGTGGTGAGTCCCAACTCAAGAGAGGGAGGCGCAGTCTGGCTCCAGCAGGCCCCACGCGCATATTTGCACGAGTGTGTGTGTGTACACGATCGTGTGTGTACACGAGTGTGTGTATATACGAGTGTGTGTATATGAATGTGTGTTTACATGTGTGTGTGTACACGAGCGTGTGTGTGTACACGAGTGTGTGTATATGAATGTGTGTTTACATGTGTGTGTGTACACGAGCGTGTGTGTGTATATACGAGTGTGTGTACATGAATGTGTGTTTACATGTGTGTGTGTACACGAGTATGTGTGTGTGTGTATACGAGTGTGTGTACATGAATGTGTGTTTACATGTGTGTGTGTTTACACGAGCGTGTATGTGCGTGTGTACACGAGTGTGTGTACACCGAGCGTCTATGTGTGTGTGTGTACACGAGTGTGTGTACACGAGCGTGTGTTTACACTAACGTGTATGTGTGTGTACACGAGCGGTAGTGTAGTGGTTAGCGCGCTGTGCTACAAAACCTGGTGACCTGGGTTCGATTCCCGCTCATGGCCAACACCAGTGACGAATATCTGAACTGGTCCTGGGCCTCCCCTAGGTCGACTCAGCCAAAAATGAGTAACTGGTGCGATGTGTAACCATCGCCACTGGGGAGACAAAGGCGGTCGGGCGTGGTGCTGGCCACCCACCCCCTCGTGTACCGTT